AAAGAATTAACAAAAATAGTTACTTAAAAAGATAGTTATTAGTAACATTGTCATTCTGTACTGAGCTCATTACCCTAGGAACCATGCACCAACCACAGTTATAAATTAACTGACCACCTCGTTCTGTTCTGTAATGCGTCATCCCCCCCACCTTCGTGACCTGTGTGCTATGTCAACTTTTGTTCCCCTTGTAAGAGACAAATGATGCTGTGTCAACCATTGTTCTCTTTATGAGAGACAAATGTTCCTGGAATTGGCAGACCAAGGGCTATGAATTGGCTACCACCCACTGTGAAATGCCTCTGACCTCAAGCAAAGGGAAACAAAGGCCCATCCTATTTCTGTTTCTCATCACTATGTACTTAATGATCAATGAGCTAATCATAAATGAACTATAAAAATCAGTCAAAACTCTAACTCAGTTGCACAGCTTTGCAAATTCCATCTGCACTGTGTCGCTGGGCCAGCTAAAATAAAAGTGCTTCTTTTACTTTTTTTTTGTCTTTTTCCTTTTTATCAGTACCAGGGATCAAACTCACAACTGCCTGCTTGCAAGGCAGGCGCTTATGCCGCTGAGCTAAATCCCCAGCCCCCTAAAAGTGCTTCTTTTAAAAAGACGTCTTGCCCCGTTTGCTATCTTGGGGTCTTACCCCGTTTTTCATCATGGGGCCTTATTTTTTGAGTAGAGTACAACAGATATGACATTAATAATCTCATGGTGTACTAAATATAGGAGTGCCTTCCTGGTATACAAGTCTTCTAAGATGTAAAACCAAGATTTTTTTTTTATAGTGATAATCTTTATTTATAGATTCAAACTTTCTCTTGTGCTCCAGCTAAGAGGTACATGTCAAGCCAGCATGAGATCACAAAGAATAGTTTTTTAAGAAACTTACATGATCTTGCAGGGTATGGTAGTACATAATTCCAGCACTTGGGAGACTGAGACAGGAGAATCTCTGCAAGTCTGAGGCCAGCCTGGACTACAAAGTGAGTTCAAGGCCAGCCTGAACTACATAATAAAATTGTCTCAAAAAGACAAATATCCCCCCCCCCCAAAAACCCTTTATGTGATATGCATGTTACATGCATTACTACACTTAGGGAAGAGTTCACAAATGTTAAAGTACAACATGACTCCTACCTGAGGCCCATTAGCTTAGCTGTCTGGAAAAGGCCCGACTGTGGTTTTTGCTATACTGATCCTTGTCAGCTTGAAGCAATTAGATGAAAATTAAACCCTTTTTCTACTAACTGCAGTTAGGGATGTCTAGCACAGTGGGGAATGTTATAGACAGCTAAATTAGGTAGAAATATAGTAGGCAGTCAGACTGGGATGGGCCCTTGAGGGAGTCAGTGCAGAAGATGAAAATGTATCAGGACTGTGGCTGGAGGCACAGTGAAGGTTAAAGTTACAATGGCTAGTTTTATACACTTCCCTAAGGGATGAACAGAGGCTTGGGATTATTGGTATTCCTCTTTGAGATTTCCCATTATCTATTAGGGGTGGGCCATCCTCTTCCACTCACTAAGACCAAGATCAAGACTAGTAAGACAGAAAAAAAGACTAAGTGTATAGATTACTGACCAAGGTTAACGATGTCACCCATGTACCATGGCTACCATTACATCAGTATTACCTAAGCAACTATACTTGTAATCTTACTGATCACAGTGTTGACCCATATTATACCAGCCTCATGATATTTTGCTCTAGGAAAACTTCCTTTGAGAGGTGGGCTTGTTGGCAGTCAAACTGGGACCTCTCCAGTCTTCAGGAGCTATTTCTATTCCTCATTTAAAAAAATTTCTTTTATCCTATCACATTCACAAAACACAGAGGGTAGTAAAACAGGAGGCAAGGTAACACTTTTATTTAAAAGTTTTTTATATTATGCAAATGGGGCCTGAAAGGTATTATTTTTAAAATGCAAAAAATTGAGCGGGGTGTGGTGGCACAGCTGTAATTCCAGCACTTGAAAGTTTGAGGCAAAAGGATTATATTGAGTTCAAGGCCAGGCTGAAAACAGTGAGACCCCAGAGCTTGGGATTTAGCTCAGCGGCATAAACGCCTGCCTTGCAAGTGTGCGGTCCTGAGCTGGATCCCTGGTACTGATAAAAACGAAAAAGAGACTTCCGGGAGAACATGGCGGACATATAACAGCAACTACCGGAGGCTCTCTGAAAACTAGGCTCAGAAGCCAGGTATGGTGCGGACTAAAGAGACATAAGCAGGTGGAGTTATGCTCTGCTGACTCAGGAACGAACTCAGCTGAGAGAAACCAACTTGGAATGCAGTCCTGGTGCTAAAACAGGAACAGAAAAGCCTCACTGCTGAGGCTGGACACCACGCCATTTGGGTTTCCCGCCGCGTGGTGGCTGGCTGCCTCTACATCGGCTCGGCAAGGAGAGAGAGGCACGGAAACTCTGAGAACGGGAGTCTGCGAACGGAGTCGAAAACAGGACGGGCAGGGAGGCATGTTCTGACTTGTGGCGAGGTGAGTGAGAGAAACTGACACTCCACCACAGTTTGACTCCAGCGGACTTTCTGGGCCCGGGCAGTCCTGCGGGAGCAGGGCGCGCTGGCGACTCCAGCCACACATTCCCCTGTCGGGCGGGATTGGTGAAAAGTGCCTGGCCTGCGTGACGCTGCCGGCGGACCCCGTAGGCTGGCCCAACCCAGATCCCAGAGCCTGACGGAGGCCGGGAGGGGCGGGCCCCTGCGTAGGCTGCCTGGTGTGCAGCAGTGAGTGGAAACACCTAACTGGCGCAATTCGATCAGGCTGTGGCTGACAGGGAGAGAAGCTGGGCCTCTCATATAAGCTTGCATATATAAGGAACAGAGAATATGGGAAGAGGCAGCAACAAGAAAGGCTCCTTGGCCCTCAATTCTGAGAAACAGGCAATAGCAGACACCGCACCATTACACATAAGGCGCCATATAGAGAGCCTCATAGACCAATTCAGGAATGAAGTTATCAATGACCTGAAGCTAGAAGTATGCAAAATAGTTAGAGAAATGCTAAGCACCACCCAAGAAAAAACAGATGGTAGAATGGAAGAACAGAAAAAGAGGGGAGAATTGTTTGATGGAGAAAACAGGGAAAGCATAGAATACGTGAAGCAGGTTCAAAGGGACTACCAAGAAACTAAGACGTCTATCGAAGCCTGGCATAACAGCTTGAAAGAAACTAAGGACAGACTATCTGAACTGGAGGGCAGAATTGTAATATGGGAGAATGAAATGAAAAACTTCTTAAAAATAACAAAGAAACAAACAGCAATAATACAAAGACAAGAAGATGATAAGAGGATCCATAACTTAAGAATTAAGAACATAAAAGAAGAAGTAGGGACACAAACAAGTGAACTACAAAAGCTACTCACAGAAATAATCCAGGAGAATTTTCCTAATTTAGCAAAAGGTAAAGATACTCAGATGTATGAGGCATACAGGACCCCAGCTACCTACAACCCAAACAGAGCAACACCCAGGCATATAATAATAAAAATTCCAGAAATTCAATACAAGAACAGAATATTAAAAGCTGTCAGGGACAAGAAACAGACCACTTACAAGGGAGCACCCATCAGAATTACAGCAGATTTCTCTGCACAAACCATCAAATCACGAAGAGCGTGGGGGGAAATAATTCAAGCTTTGAAGGATAATAATCTCCAGCCAAGATTGAGATATCCTGCACAACTGTCCCTGGAAATTGATGGAAAAACAAGGTGCTTCCAGAATAAAGAGGAACTGGGGGAATTTGCAACCACCAATTCAACTCTACAGAGAGTATTGCAGGATATTCTAAAAAAAGAAAAATACAAAGAGTCCAGAAATAATGGAGGCCACAACGAATGGAGCAGAGAACAAAATGAAGAAGACAAACTGACAGCTACTGACAGAATAAGAGCTCAACAGAAATGAGGCAGAGAAGATTGGATGATAGGAACAGCTATTTTGGAGAAAATGACATCTTAATAGGTAATACTGATTTAGTATCATCTTGTTTTGAAGTCTCATCTAGCTTTTGTCCTTCTGTCTCCAATGGTCCAAATAGGTTGTATTCTTACTGGATTTTATTATGTACGATAGTATAAGCAAAAACCTTTTAAAGACAAGGAGATTATACAGAAACCATTGTTCATTTTCTGTTAGTCGACTCTAAATACTCTGTAATGCTGTCATTCTCTTAAATGGTTTTACATTGTTTTGATATACTTAATGCTGCAGTATACGAAGTTGTACTCAAGGATTTCAAGGAAAGAGATAATATGGTAACTACTTTTAGGTCAGGATTATCTGGTGGTGAAACACTATTCTGCTTAAATGGTTATGTTTTGATCTGTGCTGTTTCCTTGTTATGCCCTCTTTTATCTCAATCTCCACTCCATTATTTACTTTCTTATTTTTATCCTTTTAATTAAAGGAAAAAAATAGCAGGATATATTATAGTAACCCACTTTGACTTTCCATTACCTCGATTTAAAGCCCTGTATTACTCTCACCATCTGGTTTTTAACTGATGTTCCCCTATTCTGTTTTGCTGGATAGTATCAGGTTCGAAAATTTAGGCATCAGCTGTGAAGATAATGAGATTCATTATAACGCCCATTCTCGTTGACTTTTATCTATTTTTGAAGACCTACAATGTCTCCAATGTTTTGGTTTTGTCGGTTTTATTCTTTACTGTTTTGTTCAATTGTATTGTAACTAACGATATAGGCAATTCTATTAGAGATAGAGGGAGGCATTATGGTAACCATTGTTGATCACCTTGTATTATGTTTTCACATTATCTATTATGTCCACCCTTTTGACTTGACCGATTCTGTTCTGTTATGTCACATTTGGTTTTACTCTCTTCCAAAAAAGTAATAAGAACCATGGGAGCAATGAAACCCAAAATGTGTAATAGTCATTGTACAAAAGATAGGAAAAGAAAGTGCTCTGTACTATATAACTGCATGTATATTTAAGTGTATAAGATAGAAAATGATATCACAGAGTTTTATTGGATCATTGAACAGAACTGTTTGCAGTATCATTGATGGAATGTCCACTTTACAAGTTTTAATTTTGTGACTTGAACAATTATTTCTAAGATGACAATATGTAATCCATTAACTAGTGATTTCCTACTGTTCATTTTTTTTTCTGCAAATCTGTATAACTTGTACCCTTTCTCTGCTTTTTTTTCTTTTCTCCTTAAATAAAATTAAAAAAAAAACAAAACAAACAAACAAACAAAAAAACAGTGAGACACTATCTCAAAAAAACAAAAATCATGCCAAAGACAAGTCCCATGCAAAAAAATTACATATCTATAGTTAAATAAGCCTTTCCCCATGGAGACAAAATCACTGAGAAATGTTTATTTCCCCTTTAGAAATGGCGGATCCAGGTACTAATATGGCTGCGGTGGTAAATTCGCATTTTGCCTTCAAGTCTTTCGGAGCCACATTAATGAGGTGCTGGCTGGTGCTTGGAAACAGGTTGATATGCAGCTCCTACAGGTCGAAGCCCTGGACCAACAGGCTCCTGTCTTCCACGCCAGCCACCATGTCTTCGATGGCATTCCAGTCAAGCTTGCTGAGGATGCTTCCAGTGCTCTCAGATATGTTGTCCATGCCACCCACCTCAAAAGGAGGCTCAAAGTTTTCTTCGGTAGGTGGCAATTCCTATGGAGTGAGAAAATGGTCAGTTGTGCTCCTAGGGTTACTCAGCCATCAAGGGGCTGACGGAAATATGAAGGAACCCAGGGTTGTGGCCCTCACCACATCCTGGTTGAGAGTGAGCTGAGTATCACTTGACACAGATGCCGGTAGCACATAAGATTGGGCAAGATGGACTTTGACAGCTGTGCTACAATTGTCTGTTATTTTATTTCTGTTGTTTTTAATTTAAAAAGATATAAATCCAAGGAGAATCATGAATAATAAGTGCTAGAATACTAAGCCAAAAGGATGGATGCTTTGAATCACTATCTAAAACTTACCTACGTATTCAGTATTTCCAGATGTTGCAAAAATCAAATACTAAGAACAAGCACTGAAGAACGCAGAGCAATCATTAGAAATCTGGAACAACTTTTACCTGTAGAAGAGAACTGTGACTCTCCAGGAGAATCTTGTGGATTTCTTCAGGCAAAGCCCAAGGGCTCACCACCATCTCTTCTCTCTCATACTCTATGCCCATCTCCTGTGACACACTTGTAAGTCCAGTGTGCCTGTGGTTTTTTGCATGCTGCAGACTGCAACCTGGAGCATTAGAAGCTTTCAAAAGGAAGAACAAAACATACACTGGGGTTGATTCATTCAGTAATTCATTTGTTAAAAAGGCACACACTTTTACCAAATACAGATACTCCTCAGTTAACGTCCTACCTGATTAATGACCGTAGAGAGTTGGGACCAATGTGGGCATTTGAACATTTGACCCACTGTTCAAATTTGCCTCAGGATCATCAGTGGCAGTGCAGAATTATGTGGCTTCTTCTAATTCTGCACAGTAATATACATACTATATACAGGGTCTCATTTTTATTTCTTAGGTTTTTCTGAGACAGGGTTTTGCTATGTAGTTTAGACTATCCTTGAACTATGGTAGCCCAGGCTGGCCTTAAATGCATGGCAGTCCTCTTGCCTCTCCCAAGTGCTAGGATTACAGATGTGCACCACCACACCTGGCTCTGCAACTCATTTAGCAACTAATTCCTTTAACAACCTGGCATATAGCAGGATGGAGCTGGGTTATTAAACAAGGAATCTCTGTAACTGAATCACAAGGTCTGGTTCCATTCACTACAGACTTCTAATTCTTGTCCTGTGTGTGAGATAGAAATTTAATTCTGGCCACTTCTTTTAATTTGAAAAGTAATGGTAATTAATCTCTACAGTATGAAGTCTGAGGAGGAGAGGCTCAGACATAACAACTGGGAGAAACCTTGACTTGCAGGTTGTGTTCCTTGCCTCTTATGCAAGTCCCTTGGAAGCATCCTAGGCGTGGTGTGCTAGGCATCTTCACGCAGACGTCCTGCTTAGAATTTACCTTTGGCCCCGACTCCAGATAAGCACAGTGACAACACATCGTAATCCTGTTCCTTCTTGCCACATATACCAGTACTTATTTAAAAGAAACTTTTATCCCAGCCAGTGCCTTAGAACAGCTGAGCAAACCATCAGCTAACAGAGCTTTCTTCCATAAAGCCACAGAAGAGCACATCCCACCTAACACACCTGGTGTTCTCACCTAATTGGAGAGCACATTCTACCCTTTGCCAATGTGATTTTCCAAAGAGACACCCAAGGCCTATGGAGCAACAGGAAGTAAACACAGGTGCCCCTGGGCAATCAGAGGAAAAGGAGGGACCCTGCTGAACCTTGGGCCCATCTGGCCTTTTATGGTTCTACAAGTCTTACGTTCCTGAAGTCAAGTATACCACTAAGAAATATACCCATAAAAACAGTAACAGCACATATTCTGACATTTACTATGAGCTAAGCACTTCATCTACATTTACTCCACTGAACTTACTGGAGTACCCAGGCCTGCTCTTTGGGTGCTCACACATCTACACTCTTCCCAGCTTACCTCATCTAGTCAAATGGTTGTTTGTTTGTTTGTTTGTTTTGGTATCGGAGATAGAAATCACGAAGGCAGGTGCTTATTCCACTGAGCAAAATCCCCGGCTGAGTCCCATGCTTTAAACATCACCTAAATGATGAAAACTCAACCTGTACAGCCAGCCTCACTCATAGAACTTAAAGATGCCTTCCTGACATCTTTGCTTGGATATGTGATCAACATCTGAACTTCGACATGTCCAACACCAAACTATCCATTTTTAGTACTAAATTTCCTTTATCCCAGGAAATGCTCAGCTTGAAAATGTTATTCTTTATCCTTTCTTAAATGCTCTATTACCTATACCCAATTTATCAGCAAGTCCCAATTTAGTCTATCTTCAAAATATATTCTGAATCTATTGAATTTCTCCTATTTTCCCATTGTTACAACCACAGCACAAGCAATGTCCTTCCTCCTGCCTCATCTTCTCTTTCTCCCATTTTAAAATATAGATATATTCATATATTTGGTTTTCTTGAGACAAGATCTCACTATGTAGCTCCGGCTAGCTGAGCTACAACTCACAGCGTAGCTCAAACTCACAGCGATACTCTGGCCTCTGCCTCCTAAGTGCTGGGATAACAGGCATGTCTGGCTCATACCTGGCTCTGCTACCTTATTTTGAAATATAAAATACATTGTTTCCCTGCTTTAATTCACCAGTGGTCTTACTGAATCCAGAGTAAAATACCCAGACTCCTTTCCTTACCCTGCATTGTACAGCCTCTCTCGCTACCCACCTCTCTGGCCACTCTTCCTCACTCATCTCCTTTGTCATGCTGAGTGTGTTCCTGTATTAAGAGGTTGTTCTCTCTGCCTGGAATTGTTCTGTTTTATCTTCATATGACAATCTCCTTGCGTGCAGTATCTTCACTTTAGTACCACCTTCTTAGAGACCTCTAATCATGCTAGCAAAGTTAGCTCCACTAACCAGCTAAAGCCGCCCTTGTTTATATTCTACTGTCTGTGTTGTTCAGGCTGAGAGTGCCTGTTATGCAGCAGGACAGCTGCTGACGGAATATTCTTTTTTTTTTTTTGGCCTTTTTTTGAGATGGGGTCTCGCTATACAGCTCAGGCTAGCCTTGAGCTCACTTTATAGTCCAGGCTGGTCTCGAACTCACAACGATTCTCCCACCTCAGACTCCCAAGTGCTGGCATTACAGGCATGAGCCACCACACCTAGCTCTAACGGAATATTCTTCATGGCAGTAACGTTGGATAAAGTTGTTATCCATGGTTGTGAAGGAGGAAAACGGATTTGCCTATGATGATGGACACCCTACAATTAACTACAACTTGAGCTAATGTACAAACTTTCTAATCCTCAGGGTACAGAGAAGACAGTACTCAAGAGGCACTTGGGAGATAACCCTCTCATCAAGTAGGAAATGCACAGGTATTTCTCAGGCATACATTTGCTAGAAGTGTTTTCCTGGATTTTTGTACAGCAAAGGGGGATGACAATGCCAGATGGCCTAGGGGTTTTTCTTTGTATTAGTTCCCTGGATCTGAAAGAGAGGCTAAGCTAATATCACTTGGTAGCATTTGTGGTTGCCACTTTAACTTTCTTTTTTTGTATATATATATATATATATATATATTCTTTTTTTTTTTTTGTCTTTTTCTTTTTATCGGTACTGGAGATTGAATTCATGACCACACACTTGCAAGGCAGGTGCTTATGCCGCTGAGCTAAATCCCCAGTCCCTGCCATTTTAACTTTTAATATGAGTGCTGTGTGTAAGCTAAAAAAGGTTTGACATTTTTCTGTCACTGAGTCTTGATACCGCACCTAATGTTACAAGTATGTAAGTATTTAAGTAAATGTTACTAAGATAAACTCTATGAGAGAAAATAATCTATAATCAGACAACAGGAATGCATATATGAGTACACATTGTGGTTAAAAAAAAATAGCTGTTAAAACAATAAAAAGTAAGACTGAAAAAAAACCCAGCAAATAGTTACTATTATAGCACACAGGTGAGCTGTTTCTTCAAAGCAAATGGAAACAAGCCAAGGCAGGGTGCTGAAGTTGTCTTTTAAGTGTTCAGGATATGACAGGAAGTTATCAAAGAATGTAAACACGAACTAATCCCACACTCATCTCTGTCACAACCGGCTAGGTATCTAGACCTCAGTGCCCCTGAATAGTAAACATAGTTGTAACCATCTAAAAAAAAAAAAAAAAAAAAACCCAAACAAACAAACAAACAAAAAAAAAACCCAGCAAAAGCAAACCAGGTGAACTGCATTTAGGATAAATTATGACCTGCAAGGTCTCTACAGAGGACCACTGGCCTTTTCTCATGTGCTTTATTCATGGTTGGTTCTGTAATTTCCTTCCGCTCAGATTATAGTAAATCTCTGTAAGATTTATTTGGGATATCCAATCTTGAGATTGAGAAAAAATTCTTTTGATAAAAATACAATATGAAGCCGGGCATGGTGGCTCATGCCTGTAATCCCAGCACTCGGGAGGCTGAGCCAGGAGGATCCTGCAAGTTCAAGATCAGCCTTAGCTATGAAGTGAGCTTAAGGCCAGCCTGAAGTGCATACATAGCGAGACCCTGTCTCAAAATGACAAAAAAAAAAAAAAAAAAAAAAAAAAAAAAGAGAGAAAAACATGCCTAAATGTTTTCAAGATGTTCCTACCCGCAATGTAGAACATGCAAGCTTTATTATCTTCTTATCTACTCATTTTGCAAAAATGGATTTTCATTGTTTTTTTGAGACAATGTGTTGTTATGTTACTCCAGCTAAGTATGTTGCCATGCTAGGTCTTGAACTTTTGGGTTCATCTTACCAAGCACTGGCTTGGACCCTGTCTTTGGGAAAATGCAAAACTGAAATGGACTGAGTGTATCTTGCACTGTGAGATGGACACAAGCCTTTGGGAAGCAGAGGAGAAATGCTGTAGCTTGGATATTGAATATCCCCAAAGATAGGTGCAGTGCGGGCAAACCTTTTGGAGCTTTCAATGATAAAAACAGCTTGAAGATGTGTGCCACAGTTTCACTACCACTGGCCTACTGGGAGGAAGTTAGGTCATGCTCCTGAAGGGGATTTGGGGAGCCTGGCCCCTTCTCTATTTCTTATTTTGTGCTGTCATGAAGCAAACAGCTTCCTCTGCCACACACTCCCGCCATGACAATACTACAGGCACAAAGGCAATGGCGATGAGCAATCATGTACTGAAACTTCTAAACCAGGAGCCATAAGAATCTTTCATATAACTTGAGAAACAAAGGCATTTTGTCATGGTTATGAAAACCTGCACAATACAGGGTCCAACTTCATTATGTATGTGGATATCAGGTTTCCAGATACCACTTTTTTTCGGGTACTAAGGAATGAATCCAGAGTCTTGACACAGAGCTATACCCTAACATTTATTTATCATTTTGAGACAGGTCTGCTAAGTTGCCCAAACTGGGCTCAAACTTGCAATGCTCCTGCTTCGGCTTCCCACAGTGCTAGAATCATACGGGTGTGTCACCTTGCCCATCTTCAAGCACCATTTACTGAGGCAATTACGTTTTCCTCATTGTGGTCATTTTGGTGCTTTTGTCAAAAATGAATTGACAGTTACTTTAAAAATCTCTATCCTGTTCCACTTGTCTATGTATATTTTTATGTCAGTACCATACTGTTTTACTACGGCTTTGTAACATGATTTTAATTTTACCTGTGTGTACATCTGTGTGTGTGCTGCTGGCAATTAAATCCATGGATACCAGGTAAACATCCTACCACTAGGTTATGCGTATAGCTCACAATGTAATCAGAAAGCGTGATGCTTCCACCTGTTTTTCCTGTGACATACTTTGAATTTTGAGATCTTTTGTAGTTCCATACGTATTTCAGGAATTTTGTGTCTGTGTGTGAAGAATGTCATTGGGATTTTTATAGGAATTGCACGAATCTATATCTTGCTTTAGGTACTATGCATATTCTTGCAATACTCTCTTAATCCATGAACAAGAAATATCTTCCTGTTTATTTGTGTCCTCTTAATTTCTTTCATTAGTGTTTTGTATTTTTCAGTGCATAGGTCTTTCACCTCCATGGTTAAAAAAAGTATTTTTAATGTTTTCATAAATGGAATTATTGTCTCTTTTGCTAGGTCACTATTTGTACATAGAGAATTTCTGTATGTCGATTTTGTATCTAAAACTTTACTCAGTTTCATTAATTACCTCTACTAACTTTTTCTGTAGATTGAGGTTTTCTACATATAGGATGATTTCATCTGCAAACAGAGATCAATTCACTTCTTCCTAATTTGGAGATCTTTTATTTTTATTTCTGTAATTGTTCTTGCTGGTACTTCTAGTACTATCTTGAACAGAAGTGGCAGTAGTACACTCTGCTTGTACTAGATTTTAAGAGGAAAATCTTTCAATTTCTCCATGGATTATGATGTTAGCTGAGTTATTTTTCATGCCTTGCTATGTTGAAGATGTTTCCATATACACTTAAGCTTCTAAATGAGTTTATTAACAAAAAAAGTTTCAAATGTTTTTCCTGTGGCAGTTGATATGATCACTTCTACTAACCTGTGAATATCAGGATGTGTAATCTTTCTGATACATTGTTGAATCTGATTTGCTAATATTTTATTGATGATTGTTATATGACTGCTATTCAGAGATACCATCTGATAGTTTTCTTTGGCTTAGGTATCAAGATGATACTGACCTCAAAAACATTTGGAAGAATTTCCTTCAGCTGTATGTTTTGAGGAGTTTAGTATTAGTTCTGCTCTGAAAAGTCTGGCAGAATTTAGTTGTAAAGCCATCTGGTCTTGGATTTTCCTATGCTGAGAAGTTTTAATTAGTTCTTTCATTTCTTTGTTACTAGTTTGGTTTGGTTTGGTTTGGTTGGTCATTCGGTTGGTTTTTTTGAGACAAGGTCTCAGTACGTAGTTCAGGCTGACCTGTAGCCCAGGCTCGTCTCTAATTTGTAGTGATCCTCCTGCCTCAGCCTCCCGAGTGCTGGGATTACAGGAGTGTGCCACCTGTCTGGTTGAGGAGCAGTGTTTTTCAGGAGTGAAAGTATCAGGTCTGGTTTTGTCATTTTTTACTTCTAATCTAAGCTCTCCAGGCATTGCTGACAGTCTGGTTAAAGAACCTGAGTGGCATTGTCCACTGTCCTTTGGTAAACAGGTGTACTTCACCAGCCTGAGTCCTATGAAGGGAGTTCTTTCCTGGTATGTCACTTGCCTTTCCTCTTAGAAAGTTTTCACTGGTTCCCGTGATGAAAGTGAAGGAAGAAAAGATATATTATGTAAATGGTAACCAAGAGAGAGGAGTGGTTATAGTTGTGTCAATAAAATAGACTTCTAGTCAGAAACTGGCAGAAGAGATTGTAAAACAGTTACCATTTAATAATAAAGAGTCCAGTTCATCAAGGGAACATAAAATCATAAGTATATCTCCATGGAACATAGAAGAACATAAGTATATGAAGTAAATGTTAATGGACAAAAAAAGGGAGAAATACAGACATATATGGAACTTTCTGTCTAATAGCAGCAGAATATTCCTTCAGGCCACAAAACAAGTCATAACACATTTAAGAAGACTGAAATCATAGTGGGTTTTTTGGTTTATTTCATTTGGTTTGTTTTTTTTCAGTGTCCAAGAGCGAATCTAGATCTTTGAACCACATTTTTAGCCCATACATAGCAGGTACAATGATATTTTTTAACTGTCGTAGGATGAAACTAAGTATCAGTTATCAGAAGAATTTTGGAAAATTCATGTAGTTGTGAAATTAGATAGCCTGTTTCTGAAAAACCAGTAAGTTAAATTAGAGACAAAAAGGAAATTTTTAAATATCTTGCTAACCAAAAAAGGTGAAATATATACCTGTTCTCTGGGAGGCAAAAGCAGGAGCACGATTCAAGGCCATATGAAACAACTCATTTGCTTAGCAAGGTCCTGTCTGAAAACTTAAAAAGGTACTAATATAATAGATATTTCCTTATAAAAAGTAAAAATTGAGTACCCTGGAAAATACTTTACAAAAGATGAAAATGCAAGTCTTTTTGGAGGAGTACTGGGAATTGGACTCGGGACCTTGCACCTGGCAGGTAGGCACTGCACCACCAAGCTAAATCCTCAGCCCCTAAAATGAGGCTTTGACAGAAAGAATTATAAAAATTGTAAAATAAAAAGCACAGGATATTATATTAGTACTCATATTGGTCCTAATGACTAGAAGTTAAAGTTTTAATGTATACATCTGGAAATGAATGGAAACAGAACCAAAAACAGAACTTTTAGAAAATATGGTCATTAGGCTGGGGATAGCGATGCCTGCCTATAATTCCAGCACACTACAAGGCTGAGGCAAAAGGACTTCAAGTTCAAGCCCAGCCTGTGGAACTTAAGAGTTAGTGAGACACCGTATCAAAAAAATGTTTTTTTAAATCAGTACCAGGGATCGAACTCAGGACTGCACTCTTACAAGGCAGGTGTTTATGTCGCTGAGCTAAATCCCCAGCCCTCAGTCTCAAAATTTTTTAAAGGGCTGGGATGCAGCTCAGCATGAAGGCCCTCAGCTCTTTCCTCAGTCACACCCCAGCCCTAACACAGCCACTGACATTAAATACCTGATTGATGAGCTAAGGTAACCAGATTAGACACAGAAATGTACTAAACTGAAAAATGGAAAGAAAGTATTCGGGAGAGTGAGGCATTACAGCCGGACTAGACTGATTATTTCTACTTTTCATCATTTTTATAGTACATATAAACTGTTTTATTTTTACCACCATCTCTAACAAATATAGTTCTTTTCTTTGAATGGGGACAAAATCCACAGACCTCAGTGGATTAACATGATAGTTCAGATCATGAACATGAGATGTTAACACAATGCTCGTCACAGAGCAGTGATGGTGACCCTATGGCGTGCACGCCCCAGCAGGCTGTTTGTATCACTGAAGCTCTAAAACGTTCGTCATCACTGTACCAGAGTAAGTATTCTTGTCTTTGCTGTTTTTATTGTTTTAAGGAGATGTGAAGGTCTCTTCTCTTGGTGTCCTCAGCTGCAAACTGGGGATAATACAGTACTTCTGCTTACTTACCAACACTGTTCTGCATATCTGCACTGTTGCAGTCTGTATTTTGTAGGTGAGAAAACTGATGCTGACATAAATGGGGCCAGAAATTTACCCAAGGTTACAGAGTCAGCATTGAACTAGAAATGGAGATAAGCTAACTCCAAAGGCTCTTTTCTGAAGCACAGCACTATACCAAAAAACCACTCTTCATTCTGAAATCTGTATGTAAAATTTCCAAGAGTGCCTTATAATTATTTAAAACTTTGTAGTAATTCTAAGACTTCCTACTATTTCTTTATCCCTTACCTTTCCAGGAGGTACCTGGAGACTGGACAGCTTTTCTTACTGCCGCTTTGGCTCCAGCTGCTCTGCTGTGGATGGTGAAAGTGGCAGTTCCTAGAAAGCAAACACCATTACTTAACTTCCCCTAACGTAGTCATGAGTTTTCATATTTCATCCTGTAAATGATTTGAGGACAGAAACTAAACCTTTCAATCAGCTCTGACTCTGCTTAAAAACTGCTCAGAGTAGGAGCCCAGTAAATGGTGCTTGACTTGGACCAAGAAAGCAAAACGAAGTGTAGAAAAGGATGAGGGAAAGCTCTACTTTAACATTTGGTATGCTTAGAATACAGCAGTGACCCTTTTTCAACTAGCAAATGTAGTTTGATAGTATCTATGGCAGCTGGGAAAGACAGGGACATAATAAGCCTATTAGCAATAAACACCTAGATAAGATGCCAAGCTAACTTTTATCAAGAGAACCATTAAGGCTTCTTTTGTTTGTTTTACAGTGCTGGGGACCAAACACAGGGTCTCGGCCTTGGTAGTCAAGTGCTCTACCACTAAGGTCCTGATTAAGTTTTCTTAAATTTAATCTTTGCAAGCAACTGCAAAATGTTTGACTTATAGTCCTGAACAACTCTCTGAGGTAGGTTTTATTTACTTATTTATTTTTAGACTTGGAGTCTTGCTGTACTGTCCTAGAAAAAAAGATCCTCCTTCCTCAGCTTGCTCAGTGACTGAGACTGGAAGTATGCACTGCAACCCCAGGAGGTGTAAGTTTTAAGTGATTATCTAAGAATATCTAAGAGCAAAAATTACAGCAGAGCTAGGGTATGAACCTAATCTGAGTGATTCTCAAACCTCATCCTTTCTTGAAACTCAGGGACAGGTTAGGTAGGGTAACAGCTAGGCTCCTAACAGTGTTGTCTGATATAAGTGCTGTAAATACTCACCTATTGACATCCTTGAACAATAATTTGTTTAGAGATAGCTATTTGGGGGCAGCCTTTTTTTATTCATACAATTTTTCAAGTATTTCATTTGTTCAACGTGAGGGGTAACGCAGAGATGAGGAAGAGTATTGCTACTCTCTAGGACTTTAGTCTACTATAGGGTTCAATGAGTAGAAGACATTGCTGTGCTTCAAGAGGGACATAACCAGGTGAATAAAGCCCACAATACAAAAAAAATAACTACTTTAGCATTGTTTATCACTAGTTTTTATAACCACCATGTATTAGCCTCAACTTGGAAATGACAATGGAGAGTTTAAAACTGAATATATCAAGTTCAAAGAACCTTTAGTTAAGATCAGGGATGTCTTCAAAGACACAGAAATGGCACTTATTTGTAAGTGTAAAAATGCTAGAATTTCACCTAAGGAGTAGGAGTCCAAAGCATGGCATGTGATTGGTAAGACAGCTGTAATGCAGCCCTGGCTATGTGGGGAGAGGAGCAAAGGAAGTGAGGAGGCCAGGCAGAAGGTCTGGCCTGTCTCTGTGGGCTTCCGAGCCACAGCACAGCCCGCTGCATGTCTCAGGAAAGCAGGGCACAAGGACAGAGGGTGGGAGGAGACAGCTGCAGTCAGAGTGCAAGGTGATGACTAAGGCCTGAAGGGGGCCAGACACAAGAGGGAGACATATTTCCATGTTATCCAAGATTACTCACATCAAATATTAAGAAATCAGATTCAGGGCTTTAAAAATTTGGCCAATTTGGGGGAGGAGGTCTTTATTTAATTTTGGCAAATATAACAAGTGTGAAAAAATTTTTTTTAAGTAAAAGCATGGTTCACTATTTTGAAATTCTAGTTTTTCACTGTGTACCAAGAATTGGGTTAGGCACTTGTGCCACTGAGCTAAACCCCTGGTCCTAGTGTGTACCAAGAATCAAATTCTAGGTTTTGTACTTGCCAGCCAGGCACTGTGTCACTGAGCTACATGCTTGGTCCTGAAATTCTAGTTTTAAAGGACCAGAATTTTCTTACTGAAATTCGACAATCAAAATTAAATTTTATCAAAAGGATTGGAATTTAGAAAATTTCTGTTTTCTAATGGAAGCACCATATTAAGCTACAGGCTTAAGCATATAAATTCTAGACCCAGATTGGGATTAAATTTTACTTCGGCCACATCTAAGCAGTTATTGAATCTTCCCCTGTCTTAGTTTCCTCAACTTTAAAATAAGAACATAATACCTATGTCACAGGATTGCCATTAGAGAATATAAATAGAACCTGACACATAAGTTACTAAAATTTTCAACAGTATACACTTATACTGCATTATCAATTTTTATACATTTTTAGTACATAAGCATTCTACATACAACTATGTTCTGCTTTAGTAATCAAAACACAAGTATAATAAAATTAATTAAGAAAAACTAGATATAAATAGCAGATATATCCTCAAATGTGGAAAAGGATGCCTACAACTTTACCAGACAAATAAATGAGAAAGATTCCCATATAAGTTGCAAGTAATTCACTGCTCAAATCCCAATATAAAAGGCTATCGGTGAAAAGATTCACAAGGCCTTTCTTATTTCAAAGCAGAAGAATAGTATCATGATATAACAAAGTCTTTTCTCAATCCCTTACATTCTGTTGAAATCAAAATCCCTTTTCACTACGATTTGTAGCTTTTACTAACAAAACCACAACTTTGGAGATAAGGAGGGACAGGTACAGATCTCACTAGACAAAAGCTTTAACTGTGGAGGCAAAGCGGCATTGGAGGGAGGGGACTGAAGTGGGGAAAAAGAATTAAGACATATGTACAGTCACAAATTGGCTACGATGAATGCAATCGTTATATGGGGAAGTTTGTACTAATGAAAATAAATTACACCACCCCACCCCGCCCCACCAAAAGAGCCTTAAATCTTACCACGTGGCCAAGATGAACCCTCAGGTTGCCCAAGAGGTTTCCCTGTATGGGTATAACTTGATTTGGATACACATCTGACCTTTCCAGGTCGACTTAGAAAATTGTGCCCATGTTGATTCTCTCTGCAGCAGAAATTACATAATTATGAAATCCCTAGAGTGTCATATCAGTGATAAAATTTAATAGCCTAAATTATAGCCCAGATTTGTATATTCACTTATCACTGTGTATTCTATATCTCAGGGTGTAACATTTAATGTTGATAACCCAACAAGTAATTCTTTTCATATATTTTCAAATAAATTGTTTCTACTTATGTCTCTACCCATTTCAAATTTTCCACACAGTTAGCAACTATTTATGTACTTAATTACCTGATTCATTCTGAAAAAGATTTGAACAGATCTTTTGGTATTTTGAGTAAACTCCATACCATGCACACAGGTGAACTGATTATTTATCAGTCTATATTGATAGCATTCTTTATGACTTTGTAAGTCATGTGATCATAAGTCTAATCTTTACTTCTTAAAGGTGGTGATTTTTAACAAAGTGCTGTCAATTCATACTGACAACATGGATCATCAACAGACCTACCTTTGCATATTTGTTTGCCATATATAAGAAACTTTAAGTTGCATACTTCTGCCTGGTAGACTTATGCAAACATTAAAGGTGAAATATAAATAGTGCCACAAGAAGATGAATATAACCACGCAGGAAAGGATTTGGTACAGCAAGAAAAGTGGTCAGCTGGGAGAGGGGGTCTGCCTGTTCTGCCAGAGAGAAGATAGTGGGTGAAGAAACAGGGATGTAGTTCATAGGAAATTACAGAAGCAAATCTGAACAGAAATTGTTATAGCTTGCATCTAGATGTCACCTCAAAATTTCATGAGCTCATTGGTGGGGGCTTTTGGGAGCTAACTGGATCAAGCATGTGTGAACTTGGATTACTGGTGTGTGAACATTAAATTAACCCACTGATTGGCTTAGCATAGATCTGGGTGTGGATAACGGGTACCACTCTGAGTACAGGTGGCACCACCCCATAATGCTTGTAACCTGGGTGACATGAAAGGGGAAGGAAGCGAGACTTGTTGCCACTTTGCTTTGCTGCCGGCTGCTGCCTTCTGTCTGCCTGGCCTCAGACTGTTTCTCTTCCGCTATCCCCCTCTGCCACACTGCTCTACCCTAGAGCCAGCTGACTGTGGACTGAAACTTCTACAAACTGTGAGCTAAAATAAACCTTTCCTCCTTTATCTTTGGGTGTCAGATTTTTTTCTTTGTTTGGTACCAGAAGTCGAACTCAGGACCTTGCACTTACCAAGCAGGTGCTTGTGCCACTGAGTTATATCCCTGGCCTACGGGGTCAGGTATTTTGTCTGGACATTGAGAAAAGTAACAAACATAGAAAATAAAGAAAAAATAAGACTGAACAGGTAAAATTTGTACTTCAGGTATTCTGAAGTGATTTGTTACAGTATAGTTACAGATTTGTCTTCTTCCTTGTTGATTTCTTTTGGGGGAGTACTGGGAGCTATACATCCTTGGCCCTCTTGTTGATTCTATAAATTTAAGTCCTCATAATTAAAGGATTTATGTTGTTTCTTCACTTTGTCATCATAACTGTAGGCAGGGAAGATGCAAAACACTGAATTTGGGTCACAAAAGTCTCATCAGACCTGCCATCATTTTGCCAAATGACATGTCTACATTGTCTTACCGCCTTGGAGAAGGGCAGCGCTGCTGTCCACAATGCCGAGCAGTGCTGCGTTTGTTAGGCGACGGTTTCTGTGCAGTTGCTGGTAGTTGCGCTGACTCTGCCAGCAGTTCATTCATCAGACTATAGGCTTGGGAGAGTCGCTGACTATAGTGGTTAGATAACAGCAATCTTTAGAAAAAGAAACGAATGAATGAACTAAACATCATTTACTCAGGGGGAAGATTTCTAGAGAGTACACAGTGCTTTTTGCTTTTTTCAATGCTTTTCAAATCCTCCATGTCATAAGCTGTTCAAGAACCACTATGCAGTAGGATATTGTTGAAGAAGACTCTAAAATGGCCACTGAGGTACTTCCCAAAGGTACTGGGTTTGGGGAAGGGAGAACAGCAGAATTAAGTCATAAAAGTTGAAAGGCACAAATAATATTTGAGAGCAAATTCCAAAAAAGATTAACAATGATACCTCCCATAATTTTCTGCTTATTGAACAGAAAGACTATTGTAAACTATGCAATCCTGAAGGCAGTGTCTATGTCTAGGGCAGAAGAGGTAGAGAGAATGTCCAGGCACAGCTCCCAGACTTACCTGTCTTTTTCATGCTTCATTTTTTGTCTCATCCTGATTTCCCTGGAAGTCATGTAAAACTGCAAAAGAAGTATCTGGTTAATTTATTATTGTTCAGTCCAAGTAATTAAACCCTTATATACCATTCAGTTAGCTAAAAAATAGTGTAAAAGTGTCGTATTTCATAAAGCATTGCATCTTACTACAAAATATAAAAATATTAATTAAAACATCAATTAATGTAATATCCAGTTTAATAAATGAAATATAAAATGTATCTTGCTAGTTAATATATGTTCTTAAAAAAGGAGATCCTTATTAAGCTACATATAAAATGGAAAATAATATTTTAGGGATGAAGACACCTAAAACTTGTACTCAATTGTGTAGTTACTCTCACCAATAGCTTGGCTGAAAAAGCAGAAATGACATCTAAAATAATCATTTTAATACTGTGAAACGTTTACCAAAGACCTATTATAGTGAGTTATAAATAATATGGTTCGCAAACAGACACATTTGGCAAAGTTTTTTCTTTGCAAACTGTGCATCCAGCGACAAATATGGCTGGGGCCAACTTCTCCACATGAACACAAACACGGCCATTTTTTCCAGAATTACAGAACCAATTAAGTTCATGAACTGAGGTACCACTGTATTTCAAAATGTACCATAAGGCAAACTGACAAATGTCAGTTATTTCGGAACACTAAGAGTTACTGTTGGCCAGCCTTTTCTCATGAGTCAGCACCATTTGCAGATTGCAGGGGAAGAGGACAAGCAGTCACCAAGAAGCAAGCCCTCCCAGTGAACTGGCATCATGCCACTGTGGGGCTACTGTGGGGCCAGCCAGATATCAGCCCCTTCCAGCATGTAGGCTGGGAAATAAAGAGAGGCAAACCGGCCCCACCCACGGTAAGCCACTGGCTGATTTAGAGAAACCCAGGCTGCAATGATGGCTACTGATTAATTGTACTGATGGTACAATTAATGCTTGTAGTGATTAGTGCTTCCCTGAAATTGCAGGCTTAAAGCCAGTGGTCTGATCATGTATCCATTCAGAAGATGGAGGAGCTTTTCTTAGGGTATTGACCATTGTTGATTATTGTTTTGAAATCCTGTACCATTTTCACTGTTTTGGGGGGTTGGGTTTTGTTGTTTTGTTTGATTTTATTGTATCCAACGGCATGGGCAGCTATTTCAAAGATCACAAGATATATTATGGTAGTCACTTTGGATTTACTATTATCTTGTTTTGAAGTCCTTTATTGCATTCACTATTTTGTTTTTATTGGTTCTATTTGTTCTGTTTTGTTTGATCTTTACTATGTCTGAAGGTATCTGGCTATTTTGAAGACAACAGGAAGCATTATGGTAACTATTGTTGATTTTATAATGTTTTGAAATCATGTATCTCTTACACTGGTTTGTTTTGATTGGTTTTATTGTTATATCCTCTTTAAAAATAAAAAAAATTTAAAAAACTTTTTCAGACTTATGTAAAATGTTGACTGGTCTATATGTCAGTAAAAAAGGTATTCGAGTTATATTAAACTTTTTGTGAATTTTGGCTTAGAAAAACTACATATACCTTGCATCATTCCCATTACCCTTACTAGTGCGGACTTACTGGATTCCTTCTGGGGCAAAAAGGATTGTGCTCTTGCCTCCTCTTTTCTGCCAGCTGATTTAAATAGTCTGCCATTCTTTCTTTTCTTTTTCTTTTCATCCAAACTTGAATTTCTCTTCTCTCTTTCTCAGTTCTTTGTGGACATCTGCCAGAAGAATGTGGAATCCTGTAGAATTTAGCATGCAAGACATTATTTGCTTTTAAATTTGTGATGTAGATAAGAAGTATCACGACTAAAAACTTCATTTAGAAAGATTGTGCTGCATCTTAAAAGTAGAGCTATCCTGTAGTCAGCTTGCTCCAGTCTGTTCCCTGAACTCCAAAGAAAATGGCATCAGAAGGATACCAACAACTTCTCTGTAACATTGGCTTTAAATTCTTTACCTCTTTAAACTCTTCCCTTATGTCTTATCTTTTGTTTTTTCTTAATCCTCAAAATACTATATACCTCATACATTGCTTCCCTTTCCTGTTTATGACGTTAGTATTAATATGGTCTGCTTTGAACTTGCTTACTTATGATCTGTTCTCTAGACCATCTCAGTCACTTTCAAAACTTTACAGAGGTGACCTCTGAGCTGTCCATATGTACCTCCATCTTCAGGTCTGTGTTACACTTCCCATTGACCAGCTGAGATAATGACTACACTGGGCAGGAGTGCTGTGACTGGCTTATTTCTGCAAACTCTGAGGATGACAGTGGATGACACTGGCTTGAGGCCTTACCATCAGCCTGGATGAAATGTTCTTAGAACTATGCTACACTTTGAGACCCTGCCTCCCTAATGCTTTCCTTCCTTCTTTTCTCATATCCATGTGCCCAACAAAACTCTTATATATCAATCCCATCTTGACTTCTGTTTCTCAGAGTCTAAAAAAATGCAAGTGGTACTAATACATGAGAAAATGAGTACTTGAAGCTGGGCCTGGGGGAAGATCCATCACCGAGAGTGTAAAGCAGACACCATGTGAGATGGAAGATGGAACCACACACACACACACACACACACACACAGTGCTTTATTCTGAACACCACCTTTCCTTCCCAGAGTCTGGGTCACAGAATATGCCAGACAGTACCCCTGATAAAACCAACAAGAACCTAACATACTTGTCTGGTGGATATTTCACGTGGTTGTCACAACTTTCTACACTAGAAGTCAGGATGTCTTCTGATTGGGAAAGGATTCTGAGAAGGCTTTGCCTACTTTCTCCTGGATCTTACCCCAGGGAAGCTTTTCCCTTTGCTGACTTTGCTTTGATCACTGTCGGGATAAATTATCACTATAAACATAATTACAGAATATGGTACATTTTGTGAATGCTAGCAAAATGCAGTCCATAGTGATCTTGGGGCTCTCCCAGCACAAAGTCAGATCTACTGTCTTTGTGTGGCTTTCTCCCTTTCCCTTCACAGAGATTTCTCCACATAAAGCTCTTGTTCATCTAAATCCCACATTGGCATCAGCTTCTCAAAGGACGTTAAGTTGATTGTTACTAGACACTTTCCTGTTACCTTATGTTTTAAATCACTACTGAAGTCAGGGGTTTTCAAGGAAAACAATTTAATACAGACATAAAATTTACAGATTTTTTTTTTTTTTTTGTATCGGGGACCGAACCCAGCACCTTGCACTTGCCAGGCAGGCACTTATGTTGCTGAGCTAAATCCCCAGCCCACAGAATTATTTTATAACAGTCACCCGAAGGGTCAAACACAAAAAGTGTCAGAACCTGTCAACACACTAAAGTCCTCAAAAAATCGAGCTGAGGGTCCAGATCCCACGGCAACATCCTGCATGAGTCAGCTGAAGACCTAGAGTCCATGACAATGTTTCATGCAAGTCTGTTTCATGGATCTGCACTGGGAAGACTCAAAGGTCAGCGGTGGAAATCACAAAGTCTGTGCTAGTAGGTTGAGGCTTCTGCACTGGAGCCAAAAAGCTATGTTCAAAATAAGGGACAAGATTCCTCTAAAAAAACACTACAGCCATTTTTAATGACAACAAGGGCCCAAGCTCCTCCAACAATGACAACAGCTGAGTTCATATCAGGAAGCCAGTGTGACAAGCTTCTTCTGGATACTGAACAGCACACCATCTTCCCCTGAAGAGCCAGGAAACAGTTAAGTAAAAACCAGAGCTTCCCCAAAGAACCACAGCCTTTCTCAGCAACAAGGTCTTGAGCTCCTCTCACAATCAGAACTGCCAAATTCACATCAGAAAAGCCAGCATGACAAGCTCCTCCAACAGAACTAACAGTACCAGAAAAACCAGCAACACCCAGGAGAACCAACAACACTGTATAACAACTCTTCTTCCTCTCCAGTTTTTTTTATGTTGTTGACAACCCTCAGGTGGGCTTCCCTACACTCAGTGCCACACTGATTCAGTTCAGCTGATGTTACAAGTTGACCACCAGTTGTCAGTTCACCACTACCACATTCTTCAACTTGCAAAAGAAATCACCATCAGTTAAGTCATCCAAAAAAATCTGTCACTCTCACTTTCTGACAGAGCCCAGAATTTCCTCAGCTCTGTGACCTGCACTTTCTACTCTGAGCACTTGATCTTTGACTCCAGAAGTAAAGTCGTCTAACTGGCTCCCGGTTCAGACTAAGACCCTTTGCTGTTTGCCAATGAGTTGAACTCAGTAAGTGCCTCTGGTTTCCATCCTGGCTTGTCCCACTCTCCCATGCACAAACTCTAGCTCCATCTAACACCTGTCCTCACCATCATCATAACTTTGCATATGATATTCTGTCTGCCTGAAATATCCTTCTTCCCAGTTATTAGTCACTAACAGATAATTTCTATTGATATTTTGAGATACTGATCAAATTCCTGAACTGGTGAAATTGCCTTCTCTAACTGTCTTCTAATAGCACACTTACATAACTTGATCTTAACAGTTTTTCTCCATTTTTATTCTAATTCTTGACATTTCATAGGCTACTGATGAAATATCTATAACAAGATCATTAACTTTAGACAAAAAAGAGCAACTAGGAATTCACTAAGTATACTAGTTTAGAAAATTAGGATTTTCATGGTCTTAATACAAGGTTATCAATGTAGCTGATAAATACCATGAATTAAACAGAAACATTCTTTCATCTTTTGATGCACTATTTTCAGGTAATACCCCTGTGACTTTATAGTACATTGCATTTTCATTAAAGCAGAAATAGATAAACCCCATAAGTATAGCTAAACCAGAAAATAGATAAATTCTGTAAATTGACAAGAGGTGAATAAACTTTTAGGAAAACATGAATAGAAGAGTCAGCCTGCATTCTATTCAGGAAGAGTTGTAAGGAAAAATATTTTAAGGTAATAGACCATAGGAAGGCTATTATAAATATATCCTAGGGTTAATATTTAGGAAAAAGTACCATGAGCTAAAATATTCACTAGTTTTAATAAGCAACAGGACTAACTGTATGTTGTACTTAGGAGTGATGAGTCATGAGTTCGATCCTTGGTACTAAAAAGAGTAAGTCATTCAGCTGAAGTTGTGTACAATCTAAGGACAATTGACAATTTTGGGCCAGGGATTTAGCTCAACAGTATAAGCACCTGCCTTGCAAGCATGCAGTTGTGAGTTCAATCCTTGGTACCAAAGAAATGAGTGACAAGACCTGGGGAAAGCTCACAGGACACAGATGTGCTATATTAGCTAAACAAACCAGCTATACACTGTTGGAGAAGCTGCACATTTGTTTCATAAAAATTACACTAAAATATGGCCAATTTTAAACATTCTTGAACCAGAAACATTTTAAGTGGGTTAAAAATGAATTATTTAATAGCTAGCAACTCAGTGATGGGGCATGTGCTTAGCATTCGCAAGACCAGAGATTTCATCTTCAGCATCCGAAACCAAAATCAAATAATGAAATGAAGTATCTTCAATGATTACCTAGAGATACTCTTAGCTTGTTGCTCTGTTAAGCCAAGTTCTTTACTGGAAACACCACAGTTAGTTATGAGGTCATCAATAATATCTGCAATATCAGTCAATCCGGTCATCTGGAGTGGATCTACTGAAACACTTCAATTAGAAATGTAATTTCAGAATTATAAATCACCATCTCCAACTTATTACATTAAGTAAAAACAAATATGCAAAACTAGGCCTTTAAGAACAAAAATTTGAAAATGGTAAACATATATCTACTCGTCTTCTATTTCTGTAATTCTGTTATCTCTCAGGGGAAAAGCACACTCATTCATAACTGATGATTTCATAGGTGCTTAGTAAAACACTTTCGACCTTAGAGAAGACCTGTGTGAGTCTTGCCTACTGAAATTTAATGAATATGCAGTAAAAAAAAGTATAGCAAATACAGTCTATCACTTTGTAATTACTTATAATAGCAAGGGACACAACGTAACAGTTTTAGTTTCTTAAAACACTGCATTCCCAGAAGACATTATATTCATTTAAACAAAAAAAATTATAATCTAAAAGTTCACATTCACAGGGACAAACTCTCCAGAAGACATATTTATGTATAAATTTAAGTAAGATAATGAATTCTTTTTTTTTTTTTTTTTTTCCGGTACCGGGGATCGAACTCACAACTGCCTGCTTGCAAGGCAGGCGCTTATGCTGATGAGCTAAATCCCTAGCCCCAAGATAATGAATTCTTAAAATATTTACCTCTCAAATAATTCATCACTATTCTTCATACCTTAAAAAAAGAAACATTATTAATAACAATTTAGGACAGTGCTTTAACTTTCAATTTTTTTGGAGGGGTATCAGGAATCAAACTCAGGACCTCACACTTGCCAGGCTGCACCACTGAGCTAAATCCCCAGCCTTAACGTTCAATTACTAATCAAATTTAGAAATTATATCACCAGAAACTGAAATATTTTAAAGAAACCTTTAAATTGGTTTAAAGATACATATATAAAGCATTTTTAGCTCCTATTAAATACACTGTTTCGTAGTAAATATCTGTTTTGAGATTACATTTCTATAATGTACTGCTCAGAAGATACTGTTGTAGCTTATATCTAGATGTCCCCCCAAAGCTTCATGTGGTCAGAGGTGGGGTTTTCAGAAATGGCATCTAGGTTGTGTGAATATGGATTAAGGGTGTGGTACTGGGATTAGGAGTATGGGGTTCTGGATTACTTTATTAATTTGTTTACCATAGTTTGGGGTGTGGATAATGGAAGTTCCGCTCTGGATATGGGTGGCACCACCTAAAAGGTTTGTAGCCTGGATGGAATAAAAGGGAAAAGTAGGCTTGCTGCTGCTGCTTGATACTCGGTGCCTCCTTCCTGCTCTGCCATGGACTGTTTCTCCTCTGCAATATCTATCTGCATGTTGCCTTGTCTTGGAACTAGCCTAATACAGACTGAAACTGCTACAAACTGTGAGCTAAAATAAATCTTTTCTCCTTTAAACTGTAGGTGTCAGGTAGTTTGTCTCAATAAGAAAAGTAACTAAAAGAGAGTTTAGAGTTTGGGAGTGTAATTTACTTAAAAACAAAACAAATAATAAACTCTGGTAATCTGAAAATAATACACTGTGAATTTTTTTTAACTTTTAAAAAATATCTAATTTAAATCCAAGAAGCAATTTACCTGAACAGGACCTCAAAAACAATTTTTAAATCTTGTCCAATATGATTATATATCTTTAAAGCAAAACAATAAAATCATATATATGTTTAAGGAAAATTGTGAAATTGCTTCCTGAAAAAATTTAAGATTTTACTAAATTAAGATAAACTAAACCTGTCTCTAAGACTTTTATATATCCACATTTTTTTTGGGGGGGGGAGTCTTTTTTACCTTTTTATCGGTACCGGGGATCGAACAATATGAAATAATTTTGTTTTTGTAAGCATACATTTTTCAATTGATTCACAAGGATTTTTAACCTTTTTCTTAGAACCTGAGAATATGTGACTTTTTATCAGCAATTAAATTTTACTAAGAGAAAATATTCACACAAATCTAAGATTATAACAACTGTTATAACTTATAGTTTCTGCTTAGGAGAAAAAGATACTTCTCCTAAGAGAGGGTCCATTAAGAAGACACTCTGAGGTCCCCTGCTAGCCTATTCATGAAGGAAGCTTGAAGAATTACCTTCTACTTCTGTATGGGCTAATGAGCAAGGTGGGTGAGATTAAGACATGATCTCTTGGGTGAAAGGCTGAAGTTTTAGTCATCAAACATAGGTGAATGGCAAGTTGCTCTTCCTTCTCCGTTTAGGGACCCATGACCACAAGGCCACAGTATTTACAAACCTGGACAAACCTCGTCAAGCCAATTTTTTTTTTTTTGTACTGAGAATCAAACTCAGAATCTTGCACTTGCCAGGCAGGTGTTGCACCACTGAGCTTTATCCCTGGCCCCCCACCTGCATCAAGTTTAATATTTTTTAATCTGGGGCTGGGGATAAGCACCTGCCTTGCAAGCAGGTGGTCATGAGTTCGATCCCTGGTACCGATAAAAAAATAAATAAATAAAATAAAATAAATAAAAAACATTTTTTAATCACTACTACTGAAAGAAAACACTTTTTTTTTTTGTCTTTTTCATTTTTATCGGTACCAGGGATCGAACTCACGACTACCTGCTTGCAAGGCAGGTGCTTATGCCGCTGAGCTAAATCCCCAGACCCAAGAAAATACCTTTTTGCAGAACTCTAGTAACAAGTGCAGTTAAAATGCACAACTTCATGTTTAAAGATAAATTGTCTTACATATTATTTTTTTTTGTTTTTTTCCCTGAGACAAGGTCTCATCACAAATTCAGGCTAGCTTTTTAAACTTACCATGTAACCCAAACTGGCCTTGAACTATCAGCAATCCTGCTGCCTCAACCTTCTGAGCATTACGATTATAGCCATGTATCATCACACTCAGCCATATTATTAAGAAAAGCTTCTAGCTGGGCCTGTAATTCTAGCACAGAGGAGGCAGAGGCAGGAATGCTGTAAGTCCAAGGCTAGCCTGAACTACGTAGTGAGACATTATCTCAAAAAAAAAAAAAGCTTCCTCTACTAAAAAAAAAAGGATAATGATGAGTGCAGACTAATCACATAAAAATGTGGTTAGTAAGAAAGTGTTCTTGTATCAAACAGCAGTAAATGATGTATTAAAAACCTTTAAAAATAGTCACATAGAGTCTACTATTTCATTTCAAAGCACTTTTGGAACTCTTCTTTTGTGATTGCCTACATAAATGATTTATTAAATACAATTGATCATTTTTATTCCTTGGTAACTGATTCCTTATCTTCAATTCTAAAAAAAAAAATGACAGCCTAGCTATTTACTTCACATATCAGCAGAGCCTCTGAATATTGTATGGTTGCAAAAATTAAATATATCCTCAGTGAATAAATTATTTACCACTAAGAATACTCAAAGAAATATGCTTATAAATGGAACTTAATTGCAAAAGAGGAAAATCTAAGCTATTTTTGATCATTAAAGCAAGGAAAAGACAACGTATTTTTCTAAGTTGCCAACTCTGGAGAAAATACCCATTAGATGATCTAAATATCTTCACTTATAAAAATGTTTTTTTCCTAAGTTTGTAATCATATACTGACCCATAGAAAAAAGCATTTTATCTACTTTTATATAGGTTACAAGGAAAATACTGTACCCTCTTATTCTTATACAAACCTGCATTCATTAGAATAAAGAATGCTACTTTCAACTGCCATTTCCAACTAAAACTAAGGTTCAATATTCTCAACTGTAAGTGGGGATAATAACTGTCTTCTTCATAGGTCAGGATTAAACAAGCGTCTACACAAACAAAACAGTGATGGTCTCACATAAGATAGACACCAATTAATCTGTATTTTGTTTTCAAGTTAAAATTCAAAGTTCTGATAACTGGCAGGGTTTGAATGTCTCAATTTTTGTAAAACTCAAAACACAATAACTCTAGTTGCTATATATCTAGCATTAATATGTCATACAGGTGTATAATGCATGGTTGAAGTATATTTTATAAAATTCTTGTGAATGGCACATTTTAATTTCCCTTCCCCTGAAATAAGTACTACAAAATGACTTCACAAATTCTTCATTAAGTATATTCCCAGGAGACTTAGTTCAGGAAAATAAAGTGTATATATATGAAAAAAATCTACAGAACAATACCAGAAGAAGTAATATTCTGGTCACTGGAAAGGCTGACAGCTGAATCGGCAGAAGGTACACAGGTTTTCTGATTAGAATGATTTTCTGTTACTGACAATTCAGCTTCTGAAGTCTTCTCTTTGTCAGTTTGATCCTCTTCCTTCATATGAGTCAGAAAATGGACTAATCCAGAGCACATATTACAATTGAAAGAAAACAGTGAAAACAATCATGGAAAAAAGTATAAAAACTGTAATATTGCCACATGACAACATAGACACATTAGAAGTTTGCAACAATGCTGGTGCAAACAATGCTGGTGCATGCTTGTAATCCTAACACTTGGGAGGCTGAAGTGGGAGAATACAAACAAGTTTGATGCCAGCCTGGGCTATAGAGTGAGTTCAAGACAGTCTAAATTACATAATGAGAACCTGTCTCAAAAAAACCCTCAAGATGATGATGATGATGATGATGATGATAATAATAATAAAAAGAACAAAAAGTTTGCAACATACTTTTTCTGATTGTTTTCTACAGTATGAAGAACTAATTTGTTCTGAACTTTAAAATGAAAACTGTCATAGTAAAAAAAAAAATCAAACAGCTTTTAAGGAAGCATAGAAACAATAATGTAAAAACAGGACAGGAACAGACATATTTGAAAAAGAATTTGAGAGTAAAACTATAGTCACCAGGTATAGCCAGTGTGGGCAGGCAGCCACGGTCAGATCTGCCTCTGCTTGCCAGCTGCTGCCATCAGAAAGCTTACTTCCAGCACACAACCAGTGCAGGCAGGGATACACCTGTAGGCCACCACTGGAGACCCTTGCTTCCTTTGGGCAGCCAGAATCAGACGAACACTCCCCTCAGTGTATACTTCTACCAGGGGTTGTCCTGGTGTAGAGACACAGGCTGAGAGAAGCAACAGCTCCCTACCACAGTCTCCTGGCCATCAGGGAAGCCCCAGTGTAGCCACACAGGACTGGAGAACCCCATTGCATGCCCTATGATCATCCTGGGAACCTGAGGTCAGAGAAACCCAGGTGCTACCCATTCTCTTACACTGCTGAGGGGTGGCCAATGTGGTAAGTGGCTGGGACCTCACAACTGGCTTGTGGGGTGGAACCCAGGAGAATGTCAAGACAAAGTAGCAAAAGGCAATCTCACACCTCTAGCCCACACAGAACAAGTCTGGGAGATACACTCATAGAAGAAAATGGAAGTCACATACCTGAAATCCCCAAGGATTAGAAACAATTTCATGAGACTGTAAAAGTAATCAAATCAGAAATAATGTCTCATGTAAAAGAAGAAATAAAAAAAAATGTAAGAATTGCTGAGCATACCTAAAGGAACACAGACAAAAGAGAGCAGCATAAGAAAATGATGGAAACCTTGAGTAAACAATATAGAAAAGAATTACAATGCATGAAACAGATTCAAAGAGATATTCAGAAAATTAAAAAGTCAATCGAAAGCTGGCAAAACCACTTGAAACAGACTGAAGATAGACTTTTCAGACTCTGAAGACAGGATCATAGCTAGTGATCGTGAAAGGAAAGATCTCTTAAAAGTAACATGGAATCAGGAAATAATTCAATGGCTGCAAGATGATACAAAGAAAAATAATCTAAGAGTGATAGGTATTAGTGAAGAAGCAGGAGTCAACACAAATGAGATAAAAAGGCCATTTACAGAAGTAACAGCTGAAAATTTCCCAAACATGAGAATGGAAACTGACCTACAGATCAGTGAAGCATATAGAACTCCAAATAACCATAATCAAAATTAAACTACACCCAGACATATAATAATCAACATCTCAGAAATTCAGCACAAGAACAGAATATTAAAAGCTCTTAAGAGAAAAGAGACAGATCACATATAAAGAGAAATGAATCAGAATCACAGCAGCCTTGTCAACACAAACCATCAAGTCAAGAAGAGTTTGGAGTGAGGTGTTTCAAATCCTGAAGGAAAACAACTTCCAACCCAGATTGACATACCCTGCAAAACTACCTTTCAAAATTAATGGAGAAATAAGACATTTCCATGATAAAGAACAACTAAAGGAATTCATGACCAACAAACCAACCCTACAGAGAGTGTTGATTCTCTTCAATTAAATGACCAGCTACAAAAACTATTTCCATATACTAGGCCACAAAGGAATTTTTTTGAGGTACTAGCTATTTCCAGATATTGGGCCACAAAGGAATTTTTTTGAGGTACTAGGAATTGAACCCAGGGGTCCTACACCACTTAGCTACATCCACAGTCCTTTTTATTTTTTGAGACAGGATCTCACTAAGTTCCCAGGCTGGGCTCTTGCTTTAGCCTCCCAAAGCTGGGATTACTAATGTGTGTCATGACACCCAGCTCATAAAGGAAATTTTAATAAATACCAAAAACCAATAATATCATACATATCATCTAATAGCAAGAAAAATGGAAATGAATCATGAAAAACACAGCCCAAATCCACTTAATAAAATTATGTAGACCTAAACACACCAAATGTCATGTCAATATCCTTGGCTAGGTCCATGGAGGAACATGTTTAACATTGAATACACATAGTTACTAAGAAAAAAATGGAGTTAGGAAAAAGCCAACAAATTAACCTCCCCAAAATGGAAGAGGTAACAAAAGTAAAATTTAAAAATGCAAATACTGTATAAGCAATTACAAATACAGGAGACTATGAAAACGTAAGTACCCTAATTTCAATCTTTCAATAAAATGAAACAGTCCACCCACCGCTTGGCTGTTTAATTGGACCTCAAATACCAGCAACCTTACCAAAAAGGTCTGCGGCCTTCAGAGTCTGTAGTCAGTGGCTCAGAACTCAGAAACTAAGATCTAGGCCACTTGGCACAGTTCTGGCATAAAAGCCAGAATAGGTTATTAGTATCTCAGAAGAAAAAAAAAATCTAAAATGGCCTTACAGTAGGAACCAGTCTCATTATTACAAAAATAATCCTGAGGGCTGGGCTTAAAGTGCAGTTAGCACGTGTGAAGTCCTGGATTTGATTCCAGTCTCCCTGTTCCCCCACAAAAAGACAAAAACAAAACAAAAGAAAAAAACCAAATTTAATCAAAAACAGAGGGGCCAATAACTTCAGCCTCTTTCTGAAAATGATTTCTAGGGATGGCACTCCAAAAAGCAATGCCTTTTCTTTCAGACTAAGCCAGGCTTTGGGCCCACAACTCCACAAACCTTCTTTAGAAATGCTAACAGCTTTTGAAGCTAATGCTGTTTCAAATTCTGGGCCAGAAGATAATTCAATGTGGTCTACCTCTCCGACCTGTTTTAAAAGAAAAAGACACACCACAAAACAATTGCTTTAAATTTTATACTTGGATAATTTTAAAATATCATAGACCATTTTATATAAATTTCAAAGATTTACATTAATGGAACTAATAAATGAAATGGAGCTAAATCCAACATGAACTATTAGGACTGATAAAGAGGAGGAAATTTTTTTTTTTTTGCCCTCCACCCTTTTTGGAGACAGGGTTTTGCTATAGTCTTGGCTGGCCTTGAACTCACTATACAGCCTTGGCTGGCTTCAAATTTGCAGTGATCCTCGTGTCTCAGCCTCTCAAGTGCTGAGATTACAGGTGTGTACCACCACAACCAACCTTGGAGCCTAATTTAATCTTTTTAAGAGACTTTGGAAATAGTAGCATATAATTTTGGAATATGAAAGAAACTTTACCACCCAGATAAAACCTTCCATTTACAGATGAGGGAATGAGGACCAAAGATTCAGTGATTTTCTTACTGACAGAATACAGATTTCAACCCAGCTGTTCTAGGCTGCTGGTCAGTGTTTGTTTATAGTGTTCCTAGGCCTCTAGGCCTGCAGGCTCTTCTTAACTATATAAGTCAATATGTTTGTGCTGATGTAGATATTATAACAGGGGGAGTTCATTTTAAACAAATAGACCAAACCTGTCATTTGAGTTAAAGATATTTCTTTTTTTTTTTTGGTCTTTTTCGTTTTTATCAGTACCAGGGATCGAACTCACAACTGCCTGCTTGGAAAGCAGGCGCTTATGCCGCTGAGCTAAATCCCCAGCCCCATTAAAGATATTTCTTTCAAATAGTCATCCTGGAAGATTTACATACTTACGGACTGAGCAAATGTCTTTAAAATTCTTTGAAACTATCTACGGTTAGATTTTTAAAATGTGGGTTTACATAATGGAATACTATTCAGCCATAAAAAGAATGAAATTATTTCATTTATAACAATGTAAATGCAACTAGATTGGTTAAATGAAATAAGCTAGGCACAAAAAACACAAGTACCACATGATCTCCCCTCAGATGTAGGCTCTAGAAGAGTTGATCTCATAGAAGCTGAGGATGGAATGGACAAAGGTCAAGGAGAGTTGGGGTAGGAGTGGGAAAGACTGATCAAGGATACTTTAATAACAGTTAAGACAGGAGGAAGGGGTTTGGTGGGCCACCACATAACATGGTGACTACTTAACAGGGCCAAGGATGTGGCTCAGCAGCATAATGCCTGCCTGGCAAATGCAAGGCTGAGTTTGATTTCTGGTACAAAAAACAAAAAAAAATCCATGGTGACTACAGATAATAATAATGTACTGTGTCTCTGAAAAAGCTAGACAAAAAGACTTTGAGTGCCTTTGCTAAGTGTTTATGGAGATAAACATGTTTAATATGACTCAAACATTTCTTGAGATATATATATACTGAAACATATACTGAAAAATATATATAATTTTTATAAACCTATTATACATATATTGAAAAAAATCAATACATTAGCTACCTGGACTACTTTTTTAGGTAAGTCAAAGGTGGAATTCTAGCTAGGTGCGGAGGCACAGGCCTATAATCTCAGTGCTCTGGAGGCTAAGGCAGGTAGATCGCTTCAAGGTTGAGACCAGCCTTAACTACACAGAAAGACCCTATCTCAAAACAAACAAACAAAAAAACCCAATGAATGAAACATGAAAATGGAATTCTAGGCTGGGGATGTAACTCAATAGTACAGCATCTGCTTAGCATATACTAAGCCCAGCTCCAAGCCAACATAAAACTCTTACCCTGCAGATTAACTGGCATTATTCAATATTAGGCTTCAACACATTTAATATATATTTTAATATTTGTTCTTTACACTTTATTACATAAATTTTTCTTCTTTAAAAAAAGAATAGAGCCAGACACAGTGGCTCAAACCTACAGTCTCAGCTACTAAGCAGGCTAAGAGAATCACCTGAGCCCAGAAGTTCAAGATCAGCCTAGGAAATACAGCAAGACAAAAACGGGGTGGGGGGTCAGACACCGATTTTGGTAAAACAATTATTTTTTATACTTTTTTTTAATTGGTACCGGGGATCGAACTCACGACCGCTTGCTTGCAAGGCAGGTGCTTATGCCGCTGAGCTAAATCCCCAGCCCCCTTTTTTACCATTTTATCTATCACTATAAACATTCATTTATTATGAATACTTTTATTTTTGAGATAGAGTCTTGCTAAGCAGCTGGCCTCAAACTCATGCTCTTTCTGCCTCAGCCTCCTGAGTCACTGCCCTCAGCTCAATTATAATACTTTCTAAAAGACACAGAAAATGTTTAAGAAAATGGTAATTTGTTTTCTTCCATAAAATATTTAAAAGAAACTGAAAAGAATTTCAAATATAAAGACAGTACTTTTTTCCTTTCTTTCTTTTTTTTTGTTTTTTTCAGACAGGGTCTTGCTATGTAGTTCAGGCTTCCCTAGTATGTGCAAGACTCTAGATTTGCTCCCAGCACTACCCCCCAAAAATATATTATCTGGTCTACATGTTAATAATATTGAATTTCAGGAGCTCAAATTGACATAAACCAAATTTCACATAGTTTCAAAAGATCAAGTGTCTAAAATTATGTAACATTACAAATCTAACAACCCAGGTACAAATGACAAAACTAAAAATAAAGAATACCTTTTCATGCTGTAGATTTACCATATCAGGCCTGGAGAAGTCCCGCTCTATATTTTCTGCAATGTTCCGCACTGCCAACAGCTGTTCGTCAATCTTCTGAAGCTCAGCAGAGAGAAGCTGCAGTCGGCAAGCCGCTGTGGAGTTTGGTGCAGGGCGAGCTTCAGGGACATTCTGCAGCAGGCTCCTCAGCACATAGCCTTCTGCAGAGTCAGCCTCTGTGCTCTGCTGTTTGAACTGGAAAGCTTGTTTAAGCAGATCTAAATATTAATTTAAAAAGTCAGAACTGATTATAACTAAGGAAGAGGCAGGCATAAAAGATACCATTTTTGATAACCTAATTTTAAGTCAATTATCACATTACTTTCCAAACTGGTTTTAATTTACTATATTTGCAAATTCTGTTTTAGCTTCTAGACCTGTGAAATTTGTCTTTGTTGTGAAAAAAGGATGCTTAATAATATTGGTAACAAAGCTTTACATCCAAAGCAGTTTTGTTTTTTTTTATCCTCTTATGAGCATACTCCATCATACTGAAATTTTATTGTTTATGACTTTTGTTTTTGGTACTGGGGATCGAACTCATGATCTTGCACTTGCCAGACAAGTGCTTGTGTTGTTGAGCTAAATCCTCGGCCTTGTTTATTACTTTTTGAAATTATAACTGAAAGCCAATACCACCACACACTAAAAGGTGGGTGTAGTATTGGCTACTACCAACCTTATTTGGGGGTCTCAGGCAAACACTAACATTAAACACCCCAAGCCAGTATCAAAGCCAAGGACTGTACTGAATTTGAAACATACTCTTTCTTAAATGTACTCTCCTACCAGCCCCCCTCCTCTTTTCTTTCTGCCTTTACACACCGGTTTTTCTGAGTAGGAGCTCACACCTCTGCTCACTCTTCTCACCCCCTCCCAGTGATGTCACTGATGCACAGATGACTTCCACAGCCATGGAGAACCCTTATGAGCTGAACATCTAGCTGGGTTGCCCCACGAGCATTTCAAACTAAACTCATCATTTCTCTAATTTGTTTCCTCTTTCATGTTCCTCAGTGAAGAGCAATATCATTCACCCTATTTCCAAGGTCAGGGGCCTGGGTCAGTTAAGGTTTCTGTCTTTCTTTCAGGTCCAAAGTGATACCAAGTATTGATAATTTGGCCTCCTAAATACCACCATTCCTACCATCATTGTTTAACGTGCACTTTAACAACAGATCAAAGAATGGGAGTGGTGGTACATGCCTGTAATCCCAGTACTTGGAAAGCTAAGACTCACACAGTGTGTTCAAGGTCAGCCTGACCTAATAGTGAGACACTCTGTCAATTTCTTAATCAACTAATCAATCACCCACCCACACATCAAAAAACAATAGATGGACAGAAAACAGTGCCCTATTTAGCTCATACATAATCCATATTTTACATAGGCCTTTGAAAAACATTTTTGTTCTCACAATACTGGGTGCTGAACCCAGAGATCACTAAAGTATAGCACTAACCCTTTTTATTTTGAGACAAGATCTCACGAAGTTGTTTAGGCTGACCTTTAATGTATTATCCTCCTACTTTAGTTGAGTAGCTGGGATTGTAAGTGTGCAATACCATGCCCAGCTAGAAACAGTAAACATTAATTGGATATTATTCTTTTTTTTTTTTTATCTAAAACCTTTTGATGTATCGCCAATGTCTTCACTTTTAAAGTCTAAATGCAGGGCTGGGGATTTAGCTCAGCGGCATAAGCGCCTGCCTTACAGGCAGGCAGTTGTGAGTTCGATCTCCGGTACCAATAAAAAAGAAAAAGACAAAAAAAAAAGTCTAAATGCAGGGGGAAAAAAGTCTAAATGTCAATATGATCAATAATGGTACACACTTTTCTTCTCTAAAGGCTCCATCAAACTTCTGTGTCACTATATAATCAATTCTCAGTCTAAATGTACCCCTTGCTATAAATCCTGTGTTCCTTTATGATTCCTCTAAATGGCCTCAAACATCTCCTGATGTAGATGAGATGCTACTGTACCTATAAAATTACCTATCCTGCCATCACAGCTCTTACCAAGATGTATCATAACCAAACCTTTGTTTTGTTTGTTTTTAAGACAAGGTCTTGCTTCACATTGTAGCCCAGGCTGGCCTTGAACTTGTGGTGATCCTCCTGCCTCAATCTCCCAAGTGCTGGGATTACAGACCTGTGCAACCATGCTTGATTTCACCCCTATCTATCTTTTCCCCGCCACAGGCTGACAGCTGGCATGCCTCTCTTCTTTAGCCTCAGTATCTCTAACTTAGTGTTCATAGAATAAAAGGAAAATTATGATGCTTATTGTTTCTAACTTATAGAAGTTTTGTGAAGAACAGATTATTCGAAAGTGTGCTCTAAAAAAACGTGACTTAGTGAACAAAAGCATCACCTGTTGTCTTTCAGTCTGGTTTAAGATAAGCCTTTCTATGAGAAAAGGATGATAATGCTGTCATGGCAATTATCTATGTACTCCTCCTTTACCTATTTGGAACTTAGCTCTCATAGGACCTTGCTATCTACCCTTCCCATTTTTCTTAATCACAGGAAAGATTTGGTGCATGAAAACTATTTTCTAGGTTTCCTTTGCATTTACCAAATTTTAGTACCTATTTCTAACATGACAGGAATTCAGGGAAGGAGTAGGTCAAGGCGCACATTTTGCTGTTCACCTTTGTCCTGCTGTCTGTGTGCTGGTGCTGCTGAGGAAATCCCAGGCTCCTTCACTTCCTTATCATCTATTTTCCAGCTTTTTCCTTCCAGGTAGGTTGGAGCCACTTTTCCAGGTTTAGAAAATAAATCCACAGTGGAATTGGCAGATTCTATCAAGAATATGAAAGGCACCAAGATTGACACCAAACTTCTAAATAAGAACATTTCTGAATGTGAACATCAATATCTAAAAGTGCAGTGAGTTTGTAGGAGAGGTAAAGATTTGAGTAGTGATAACAATGCTATGCTATATACTTTTTCAAAATGTATTTTATTTAAAAAGTAGCAAGTTATTACCTTCACTCTTAGAATTGTGAGAGAGAACAGCATTGGTGGCTGACGCTGCCATACAATGTAACTCCTCGGATGATGGGATGGCTAGGTGACTGCTTTGCTGATTGGTAGCACCCTCATTTGCTGACTCTTCTCCCACAGGCAGTTCCTGCAGATCACCAGCTTCAATGTCAATCACATTGATGTAAGTGTGTCCCACCTGAGTCAAAACATGTAACAATCATAATTTTTACTTTAGATGGCCACGCTCCCAAAAAAAGTTTTAATCCTTTATTCTTACTAGTAATAAGCAAAAATAGCTTTTGTATGTTTATATACTTGGAGAAAGCTGCAAGAAGTATGTATTACTGGTTTAGTTTGCAATATTTTGGGGCATAATAAATTCTTTTTGATGTTTCCTAAAGAGCTATATATCTGAGATTTTTAGCAACAATTCACCTACATAACCTATATAATTGAATATCACACCTGGATTATGACAATAAATTTTAGCAAAAAGTTATTAAGATTTCTGAATGCACAAACCACATTTGCTACTGTATGAGGCACTGAAGGACACAAAGGTTTCTCTGATATTTCACTGGAAAGTCTGACATTTAGATACACATCTGGTATCAGCAGCTGAGGATCATTCAAAGGTTCATGTTCTGAAAATAAAGAAGAAAAATTAGGAATGTAGCCTGCCTGGTGAGTGTGAGGTCCTGAGTTTGATTCCCAATAAACACCCCCCCCCCAAAAAAAGAAAAATCAGGAATGTAACGAATAGTCACACATACCTGTAAATCATTAATTTTATACGAACAAGTTAGCAATGGACCTAAAATGTATTATTTCCTGCAACTCTAAGTTAAAGCTTCATGGGTATAAATAATTTTTTTTTCTATTTTAAGGGTAATTTACTCTAAAGTCATAATTAGATGAAGATGAATATTATATTCCTTATATGAATGATCTGCAATAATAATAATGTATTGAAATTATGTCAAAGGCCAAGTGTGGTGGCACATGCCTGTAATCGCAGCACTCAGGAAGCTAAGGTTAAGCAGGAGGATCACCATTAGTCTGAGGTCAGCTGGGCTATATAGTAAGTTCAAGGCTAGCCTACAGTACACAGGGAGACACCGTTTCAAAAAAAAAAAAAGTCAAGACAATGCTATAATTTCCTATTTTCATATTCAGATATATTGTTATGTTTATTTTATGTTGAAGATTTTTACAGGTCAGATTTTAGGAATAAAGCTATAAATACATTTAAAAAATTTTCAACAGTTGTCATTTTTCTTTTCTTTTTTTTTTTGTCATTTTTCTTTTAATTGAGAGATATAATTCATACTCTTTAAATGGGTACCATTCAGTGACTTTTAGTTTAGTTACAGCCCATAGCTGAATTTGACCACTTAAAATGTTTTAACATCTGAATTTCAAACACTATCTGCTTCTTATTCCACAGTAAACCACAGGGCTAAAAGCAATCCAACAAACAAACTTAGGGCAGCCACTGGGTAGGTCAGCAGACAGTATCATTCTGTTCTTTTTGTTCCACAACTCTAATCTTATTTTCTAGCACTTCGATTATAGTAAAGCATTATTTTCAAATTTCATGTGTAAATTATAACTCATTCTCCTACTGAGTACCTGGAAACTCAATTTTAACAACTTAATAGTACCAAGGCTTGAATTGAAATTATAGGTTACCTGAAAAACTAAGAAAAAAACCTTGAAAATATTTGTCATTCACCTCTATTCAGTCAGACAAATGGTGTAACTCCCCTCCACCTTTTTTTAAAAACCAAGGATTGTACTCCAGCTATAGCATCATACAGATTTAACTTGTAGTAAGTCAAACTACTATCAGAAAAAAAACAAAAATGAAATCTTACCTGGGACACATGAAATGATTTGTTGATTTTTACCACTTTCAGATATAACTTCTTGAGAAGCAGCTTCCTTATCTTGTACTACATTGGAAAATTTGAAGGGGAAAAAAAAAGGAATTTCACAAACACAAGAAAAAAATATGACTGCACACAGACATTATACATGAAAGGTGGTAGGAAAGTAGATCGACAGTTTAACAATTTAATTTTTACATAATATAATTTCAGATGTCACAAGCATTTACCAGAGTAAATCACAGTAAACACTGTGCTAACTTTAAAAGACTTACACAGCAGCAAGGCAAAGGGCCTACGAGTTTCTCACAAAGACATCATTGGGCAAGAACATCTAAACAATGTTTCTCAAATAAATAGCATTTAATCAAAAAATCTCTTATTTATGTTCAGCCTTGTTCAAGGAAAAAACCCATAAAACTGGGTGTAATGCTAGTATTTGGGAGGCTGAGGCAGGAGGATCACTGTGAATCTGGGATCAGCCTAGGCTACAAAGTGAGCTTAAGGCCAGCCTGAACTGCAAAGTGAGACCCTATCTCAAAAAGACAAAAAACAAAACAAACAAACAAACAAACAAAAAACCCCAACACCCACAACATGATGCCTTTTTAAAGATTATTAGGTGAACAAAGTAAAAAAAGTTAGCTAACTCATAGTAATGACCCAAAAAAAGTCCTTATTAGGAAGATATTTGCTGAACCATTACTTACATTATAGAAAAAACCAGAAACTGCCTAGTGCATTCAATAAGAAATTGGTTAAATATTTTATGGCACAGCTAGAAAAAGTAATATGCTAGAAAAGTAATATGCTTTTTAATGACATAAGAAGGTGAGTAAAAATCAAGATGAGACAAAAAGGATATAAAATAAAATACAAGTATCCCTTATTCTCCAAATTTTTATTTATTTGCTGGAGGTGGATGAATTTTCAGATACCAAGAAACTTTAGTACATTATTGCAAATAAGGAAAAATGGTGCCCAGCTCATCTAATTTTTCCAAACATCAAGTAACTCTTAAACGCTCTAGTAACAATGCATCAAGGATTCTTATAAATTATAAAACCTTTCAAGTATCACTTCATAACTAACATGGCTTTTATTCATTAGTATGTAAGAAATAATATTGACCACAGACCTGAATTACCTTCAGTATTGCAGCAAAGATGTACTGGGATGCAGATATAATACAATGAAATAATATGCTAAAGATATACTCTAAGAGTTTCTTGAGGTATGTGGAAAAAATAACACTGAGATTCATGAGGGTTAAACTCTTAGGAAAATGCTAGGGGAAGACTAGAGAAATGATAAGAATTCAAGACGCTCAGAGAAGACATCTCTCCTTTATATTACTTTACTTAACTATATAAAATACTCAAACAACTGAAAGAAAAAATAATCCCAAAATGTTATGCTAAGTGGTATGATTCTGGTTAATTTTCATTTTTGCAATAGCTTGCTATCTTATCCAAAATGTCTAAAGTGATCATTTACTTTAAAAATAATGTCAATACTTTATAAGTTAGACAGAATTAGAGGGGGTTTAAAAAGGTTTTAAAAGGTTCTTACACAAGGAAAAGAAACTTGACAGAGTCAAAAAAAAAAAAAGGATTACGGGCACATAATAGCAGCACACTATTCATGATCATGTTCATAATGATTTTTTTTTTTTTTTTTTTTTTGGTTAAGACACAGTCTTGTTTTGTAGCCCAGGCTGACCTTAAACATGTGACAGATTCTCCTGCCTCCCAAGTGTTAGAATTACAGGTGTGTGCCACCATAATTGGCTATGATTAGCTATATTAATGATGTTTGTCCAGCAATAAATGCAGATCTTCCAATACTTTCTCTACTTTTAGAAACAGGTCATAGCCCTCCACACTAACCCAAATCCAGTTATATTTGGAGCTCAGCTTTATTTCAGGTCCTCAGCTTTAGGCACAATTTCAAGTGAAGGCAATTAGGGCCAGAGAATCCAATTGAAAACACTGTATCTACTGATTTGGGATATAATCCAGGTCAGTTCTGAACAAATATTTTTATTGCGCTTTTTTTTTTTTTGTATTTTTGAGACATGGTCTTTTAATGCAGTTCAGGCTGGCCTTGGGCTCACTTTGTAGTACAGGCTGGTCTCTAATTTGGGAATGATTCTCCTGGTTCAGCATCCTAAGTGCTGGGATTACAGAAGTGTGCCACCACGCCCGGCTTGCATTATGTTTTACCTAAATTGTCAAAAATTCAAATTCTAATTTCCCCTGGCTTGGGAAATATCACAAATATCATGTAATTTTACTTCTTCTTCTTTTTTTTTTTTTTTTTTGGTACCAGGCATCAAACTCACAACCCCACATTTGCAAAGCACATTTGCTTATGCCGCTGAGCTAAATCTCCAGCCCTATCATGTAATTTTAAATTCTAGTTAAATCACTGCCTTAAAGTATAATTATCTTACCTATGTCAAATTTGTGAATGAAAAAAATTAGTATTTACCTGGCTCTGTATTTGTACTTGCATCCTGACTTCCTATGGCTTTTTTTTGTACAGAGGCCATGAAATGCAATGCAGCTGAAGTATTAATGTCATCTTGTAGCATTTCTTAAAAAATATAACAAAACATTACAAGCAATCATTAAGCAGCCAACATGTTACTGGGAGCACAGATGCATAGTACTCAAGAGAGGTTAGTATATTACCAAAGGTTGGTATATTACCAGAGTATTCTGCATGAGGATGGTTTATAAACTCAATCTCAAATGAAAACAAAAACTGCAGAGAATTCTGTTGCCTAAAAAGCTAGACATTGACTTGGTTAATGAAGATCCAGTAAAAGTTGCTAAAAAGGGGCTGGGGATTTAGCTCAGCAGCATAAGCGCCTGCCTTGCAAGTGTGTGGTCATGAGTTCGATCCCCCGTACCGATTAAAAAAAAAAGTTGCTAAAAAGGAGTGACAGGGTCAGATTACTGTTCTGACAAAAGACATGCAGCCCATTTGTGGAAAACAGTTTGAGTGGATATAACTGAAGGCAATCAGTCAGATGAGGCTGCTGAAGTAGTTTAAACAGTGAGAGGATAAACTTAGGAACTATAAATGAAGTGAAGCAGACAAGAACTGGGTGTTGACTAGATGAGTGGGCAAAGGCAAAGGGAAGGGAAAAGGTGGAATTCAGAATATTGGCTTTTTTGGTTAGGCTGCTATTAATACAAAGATAAAAACCACAGGAAATAAACCAATTTGGGAATGGGTGCGAAGAATTTAGACTTCATATCCTGAACTCAAGGCAATTTTTACCACTGCAGAAAAATTCAGTAGGAAGTACAATCAAAGTTCAAAGTACATTATGGCAGCTTGGGCTTACATTTGGATTTTCCTTGGGAGATGATTGGAGAGATTAGGTAGGTAACAATATCATTATAAACTGTGATACAGGGCCAGGGATATAATTCACTGTCACAGTGCCTGGCTGGCAAGTACAAGGTTCTGAGTTCAATTCCCGGTAGCCCCTCACCCAAAAAAACCCAAAATAGAAAGATAGAAACAAACAAACAAACAAACAAAAAAAACCCTGTAGTATAACAAAAAACTTATTTGTCTTCATCCTTAGTTTCAGGCACAGTTTTTTGCAACCTCAGAATTTCCTGAGTGAAAGAAGCATCTTTTTTTTATTCATAATGAGTTCCTCCTCATTATACCTGTGATTATGTTAACAAGGTGACCCTGGCAGACTGCTAGATAGCTTCAGGATGGACTTGGGCACCAGGAGAACCAAAAACTTGGTTAGAAGATTAGAACTATCAACCCCTTATCTACCTAGCCTGGGCTGGAAATTAAGTTTAATCATAATAACCAACAACTTAAATCAATCCTGCAGAACACTAACTGTTTATCAGAGAACTGCTATTTGCTATGACACAATAGACATCCGTCAGATTAACACCGTATAGGAATATCTAGTGAGGGCAGGGGATTTAGCTCAGAGGTGTAAGTGCCTGCCTGGCAAGTACAAGGTCATGAGTCAATCCCCAATACAAAAAAAAAAAAAAAGAATATCTAGTGATATAGGAATATATTTACTATAATAGTATCTAAAAACAAGTAAGTTGTAAGCACAGAAGTGTATGTATTTGCAGGTATACATGTGTAATGATGTTTATATAATGAAACCTGAAAGAATATTAACACTGGTTATATTGAGATAGATGGTACATTTTAATATCTTGATCCTTGTTTGCATTTTGTAACTTTTCTTTAATATTTATGTTTTACCTTGAAAGAGTGAAAAAATCTTATTAAGAGTGAAAAAGAAAGTAGTTTTATGATGACTGGGAAAGAAGAACTATAGATGGATTAGAAAGTGAAAGACTGATGCTAAGCAGGTCAGTGGCCTTGAGAAAGGAAGGGTGGATCCAGGCAGGAAGTGAATTCAGGGAATTGGAGATGAGAAATAAATCCAGAGTGGCTTTGAAGGTAAAACTCTAGATCAGTCAATACAATAGTGGTACCACTATCAGGAGAATGGTAATTTACAAAATGGACCTATTAATTTACTTAAGGTAAATGAAATAAAAATGAATGACTACATGAGTATTTATAACTATGAAAATATCTAAGAGCTGAAGTCATGAGCATAACTGCTCTGACAAGCCCAGGAGTAAATTGAGGAGGTATTACTGAGGAGTAATACTTAGGGAATATAAAATTCAAGGAGCAAGAAGTAGTTGAAGAAAAGATATGATTTTCCACCCATAAATTAGTCCTTTATTGTAATGTGTATACATTTTCTATGATTAATTGAATTCTAGGCATATTTTTCCATAATTTCCTTTTAAATGTCTTATATCTTGAGATTCTAGTTTATTGGACTGTTGCAATGCAAACATTTTCTGTAAATAGTAAGGATTTGTGGGCCTTCTGGTCTGTATTAGTCAGCTTTCCTCTTGCTGGGGAAAAAAACGTATCTGACAAACACAACTTAAAGGAGACGTTTAATTTGGCTCATGGTTTCAGCCCATAATTGGCTGGTTCCAAGGCACAGACACTGTGTAAGAAGGGCATAGCAAAGCTGCTCAGTTCATCAAGGCAGTGAAGGGGAATAAACACCAGAAAGGAGGACCTAAGGTCATGCCTCCAGGATCTACCAAAACATACCCAGAAGCCTGTTTTACTAATCTCCCAGGCAGCTCCCAAGCCAAACAAGTTGACAATTAAGCTTAACTATCACATGGTCTTTGCTGTAAGTACCCTACTATAATATAGTATGAAAGCAGTGATATTATGTGACAAACAGGCATTGACTATGTTTCAATACAGCTGCATTTACATAAACAAGCACTGCATAATCTGGCCTTTGGGCCATATTGTCAACCTAGGACATATTGGATGAAACATCAAACCAACCCCCTCCATCTAGTCAAAAAATAACATGAAAAAGTTCACCTTATATTTATTTTTAGAACAATGATATTAACTCAAAACTTAAAACATTAATCTTGTGTATACTTACCAAAAGGAATGTTGAAATTATCCAAAGCCTGAGAACCACGATGTTCTTGTTCCTAGATGAATTCCCAAATAACCAATCTAAGGTTAACTCCAAGACATTTATTATTTTGGAAAACAACATTCAATTGCTACCTAGATTGTTGGACTCATAGATACAGGGCCAAATTTAGGCAAATTTACTTATGAGGTTATTTTGCTTTGTCAAAGTAATGTGAAATTCACAAGTCAAAAATAAAAAAGCATGTTTCAATTTAACACAGAATTACTAGGTTAGCACATGCAATTCTCCACTGCAGGGTAGCTTTGATACTCAGATGTTCCCTCAGCCTGCCAAAATCTTTTATGGACCACATTTTAAGTGTCTCCAGACATAATCCTGAGGACTTTAAAAAGGTGCTGTTTAAAAATCCATGTAAAATAAAATTAAGTCTCTGTTTATTTAATCTACTGTCAACCAAATGGCGAGGTAGACAGTCTGCAAATTAACAAGCATTTAAAAACTCATGTTACAGAAATGTGTGGAAATATCAGAAGTATCTCAAAAATAGATGAAACTATAATGAAAGAAGCCTAAATCACATAACATACATGCATTAAGAGATGAGAAAGAAAAAAAAGCCACAAGTAATTTCAAACATGAAACAAATCACCTCCTAAACTACAGTCTTCGATTTGCCATTGGAATGTTTTTCACACTCTCAACTCGGTGTGCAGTTTTGTGGAGAGAGGACGCAGGGATCTGTACACTGAATGATGGGAAGGCTCGCAGCACAACCTGAAGCTCCTGGCAGACTCAACAAACTGTGAAGAATACTAAACATGAGGGAAGAATCTGCAGGAGTTAATCTTTACCTTGAGTTTTATGACCATTTCTGAGTCCTCACTATGAATGAGGCATTCTTCTGGTCGGAAACTCATACTTGGTTTTCTCTGGTGTGTCTCAGAGCTTTTTTCTTGTAGCTCTTTCTCAACGCGTCTTCTTTGCCTGTTAAAAATAGTATAAAACATATCTTTATTCTCTGTATATTAATTTTTCTCCTTTGCATCATTTTATATGAAATTAAGCCAGTTATCAAAAGTATGCTTTTTCTAATAGGATTTAATTATACATTCTGGTAAAATACAAATAAACATAAACAAAAAATCAAAGAAATAAAGCCAACTGTGGTGGCACATTCCAGTAATCCAAGCATTTGGGAGGTTGAGGCAGGAGGATTGCAAGTCCCAGGCCAGCCTGGACTACACAGGCTACAGAGCTTGTTTCAAAACAGACAGACAAACAAAAAGGGTCTAAGACATGAAATTTCTTTCTTTCTTTTTTTTTGGTACAGGGATCAAACTCATAACCTCACGCTTACCAGTCAAGTGCTTGAGCTGCTGAGCTAAATCCCCAGCCTGAAATTTCTTTTTTTTTTTTTTTTGTCTTTTTCGGTTTTTATCGGTACCAGGGATCAAACTCACGACCGCCTGCTTGCAAGGCAGGCGCTCATGCCGCTGAGCTAAATCCCCAGCCCCCTGAAATTTATTTCTAATTCCTCTACAACTGAACTGAGTATTCTGTGTTAGCCACTGGAATCTCACAGCAGGCATGTAAATAATTTTCAAATTCTCTTTTCTGCAGATTTGAACCTGATGCCAAAAACTCTATCACATACCTCCACTTGTCTATTTGTTTTCTTTTTTTTTTTTTGGTCTTTTTCGTTTTTATCGGTACCAGGGATCGAACTCACGACTGCCTGCTTGCAAGGCAGGCGCTTATGCCGCTGAGCTAAATCCCCAGCCCCACTTGTCTATTTGAAGGCAGTTAAATACACTTACATCAGTGAAATCCCAACAAAGAGGAAAGAGATATCAAAAAGGTAAAGGAAAGACTTAAGGGAAAAAACTGAAAAGGATGGAAGGAAGTAACCCTTTCTGGAAAGAATACTGGCGATAGATTTTACAGTCTGGTTAATGTGAAATTGTATGATATTGTATGAGCATAGTATGATATCGGATATTTGTGCTGCAAACATGGCTGCTTATACTAGCACAGAAACATGACACAGAATCCTCTAGCCTATGAATAACAAAGAATTCCTTGTTAAAGTAGAAAAGTGGTATTTCTCACAATACAGGAATTTTCTCCATTACTAGACATTTTTAAATACATGACATTCAATCTAGACAAATATACAAAAAATTATGTATACAAACCAGGAGACTAAACCACAATACTGCCCATCTTTATGACTACGACCATGAATAATGACCTTCTGATATATGATATCAAATAAAATTTCTTTTCAAACTTGCCTTTTTTTACTGTTCATTCCTTGTATTATTTGGGATGGTCCCATTTTGACCTTTAGAAGCTGAAGGTGACGAGAATCACCTTGTTCAAACAAATTATGTGATAATTTTTGTTGGCTTTGCTTAAATGCAGTGAGATTTTCAAGTGGAATAAGCTGTGGCTTCTTGTACTACAGGAAAGATAGCACAAAATTAAAAAGTTAAAAACCCAAATATCCATTATATTAAAAATTTGAGAAACTATGTTTAAATTCTGAACAAATCAAATGTAACAGATTAACTTGGACTGGTATAATAAGTATACATATTGTAAAGAACCATGTATTTTAAAGTGATAAAAGTTTCAACTTCAAGGTAGTTTTTGGTTTTTGTTTGCTTTGGGATTTTTTGTTTTGTTTCTCTTGGGTGCTGGGAACTGAAGCCAGGCCCTTGCAAATGGTAGATAAGCTCCTAACTACTGAGCTACATCAACTGGGTCCTCAACTGGGTCACCTTGTCTCAGAAATTAAACTACAAGTCCCTATCTATTAAATTGCACTTCAACATTTAAAAAACTTTCCTTCTTAAAATTGCAGAAAAAAATCATGAACAAAATTATACAGTTTGTTTAAATGTTTCAGGTTATTTGAAACAGGGAGAATGCAGTGGAATCAAGACTATAGATGAAACATCTGTTATATATTGATAACCCTTAAGTAGGGTGATGGGAATTTGGGGACTCGTCATATTATTCTAATAAATTTAAAAAAGAAATTCCTCTTAAGACCCAGAATAGCAAAAGTAAATCTGGGCCACAAGGGAAAGGCAGAGGGCAATATAACCTCCAGTCTGAAGTTATATTAGAAAGCTACTATGATGAAAAAAGCATGGCACTGGCAAAACAAAACCTGATGATGAATGGAACAGAAGATACAGAAACTACTCCAAGCACACTCAGCTCCCTTATCTTTGACAAATGGACCAAACACCTTCACTAGAATCTTTAATAAGTAGTGCTGGGAAAACTGGCTTTCCACATAGAAACTGAACCTAGACCCACATCTCTAACCACATACTAAACTAAATTTGAAATGGATCAGAGATCTAAATATTATAATAGTAACAATCTGCTGGAAGATAAAATAGGCAAACTCTTAAAGATACAGGTATAGGCAAAGAATTTATGAACAAAACCTTGACGGAACAGGAAGTATCACATAGAATCAACTGGAATCTCATTATATTAAAAAGCTTTTGTGCAGTAAAAGAAACTACCAACACAATAGAGACAACTCACAGAATGGGAAAAAATTTTTATCAGCTAGTTCTCAAAAGAACTCAAAAAAAGAAAAAGAAAAAGAAAAAAACACAAACAGAACCCTCAAATTCAAATACCCAATCCAAAAATGGGCAGCTGAAGTGATAGTTACTTCTCAGATGAAGAAGTACAAACAGCAAATACATAAAAAACTGATTAACATCACTGGTCAATCAAGACATGCAAATCAGAACAAGACATTCCATCTCACTGAAGAAAGAATGGCTATCATCAAGAAATCAATAACAAATGCTGGTAAGACTGCAGGGGAAAAAGGAACCTTTCTTCATTATAGGTGAGAATGTAAACTGGTACAATCACGATGGAAATCAATCAAAAAACTAAACCTAGAGGTTGCATTTGAGCCAGTTATTCCCTCTCTAGGAATTCTCCCAAAAGCATTAAGAGTATTCTACCATAGTGATATAAAGATATAGATATAGAAATAGATACAGATATCCATATTTATAGGAGCACATTTTATACTAGCTAAATCTTGGAACCAGCCCACATGCCCATCAACAGAGGAATGGATAAGGAAAAGGTGTTTATAGCCAATGGAGTACCTCTCTGCCATAAAGAAGGATAAACTTGAGTCATTTGTAGGTAAATGGATGTACCTCAAGATCACAATTTTGAGTGAAGTAAGACACACAGATTTAAATATCATATTGTTTCTCTTCTGTGAGAAACCCTAAGGGTAAACAAAAAGCAAAGTGGATATTAGGAAGTAGGAAGAACATCTTCAAATGGAGAACAATGAAGGGGGAGAAGAAAGAAAGAAAAAGGGATTAAAAGACAATGGAAGGGGAAAATGGAAACAAAACTCTGAAAATGGGGAGGGAAAAGGGCTGAAGGAAGAGGAGAGGAGTAGGGAAAAAAGAATTAAGATATAAGATAAATGTGAGTACTATGTATGCAAACATACACTATTATTATTATTTTTCTTTTTTGTACCGGGGATTGAACTCATGATCTCGTGCTTCCTAGGCAGGCGCTTACTCCACTGAGCTAAATCCCTGGCCCAGTAAACGTATACTAATAAAAAAATAAAAAATAAAAATAATTCTCCTGAAAGTGCTGAATTTTCCACTTCTTTAATCCCTTCTGCTCAAAACAAGTTTAGAAGTAAAGAAGGCATGGTATTTTTTTCTAAAGAATAGAAAAAAATTTTTCTTCTGACCTTCCAATCTTAAAGTGCACTGAAAATGACACTAAAATGGCACCATTCATCTACAAAATTAGAAAATAAAAAATCTGAATTTTGTAGCTCACAGATAATACATTTAAAGAGGATATGTTGAGTTTACAACGTTACCATGTTTTTGCATGCACAATGACAGACTGGGTCTATTTAAAAACTTTAACCTGAAACAGATTTGAAGACAAATATATTACAATTGCTAGGAACCTCAAACAGTATGTGTACTTGTTAACTCTTTACACACACACACACACACACACACACACACACACACACACACACGCGCGCGCGCAGAAGACCAGCCTCTGTTGTTTTTAATTATTTCTTTTCTGAGCAGAATATCAGAGTTAAGTAAATTCTGGTATACAATATAAAGATCAACAAAATCTTTTAAAAACAAAATTATTACTTTAAACCTGAATTTTGTAAGTTATTTTCTATAATACAAGCATCTTCTTGAAATGTGAAACTAGACCTTTCAATGAACATATAGTGTTTACGGTATGAAAAATGCAGGACTCTGGTTTTAAATCGCTGCACAAAAATTCATTACCATATTTTCTGAGGATAGACGTGGAAAAAGTAATAGTCGTGGGTATTTTTTCTCTTCTACAGTTCTCATATGTATTGAAGGAACTGTAAGTGATGCTCTTGAGACTGATGAAAATAGGTAAGGATGTTTAGATTGCAGATACAATAATGGAAGTCCACAAGAAGTCTGAGGAGGTATTTCAAGGGACCCTGGGTTAACATTAAATTGTTTTTCTGGTTTTGTAAATATTGAAGGGTCCTGTTGAGAAGTCACATTTTCTTGTCCAACATACTGATCCATGTTCAAATGCTTAGGCATATCTGTAATTACAGTTTCTGCCCATTTCTTCTGGTCAGCTGTTTCTTTCACGACTTGAGCATTATAGTGGCTTGAATTTGAATGGAATCCTGAGGTAGTGTGTATTACTTTCTGTTGTGGAGGAGGTTGGAGAGAACCAGTTAATGCCCAGGCCTCTCTCAGTTGGGCTAAAGGCCTGGAGGGAGCATTTGGAATGCTTCCTACATGTAAAGGAAGGGGCCTGAATTCATGCTTAGGTTGAAACTGAAGCAAAGGAAAACCATAACCAGGACTAGGTGTTTTGGCAGGTGGGATAAGTCTAGGCATCCTTGGGGCAGCAGAAGGGGTGGACAAAAGATGGGGATGAGTATTTCTAGCGGGAGCTGGGAGAAACAAAGTAGATGCTAAGTTTTCAGATGCTGGGGTTGGTACTCTCTTCTGGGGTTGGCTGTCTAATTGGCATGAAGGAATACTGCCATGTGGAACATTCTGAAAGAGTAAAAAAAAAGATTAAGCTAGTTTAGAACACATTCTTATTTTGGTAAATGATATTCAATATGTTTTGAAGGAGATGGAATGTTAAAATATTTATTTACTCAACAAAAAAACAGTTCAATTACCAGGAAATGAATGGTATTTTATAAACATTACCTGTACATTTCCATTACTATTTTGATCAGATTGGATAATTCCTTCATGGCTATGTGAGCTGTTCTTGTCAGGCTCCCTGGTGTTCTCTCCCATGAAAAATCTCTCCTTAAGATGTCTATTGTGTTTGATTTCAGCATCACCACTGCCTCTTGTGTGGTTTGATACTTGGCCTCCCACCAGGTCCACAGACTGAGCCTGCTGGAGAAGGTGGTGTGCGTTTGGCAGGTTAGTAGCGGATGATCCCACTATTTGCATTAGGCTCAGGAAGTTTATCTGCTGCAGCTGAAATAGAATAAAATGAAAGAGACACCTTAAAATACAATGAAAAGAATCTAAGGAATCAACAGCTACCACCTTCATATTCCACAGAAGTCACAACTTTCTGTCAGACTTGGGAATACTGAACAGGAAGTAGGGACAAGAAGGATTTAAAAACAAAAAAAGCAGTTTTCTGTCATCTGGGAACATGAACTTATGGGTAGAAACCAGTTTACATAAATAATCCAAGGAACCAAGCCTGACAGTGTGTACCTATAACCGGAGTTACTGTGAGGATGAGGCAAGAGAATCACAAGTTCAAGGTCAACATGAGCAACTTAGTGAGACCCTAACTAAAAGTGAAAAATTTTAAAAAGGGATAGGAGTGGCTCAGTGGTAGAACACTTGTCTTGCACTGGGAGGCCCTGTATTCAATGCTCAGTAACATAACTAAATGACTAACTATCCCACAGATCATAAAGCTGTAGAATCTAATGGACTAGAGTGAGGGTAACTGAAGGTTTCAGGAAAGAAGAGAGCACAGAGTTCTACCCAGATAAGTGCAGACTTCTCTGTAAAGGACTGATATGGTGAGGCAATGGTTCCCAATTTTAGCTGCACATAGAATCAGTTGAGTAGCATTACAAAGTCCCAATGGCCAGGTCACAGCCTTTACCTATATATAGCATCAGAATGTCTGGGAATGGAAGCCAGGCTCAATTTTGTAAAGGAGACCAGGTGATTTCAAAGCACAGAAGGGCTTGGGAAGTAAAGCAGGGATATTGGATTAACTACAACAGAACATGACAGTAGGGATGAGAAGATAGATTAGTTCAGTAGCTCTGAAACCCTAACAGGTATCGGCATGAAGGAGAAGACTTGTTGAATCATTTTTTGCTTAATTCCACCACTAAAGTTTTTGATTCTGCATGTCTGGAAAGGGAGCTTGAGAATTTGAATATTTAAGATCTGAGCAATGTTGATGCTATTGGTCCAGAGATCACACTTTGAAAACAGCTAAACTTGTGAGAAAGCGATAGGGAAAGAGGGAAAATATACAACAGGAGTAGGTCTTTCATGGCCAACAGAAAAATTTGTACTTGAGGAAAACAGACTAATAGGGAAACACTGCAATTACATTCAGTTATAAAAGAAATCCACACATATTTGAGGAAAAAAAGTACAAATATATTGTCATTTTGCCTCTGAAGATAACTACCATTAACACTAAGTGTATGTCCTTCTACACTTTGATTTAAAACAAGACTGATATTGTATAGTACACAAATTTATAACTGAAATTTAGTCACTTTTGTGTGTGTCTTTTGCAGTACTGAGGATTGAACCCAAGGCCTCCTGCATAACAAGCAAGAGCCCTACCATTGAACTATATACTTAGCCCTTTATATTTTTTATTTTGGGACAGGGCCTTATCAAGGTGCCCAGCAAGGCCTCGAACCTGAAAACCTCCTGATAATTTAGCTACCCAAGTAGCTGGGATTATAGGCATGTAACACTGCACCAGGTCTGGTGAAGATTTTTTTTTCACATGAGCTTCCACTATGTAGTTCTGACTAGCTTTGCACTCACTATGTAGTTCAGGCTGGCCTTGAACCTGCAGCAGTCCTCCTGACTCAGCCTTCTGAGTGTTGGTATTACAGGTGTGTACCACCACAGGCAGCTTTGAAGATTTGGGGTTTTTTGGTACCAGGGATTGAACTCACCTTGCATTTGCCAGATAGGCACTTGTGCTGCTGAGATAAACCCTCAGCCCCTTGAAGATTTTTTAAAAGGTTAACAGACAATACTAGAAAATGCATCTATAAGACAATGGAAGTATGAAACAATAAAAATCCAAGGTTGGCCATACCTACAGAAATCAAGTGACTATAGGGACATACGGTGTGAGCAAAAGTCATGAGGCACAGGAAAATACCTGGATTAATACTGAAAACAGGAGGGGCTGGGGATTTAGTTCAGCGGCGTAAGTGCCTGCCTTGCAAGCAGGCAGTCGTGAGTACCGATAAAAAAAAAAAAAAAATACTGAAAGCAGGTAAATGTGACTCTCTAAGAATGAAAGTCCCAGGTAAATCATAAAGTAGTTTAAGAAATGCCTCTAAAACTTTGAGCTGGTAGTGCATCTGTAGTCCCAGCACTCCAGGAGGCACAGGGAGAAGGGTAATAAATTCAAGCCCAGCTACAGACTGTCAGAAAAAAAAAAAGGGCTGGGGATGTGTGAAGGTCTTGGTTTGATCCCCAGTGTGTGTGTGTGCACATGCCTGTGTGTGTGTGGTAAACAAAACAAAAACAAAAAGAGACTACACTGATAGAACAGATCATGCCATCCAATATAAATGGGAAAGAAAGAACTGAGGAAGAACCAGATTAATCAGTTTCAGTAAGTCTTATAGAATGGGGGACATACTGAAAAAGAGTCAATAAATTCAAAAAAGAAAATTAGTTCCAGGATCCAATTCAAAAATGGTATATTCCATCACCATTATATAAAGATTTAGAACACAAGACTGAAAGATTAGAAGAAGTAAAGTAATGTTTTAAGAATAAAAAGAAAAAGGGAGTTAGAAATTACTGGTAAAGAAAAGGGTAACATGAAAAAAGACAATGGAAGCCAGAGTGAACAGTAAATTGAAATTTTAACTTTTAACACAAGCCAAAATTTGGTCTGTGGATAACATACGATAAAACAGCTTGCATTAGAAAGTAACCTTTGGCCAGGTGTGGTGCTGCACACCTGCAGTTCTAGCACTTGGGAGGCTGAGGCAGGAGGATCATCTTGAGTTTGAGGCTACCCTAGGGTACCTAGCGAGACCTTGTCTCAAAAACAAAAACAAAACATTAAAAAGGAAAATAAAACAAACTTTGAAAAAAATTTTGAATGCTTTTAGTAGCAGCCCACTGGTCTGGTTTGATTATTGCCTACCCCCACCCAACAAACACACACACACACGCACACGCACATGTGCACACCTTTTTCTGAGCAACTGTGTCCCAAAGAACTCAATAAACAGAAGTCATTGTTAGAAGTAGACAGATTCCAGAAACCAATTAGAAACTTCTGAATGACAAATAAAAAGTGTCTAAAGCACAGGAATAATTTAAAGACAAGTTAATTATGACCTGTCCATTTCTATAAGTTTAAATTAAATCATACACACACACACACACACACACACACACACACACACACACATCATGTGTAGAATTACTTTTTAGAGATGTGCTTACCTGAACTAATTTAAACATTTCATCTTGGAGCATCTGCCTAACAGAATCTGAAGAATACGGTAATGGAGCCTCATGTTCATCTCTGTGGGTCTTCTGAGATGTTTCAACAGGTGTCTGTGAAGCTTCCTTGACTCCATTTGACACCAGAGAAGAAAGTGAGGGAGGCTTATCATTTGATGTAGAAATTTGTGCACTGTACAGAAGCATTTAAATAAAAACCACATTCTAATCAACAATGAAACAACTGGATGTCTACAATTCAAATATTTAGATCCCATTGTTTCTTCAAATTGAAAGGTTAGTCTAGCAGCTTTTAGGATTTCTCCTACACAACACTATTTTTTGCCTTCACTGAGGACATGTACCATCTACCCAGCAGTGGTCACTTACTAGTGTTACACTCCGCAACAGCCCACCTCTGCTCCCCCAGGTATCTAAATTTGAAACCAGTATAATCATTCTAACTCTACAGACTTTGTAATATGGCCCAGAGTTAAGTTTTTTGATGAAAATTAGTGAGTCAAAATACAGTTAATGCTGGTTAATATGTTAACCCAGTTAACCCTGGTGTAATGCTGCATGCCAATGATCCCAGCACTCTAGGGCTGAGGCAGGAGAATCATAGTGAGTTTGAGGCCACTGTGTAGTTTGAGCTACACAGTGAGTCCAAGGCCAGCCTGAACTATATAGTGACACGCTGCCTCAAAAAAAGTAACAAAAAATCCACAAAGAACAGAAAAACATAAAATACAGTTAAATAAACTGAAGAAAAATTATTTAATTCTAGGATTCATAAAGCAAAAACTGATTTCCATTAAATATCAGATAACAGTATTGTGAACATTCATATTCAGACAATCAATAAGTTTCCATTTATAATAACACTAAAAATGCTTATATTGACATAAAAATTAAAACTTGAACTTTTTAAAAGTTTTTTTTTTAAACAAAATTATTGAGAGCAATTCCTCAAACATAGCAGGTGGTCAGTGTTATCTAAGCAAATAAATTTTGCAAACTAAGGTATCAGGCATTTATCATATTCAAATAGTTACTCAAGTGTTTTGGACTTAGATTTGAGTTTACAATAATTCCTTTTTGAAAGAGAAATGGCATAGAGGAATGGACAAAAGAAGAAAGAGAAAAAACAATGAAAAAATATATATAATAGTTAAAGATAATTATACTACTTTCTTTTAATTCATTGAAAAGAAAGATTTGTGCTAATATTATCAGACAATTAAATGCTGGTATCTTGTACTCTGAGTAATTTAAAGATAACAAAATGTAATGTATTAACCATTGTTACCCTCTTATCTTGTTTTGAAATTTTTTCTCTTTAAAAAAAATTCCCTTTCACCAGTAATATCCGCATTCAATCAACGTCCAATATGTTCACTAACAAAATTTTATTTAGCCAATTCATGAAAAACAGGCACCACAGCTGTTGTGCTTATTTGAAGAAAACTTTACTGGCCTTTCCTTTCAACAACTAATATGACAATCAATTCTAATAATGTAAATTTCTTCTGAAGTAAAGCTGTGCTATAGTTTTCTTTTAATTTAGCAAGATTTCTAAGCATTAAGGAATCTTTTCAACCTCTGTTAAGAAAAATTTTTTTTTTTTGTCGTTTTCTTTTTTTATTGGTATCAGGGATCAAACTCACGACCGCACACTTTGCAAGGCAGGCACTTATGCCGCTGAGCTAAATCCCCAGCCCTGAAGAGAATTACATGCTATCACAAATCAAAAGCTGAAAATGAACAATAATTACATCTTTCAATTATACATCCACTTATTTTTTCTGAAATAACTGTTCTAACATAGCTTATGTAGATCTTTACACACAGGGAAAAACTAAATGATGTCAGTAGAATAACAAACACATTATAATTTTTTTTTTTTTTTGGTCTTTTTGAGACAGGGTCTCACTATGCAGTTTAGGCTGGCCTTGAGCTCACTTTGTAGCCGAGGCTGGTCTCGAACTCACAAAGATCCTCCCACCTCAGCCTCCAGAGTGCTGGGATTACAGGTGTGAGCCACCACACCCGGCTCAACACATTATAAATTATACACACTGTAAAACACAGAAACTAATAATGGAAAATATTTTAATTAACTAAGATGTCATAAATGTATACCTATACTACTCTTCAAGCTGCTTTTTTCCTTAGGTTTTTTTTGTTTTTTTTTTTTCATTTTCTTTTTTGTCTATTTTGTTTTTATCGGTACCAGGGATCGAACTCACGACTACCTGCTTGCAAGGCAGGCGCTTATGCCGCTGAGCTAAATCCCCAGCCCCTTTCCTTAGGTTTTAATTACCACATATTTCAAATAAGTATAGCAAACACTAATTCATATTCTATTTATAAAACATGATTATTTCAAAATGGTACAATGAACAAAAATTCTTACCTAGAAATTTCTGAACTTGTATCTATACAAAATGAAAGAGGAATGGTATGTTCAGGATTTGAACAAGCTTCGATCATACTACAAATAAGAATTAGTAAGTGATTAGGTAGCAAGATACTCTTTACACAAACCTAAGGTAGAAGTGATTTAATGCTGTGCCACCTAAGAGTCCAAACATACTTTTACTCTTTTCTAAAGCTTAGCTCATAATCATAATCTGTTTACATTTGTCTCCATAGCAATTTGGAAGAGATCCAAACAAAAGCAAAGAATATGTCCAGATGATTTAACACATGGCAATGTACTCTTTTAATTGCTCAGTAACAGGACTACACAATCTAAAATGAAGGGATGTGAGATTAGTCAGGACCCTAAATTTCTCCTAAAAAGCAAATGAACATTTTGCTTAGAATACTAAAGAGCTCACTGTCATATTTGCTACTTTGCAAAGGTAAATTTTTCTGAACAGAAATACCTATTACTTTGTAAGGGCTCTGTAATAAAGCACAAGCAAAGTCCTGGTTTGGTTCCCAACACCAAAAAACAAAACAAAACACCAAAAGTTAACCAACAAATTAAAAAAACTCACTTCTGTTAATTATGTACCCAAAACTAACCAACAAATTAAAAAATTCACTCGTTAATTATGTATCCATAGTAGAAGTAAACAAAATTTGCATATTAAGAAAAAGAAAATAGGGAGCTGGAGATTTAGCTCAGCGGCATAAGCACCTGTCTTGCAAGCAGGCAGTCGTGAGTTTGATCCCCAGTACGGATAAAAAGGAAAAAGACAAAAAAAAAAAAAAAAAAAGAAAATATAACATTTGTCTTATTCTTTTAGTGAAGGTAATTCCAAAATTCTAACACTTCCAAAATCCTATAAATGAATTATGTCCAAATTGCAACATATGAAAACTGAGTTCAACTTTCCTGGAAGCAACAGTAAGCTAACCAGCATATACGCACATCATAAACCTAATGGAGAGAATATATACACAAAGCTTAGTGGTGAAAGATGAGTAAGCTGTAGTTCATTTACTATTATATTTTAATTTGAAAGACTGATAGTGTTAGAAGAACAACAGGCATTTTAGTTATTTCACTTACCACAATTCCAAGTAAAACATCTACCAAAAATCATTATTTACAAAAACTTTAGACTGAGGTTACAATTTCACTAGAAACATGCCACCATAAAATATGTGCTATAACTTGTTAAAGAAAAGCTATATAAGTTTCACTGAGGTAAAAAACCTAGAGATAATCATTTCATATATTTCTCTCCTTACTTTTCCTGTTCAGACTTTTCCTCCACATTTGTCTCCAGGGGTTCTTTCCTTGGACACTGAACCTCTTCTGTGGATTGCTGTTAACAGTACGCAAAATGAAAACAGGTGAAACAAATAGATATTCCTGCAATGGGTATTTTGAGTGTCACATTAGCCACTCACCTAGAGTAAAAACAACCTAAAAGGAGGTGAAAAATCAAACACTAAAATGTATTCCAGTCTTTTATACTGTGTGAACTGCTTTTGGCCTATTCCTCTGAGGTGTTGAGCATGTTAAGGCACAAGCACAAGACAATATTAGTAGACTAACACATTATTATATATACACACAATGACAAGCATACTATTTAACCTATGAAAACAACTGCAAAACCAGGAAAAACTCATTCTTTTTAAAACTATTGTTACTATCACTGGAGATGCCTATACTCTGTATGGAAATTCAGTGTACAGAATTTTGAGAAAACAACATACAAAGTACATACAGGTACAAAAATTACCCAGGCATGGTTGTGCAAACCTGTAATTTCGGCATTTAAGAGGCCAAAAAAGAAGGATTACAAATTTTAGTCCCACCTAGATAACTCAACAAGATCCTGACAGAAAAGGCAAAGCAAAGGCAAAGAAAAGAAACAGAAACAAAATGAGAAAAAATGTTTAAAAAAGTTGTAATATAGCTCAGTGTGAAGTATCTGAGTTTAATTCCCAGTACAAAAACAAAAAACCCTGCAACCACACTGAACTACACTGTAAACAAAGGACATTTTTATCACTTGATTAAATTAATTTGCTAACGCAGTTTATTAAATAAAAAATATCACTTTTTTCGGGGCTGGGGATTTAGCTCAGCGGCATAAGCACCTGCCTTGCAAGCAGGTAGTCGTGAGTTCGATCCCTGGTACTGATGAAAAGGAAAAAGACAAAAAAAAAAAAATCACTTTTTAAAATTATTCGACATGTAACAGAATTTTAAAGAAATAAAAATGCCACATGGTATTCCTATATTCTTGTTTTAACATATAACAGTGATGTGTAACAAAAACTGATTTTTATTTATTTATTTATTTATTGGCCTTTTTCCTTTTTTTTTTTTTATCGGTACCGGGGATCGAACTCACGACTGCCTGCTTGCAAGGCAGGCGCTTATGCCGCTGAGCTAAATCTCCAGCCCAAAACTGATTTTTTTTGAGACAGAGTCTTACTATGTGGTTTAGGCTGGCCTTAACCTTGCACTGATCCTACCTTAGCATCCCAAGTGCTGTAATTATAATTTGTGGGGGAAAGGGTAGAAATTCTCCTTTATACCCTCAATGTTTCATTTCTGTATCCTTTTCTTTTTTGATATGGGGATTGAACTCTAAATCTACCCCACTGAGCTACATCCCTAGATCTTTTTTTTTTTTTTTTTTTTTTTTTTTTTCTGTATGTCAAGAGAAGATCTGCTACACTGCTAAATTCTCCAGGGTGGGTTTAACTTCATGATCTTCCTGTCTCATCTGCTACAGTGCTGAGATTATAGTCATGTATCACCACCCCTAGCCAAAAGTTGAATGATTTTATATATTATTAACAACTTACTTTTTCTAACTGCTGTGGTAAAGTCTGCATGTAAATGGCAACATTGGGACTTTTGGGACTTCTGACAGGTTTTTCTGCAGGAAAATAAAAAAGAGGAAGAAAAAACTGATGATTTGAAACATAGTATTTTTGATTTTTTAAATGCCTATGAAATATTATAGGAAATGAATATAGTAACAAAAACATTTTCTATCTTCCTTGCAAAAATATTTTTTAGAAATACCTGGAGAAGGGGGCTGGGGATTTAGCTCAGCAGCATAAGCGCCTGCCTTGAAAGCAGGCAGTCCTGAGTTGGATCCCTGGTACCGATAAAAAGGAAAAAGACAAAAAAAAAGAAAGAAATACCTGGAGACACCTCCACCAAGTAAATCCTAGATGAGCCTTGAGAGGCCTAACTTCATTCTATGTAATTTCATGAGAGCTCTGAGACTTTCTGCTTTAAGGGTGGCTTCCAGGATGAGGTTCATAGAATCGGTTCATAGGAATTAAGAATTAACCTAAAATTATTCCATAGGCAGGGCAAGAGAACCCCAAAACTGTAAAAGAACTACCAATACAAAAAAGTCTGTGACTTCTTGGTTTTATTAAAAATCAAATTATGAGTTAATATACTAACTCAAGGATATAACACTCTCAATTTTTAGTTTTAGGATATTATGGACATCATAACTTAGGTACAAGGCTAAACAAGTTATTTCAGACACCATTCACCAGTTTCAAATAAAGCCAGAGAAAAAGAAAATCTACATCAACTGACCTTCACAGTCTGCTATGTGCATATCCATTCCCTCCTGCGTAAACATTTCTATTTGTAAAAGATTCCCACTGGTGTCTATAAATTCTTCTTCAATATTATGAGTGTCGAAAATAACCTCATCACTGATTTCTTTTATTTCAGGGTTTTCTGCTTCAGTTGACATTCTGACAGAAATATGGCAACTATTATTACAATTCATTCCTGGAAACAAAGAACTTGCTTTCATTTGACTCTAATTTTTGAAAACAAGAAGTATAATTTTCATATTTATTGTCTTTCTTAGCTTTCTGCTTCGTAAAAGTTTAGTAAAAGTCTAAAGTTTCCAAACAGTAGAACAATTTCAAGTTATCTAAAATTACCACTCTTACAAAGGCACTTTCACATTTTAAGTGCTTTTGCCTTGGTATTTGCTTTAGTCTGTATACTGAATGTCCCAAGATTCAAGTGCTAACGACTTTGTCTACAGGGCACACTGCCAGTGGGAGGGACACAGCCTTTGAGAACCTTGTCTTGTGAGAGGTCCTCACATCTCAATGGGTTGCATTTGCAGGGGAATTGTATGATCCTGGCCATTCCTGTTTTGTTTTCTGGCCCAGAAGTGAGTGGTTTTATTCTATTGTGCATTCGTACCATGGAGCACCACCTTACAAGCACTAAGCAATGAGGTCAACTGATTAGTAAAACTGTAGGTCAAAAACCTTCTATAAGTTGGTTATTGCAGGCACTTCATTACAGAGACGGAAAGCTGACTTACACAGTATTCAGAGATATATTACTATTACTGCTTCATATATAAAAATGGATGAAATGGATAAAAATGCATAAAACTGCTTCACATAGAAAAATGGCTGACGTATAACAGTGAAAAAATATACTAAGGGGATCTCTTAGGATGAATTAGCTCCTCTCTCAGAAGACATGCTAGACCAAAAGAAGTGTACTTTACAATGAATTACTAAAGAACTTCAGAAATCTTGCTCCCTAGCTGAGGGTACAGGCAGAAGTGCTGCAACTGCATGAAACAAGGCCTAAAATTTAATCCCCAACACAAGCACAAAAAGAAAACTCACTTCTTGTTTCTGTAGTTCAAGAAATGCTTATTCCTTTAATTTCCAAAGCTTCAGTTTTTTCCATTAGCCCAAACGCTAGTCAACTTGTATTGAAAAGGAGGGTATTAGCAAAAAAACTCACTTGAAGACACTCTGGCTAAATTCATTTGAGTCATTACTTTCCGCAGTTCCACCTTGAGTTCCCCCTGCAGCTGAACAGCCAGCATCGGTTATGCTCTCCCTCTGGATACTGGGTTTGATCTGAGACACAATACACTGATTCCCTAGCACCTAAAACAAACCATTTATAGCATTTTGTATTCATTATTGAAAACCTTTGTTTTACGTTTTTAAATTATGCAAAATATCTGTAAACGGTTTCTAATTCTCTCATTTATTAAGTATTTACAGCATTTACACAACTCAATTTCTGTTGCTAAAGCAATGATCAAGTCTATTCTACCTGGAAAAAGTAAATCCACTACTTCGTATACAGGTATTACCCAGAAATACAAACTTTAAAGACAACAAATATAGTTTTGTATAAGCTGTATTCCTGAAAAACTGATCACAAAAAAGGAAAACAATTGTAAAAAAATTTAAAAATTAAATAATTCTAACATACATATATACTTATACTCTTCAATTTAGAACAACTAGCCCGAAGGCACTTGCCATTTACTACAGAAGAGAAAAACTAATCAGAATTACTTCTCTACTGCCCATCTATTTTTCTTTCTCCTTTAAAAAATTTTTTTTTGGGACGGGTCTAGCTGCATAGTTCAGGCTGGCCTTGAACTCAGTGATGCCCCTGAGTGAGCATCCCAAATGCTGGGATTATAGATTACTTCAGATCCTCCTGCTTTGCCTCCTAGAGTGCTGGAATAATAAACATATGCTACCACACCCAGCTCCCTTTTTCTTGGTCTTTTTTGAGACAGGGTCTCACAATGCAGTTCAGGCTGGCCTTGAGCTCACTTTGTAGCCCAGGCTAGCCTAGAACTCGCAACGATCCTCCCACCTCAGCCTCTTGAGCGCTGGAATTACAAGTGTGAGCCACCATGCCCGCTATCCCTTTTTCTTTTTTATAAACACATATAAAACCTTAAAACTTCATGGCATCTCTGAAAGTACATTCTTTTTATTTTTTTAAGAATCAGAGGAACCAAAAAAAAAAAAAGAGAGAGAAGAACTTCTTGAAAAAAACAAAACAAACTACATATACAGAGTATCATCAGAACTGTCTAACTTTCCATTACTCATTGTTTTTTTTTTTTTCCCCCAAATCCATTTTAAGGAGAAAAAGAAAAAAAAAAAAAAACTAAAACTAAAACAAAATTTCAAAACACATCAATCAAGGAGCAACAATGGTACAAGCAATAAAACAGTTTTAATCTAAAAGTGGTATTTTCATTTGTAATAGGCAATTGATGTACTTACCTTATTTTCTGCTTTATATGTAGCAAAATAAGGTTGTTCCAAAAGCCACAACGAGGTAAGAATGGCAGCTGTAGAGGTTTTTACACGAATAACTGGACTGTACTTCGAGGAAGACTGAGTGATTCCAGAATCACAGAGCAGTCTTCGATCAGACCATCTTACCATCCACTCCAGCAGTCTTCTTATATTGCCATAGGTGTCCTTTAGCACCATGGGAAGATCCTCCCGCGGGTTAATATCACTGCACTGAATAGCTCTGAAATGGTATTTTCTAGTTTTAATGGACTTTGAAGTCCAAAATCTATGGTCTGATGACTCCTGGATTAGAGATTTCTCTTGATTACCATCTTGAATTCTGTAAATTGATTTTTGTTTTAAACCAAACAATCCCTTTTCTTTACTTTCATTGACTTCATTTGATGAATTCTCTAAAACTGGTGTAATCCCTTCATTAACTAGTTCCGATGCTGAAAGAATCTGGTTGTCTAAACTTATGGCATGTTTGCCATTTAAAGCAGATGATTTTTCAGATTCATATGACTCAGGAACAGCAACAAAGCAGGAGCCAGCTCTAAACACATTCTGGTTTTTGGTTTTGCCCTGACGTCGTTTTAATGTTGTATGCACATCAAAAAGTAAAGAATTAAGTTCATGTTCCCTAAGCTGTCCAGAAAAACTAGTTAGAAATGGAATGCCAGGATCTCCGGAACTGAGTAGGTCTCTTTCAAGAACATAACTCAAAAAGAGATCAAGGAATTTAATATATTCATCATCATCTCGCTCAAATTCCCAAGTACCTATTACAGGAAGTATATTTTGTGGTAACTTTTTGTGATCTTCTTTCCTTATAGGATTTTCTTTCTGATTAGAAATTTTTTTTCTATTACGGGGCTGATCAACTAACGATAATTCTAAATGACTTGGAGTATTCCTAGAGCCAAAAAAAAAAAAAAAAGACAAAATTAATGATCATTTAATTTATAAAACTGATATTAGAATTAGCATTAAAATTCCTACCAGGTGTGGTGGTGTGGGAGCCCATGTCTGATATCTCTGCACTCAAGAGGCTGAGGCAGGAAGATCACTATGAGTTCAAGGCCAGCTTGGGCTATACAGTGAGTTCAAGGCCAGCCTGAACTACATGAGACCCTGTCTCAAGATATCACCACCCTCAGGGGGCTGGGGATTTAGCTCAGTGGCATAAGCACCTGCCTTGCAAGTGTGTGGTTGTGAGTTCGATTCCCGGTACCGATAAAAAAAAGAAAAAAAAAATATATCACCACCCTCAAATTCTCTCCATTACTGAGGATGGCAGTACAGACCTATAATCCAAAAACTTGGAATTACACTTAAGCACAGGAGGTTTACTTTTTTGAGCCCCATTCTGGGCAACTGAGTAAGTGAGTAAGACTGAAAAATTTAAAAAGGGCTGAGGGGATAGCATAGCTCAGGACAAAAGCTTTGTGTTTAGTTCCTAATACTGTTTAAAAGAAAATTCTCTACTCATTAAGCTATGGATCTTTTTGATGTTTCACGTATATCAAATGAAAATCAAAAGAAAAAAGTCAACATGTTTTCTAGGGTGGAACATGGATCTTTAGATTCTCAATATTATTGAGAAAAGGTGTTAAACATTGAGGATGTGTATACAATAAGCCGCCTGCAGGGCATTTCTGTGCTAACATTTAATCACAGCTGTTTTGTGAAGCAAGCACACCATTTTAAAAAGCAGATGTTTGGAGTAGATGTGATAATTTCACTTACACAAAATTACTGCTGAGCTGATTATATAGTCTTTAAATCATGAGGACAAACTGCATTTTAAATCACTGTGATAAGGGTTTAGACAATGAGCAAGAATTTCCCAATAAATTACACACATGTTGCAAAGATGAATGTATAAGTTTCTACCCTGGAAACCCTTAAAAGGGATACAGCTAACCCAGTTGCACCAAAGTACAGGCTGAGTGCCCCTTATCTGAAGTGTGGTGGGGCAAGTGTGTTTTCTGCACTTTGTGAGTTTTCTTTTTTTAAAAAAAATTGGATTGTTTGAACATTTATGAGACATTTTACTCATGGATCCCAAGTCTATGCTGAAATTCACTTGTGTATGGGGGCTGGAGGTGTAGCTCAGCTATAGAGCTCTTGCTTAGCATGTGTAACATCTTGGGTTTGCATCCCAGCACCATAAAAAAGATAAGGAAAAGATGGAAATTCATTTATATTTCATAGTAATTTATACAGTATTTTTAGTGCACCTGCACATCTCATATTATACTCACACTTATCATTTATATTGTTAATAATACAATTTGCAAAGGTTGTTGGGACTCCTCACTTGCATAAAAACAGTGAAGGAATTTTCTTCCAAACGAAGTCCAGGCTTGTTATTAGGAAAGCTCAACTGTACCTGTGGTAGAAAGGTAGCTTGTTTTTTTCTTCAACTGACAATACTTCAGAGAAGGTGTCTGCATCACTGTGTACCACAGAATTGCCCAGTTCTGTGAGGGTGCTTCTGCTCATGCTAGTTCCTAGGGAAAACCTGTCGAAACCTGGAACCTCATCTGTTTTCTCTTCTTCAACTGGTTCCCAAATATTCATCTCAAAAGAACCAATATTTCTCTGCACCCTTTTTAGGGCTTTCACCCTCACTTTATGGATAGAATGCACGACAACAGACATCATTTCCTCATTCTGGGGACCTGAAAGTAAAGAACAAAAGGTCTGTGGTCCATTAAAATGTTTCTACTGGAAGACAGGCAACCTACTTGGGACCCCTTCTGTCTCTCTTCCAGACAGAGCATTCTTTCTCTCAATAAATATACTCTGTTTAAAAAAAAAAAAAAAAAGACATGAAGAACCCAATCTGGTTCCTTCTGAGGACATGAAACCTAACAACTAAGGCTTATTTCCCTATAATTACAGATTATGTTTTATTTAGTATTCACTGGAAAATATGTGACAGGCCCTGGGTTCAATCGTCAATACCAAACACACACACACACACACACACACACACACACACACACACACACACAAACTAAAGCCACAACACTGTAAATGTATTTCATGCCACTGACTCACACACTTAAAAATGGTTTAAACTGGAGGTGGGTGAGAGTGACACACACTTATAATCCTGCTGCTCCAGAGGCTGAGGCAGGCGGATGACGATAAGGATGGAGGATGGAGTTTAAGGTTAGCCTAGGCAACATAGTCTCTAGCCAAAAAAAAGGTTAAGTATTGAGACTGAGTATTATAAGTATCTTCAATAGTCAGAGCACCATATGTGCCTCTATCCTCTCTGTACCCATCTGTTTAGAGATGAAACGTGCACAGATGCCCAGGCTACACCAATCTCATAGACTCAAACAGTCCTCCAGATTCAGCTTCCCAAGTAAACGGGACCACAAGTTTGTGCCACCACAGCCATCTTAATTTGCTCATTTTATATATTTTTTAAATTCTCTCTCAGTACATACTCATAAAGTAAATAATAATATATCCATTTTACAAATAAGGAAAGAAAGTTCAGAGAGACTGAGCGTCTTAAGGTCATACAGTTACTGATTAACAGTCATGACCTACAGTCAGCTCCACCTGGCTCCAAAACCACAGAATTAGTTCTGAAATAGGGTAAGGTACTGAGCCCACACTCTTGTCTCTAGGAAAAAGCAAAAAGGCATAGATACACAAATGGCAGGAAAGACATGCTCTCAAAAGAAAAGCATCTTTGCCAATTTATCCATTAGAAATATGAAACAAATACCTTTCATAACACAGTGTCTGAGTCTCTGCTGAAGAGAGTGGTATTTTTCTCTTAAAGGAACTCTTACATCCTCTGGATTGGGAAACGCTTTCACGAAAATTTCTGCTACCTTCAGAAAAAGTATTTTAAAGTTTTATGAGCAACATCATTTTCTTCCCTTTTCATTCCTCAAATATTTTAACTCAAAATATAAAAGCGTATTTAGTACTAATCTTTCAATGTTGGACTGAAGGCTCTTTAAGAATGAGCCTGTGGATTCATGTTAGCATCATTTGTCTCCCCTTTAAAAATTTATAATTCTTAATTGACAAAAATCATATTCATGGGAACAGTGATAGTTTTATATACATACACATTGTATAATAATCACAGTCAAATAAACATCCATCACTGTAGTTACCATTGTGTGTGGGGTGGGGTGAGGACACTTAAAATCTCCCCCTTATAAAATTTCAGATAAACAATATAGTAGTATTAACTATAGTCACAATATTACATTTTAGATGCCCAGAACTCATGTATCTTATAAATGAAAGTCTGGACTTTTTACCAACAATTCCCCATTTCTACCATGCTGTATCTGTAAGGATATCATGCCAAGTGAAAAAAGCCAAACACAGAACACTTATGCAGTTCTTTTATTCTCTCTCTGTGTGTGTGTGTGTGTGTGTGTGTGTGTGTATTACTGAGACTCACACTCACAAATGCATGCTTGCCAGGCAGGCACTGTGCTGCTGAGCTATATCCCCAGCCCCAGCCATGCAATTCTTAATTTAAAAAAGTAAGGATCTTTTAAAGTCTGATTCAGTTTTAGTTTTTTTCTACCTACGATTACATTACCTTTCTGACTGGTGGCAGTTCTCCGATAAGGCTCAAAATTATATCCTGAATAAGTTCTTCAGTATTAAAAAACCGAGAGAAAGGTAGCATTCGATAAGCCCATTCCACAGCACTAAGACAGTGCTCAACTACACAAGAATCGAACTCCACTTCAAGGTCCTACATGGATATTGAGAAGATTCATTGCTTTTTCAGTTCAGATGGATAGATCAGAATGAAATCTGATCATGCCACAAAGAGTAAAATTTTCTATTAAGCAATAATTTCCCAAGTAATGTTTGTTTCTTTTTTTTAATTCTTTTGCTGGTAAATACCTTTTCCCTCCTCATATTTTCTCTTGCTTTCTGATACTGCCTACAACTGTAGGATAAATTATCCCGGATATGCAGCACCCAGCACAAGGCACAGAGTTCTCTGAAGCAGCCTAAAGAGAGATATAAAATATATTTTTAAAAAAAAGTATCAGTTTGTGTATCAAAATTAGAACTCAACCCCTGCTGTTTTTTCAGAGTATTTTTTGATTATAAAAGAAACACATGCTCATAAACACCTTATATAAAAGTCATAGTTCCTTCTGAAGTTTTAAGTCATTGCTATTTATAATATTTCATGCATATCAGTTGTAGGAATATACTGAAAACATATTTACAGAGTAAGTAACTTATCTATTCACTATCAATTTGTTTCACAACTTCATTGTATATTATAGATATTTTCAGCCTTTTCCTGTGAGTCAGTGCCATTTGTGGACTGCTGGGGAAGAGAACAAGAACTCATGAAGAAGCAAGCCCTCCTTGCAAATCAGAGCCATGTGCACTGAGGTAAAAGCTAGAAGCCAGCCCCTTCTGGTGCGTGGGCTGGAAAACAAGAGCTCCGCATCCCGCTCTCCCACCCCTCTGCCATAAGTGAACAGAGTGCAATGATAGCTATTGAGGTAAATAGTGTTTAGTGTGCTTGTAGTGTTTACTGTTTCACTGACTTTGCAGGTCTAAAGCCGGTGGTCTGATAATTTATTCAGAGAGAGGATAACAATATGCATTGTAGCACCTATGGGGTTCTCTTTCTGCAGGTGGTGGCCACTGTTGATTCCCTGTTGTCTTATTTTGAGGTCCTGTATCATTTTCATTATTTTGTTGGGTTTTGTTTGATTTTATTATATTCAATGGCATGGGAAGCCATTTCAAAGATAACAAGATATATTATGGTAGTCTTTTTGGATTTACCCATATTATTTTGAAGTCTTTTACTGCATTCATTGTTTTGTTTTTATTGGTTCTCTTCTGTTGTGTTTTGATTTTTACTATGTTTGAAGGAAGGTATCGCAGCTATTTTGAAGACAACAAGAGGCACTGTGGTAACCATTGTTGATTTCATATTGTTTTGAAGTCCTGTGTCACTTACACTGGTTTGTTTTGATTAGCTTTATTCTATTTTATTTTGCTTAGTTTTATTCTCTTTAAAATAAAAATTAAAAAACAAATATTTTTCAAGGCCAATACACATAACTCTACACAGCATAATTAATTTGCAAAATCCTTTTTTTTAGTGCTGGGAAACTAACTGAATGTCTCACACACACCAAGAGCTATGTCACTAAGCTACAACCATAGCCCTAGTCTTGAAAAATCACTAACTGATATGCATTTATATTGAAATTTTTAAGTATTAGAGACTATTGCCAATATGCATTTTTTATTAAAACCAACACACGGGCCAGGAGTGTGGTTCAGTGGTAGAACATATGGCATGTATGAGGCCCTTCATTGCATCCCCAGCACTGAGAACAAATAAGACAAAATAAAACAAAACACAGCATACAAGTACTCAAAGGTAGCAAAATTCATACTGTGTATATTGCTTTACAATTAGCCTTTTTAAAAGCTCATGTACTTTGCTTATCTTTTCATAGTGGTAATATACTTCTTTTATTGCCAATATGGTATCACATTGTATTGAGCATCATTATTTATACACAATCAGCTACTAATCATTTATATACAATCAGCTAATAAAACAAATTTCAATCCTAATTTAAATTTAAGTTTTTGTACTGTGGTTAATAATGACCTTTTCTTATAGAGAGATAATCCCTTAAAATACAACAATTATTCATGTAGGCCTAAATTTAAAAAAAAAAACCTAATATACTAATACTAATACTTTTTATACTAATACTAATATTGTTATACTAATATTAATTTAATACATATTTTTATACTGGTTTTTATATTAGCGGTACTTTCACCTTCTTTAGAAAGCTACTTATTATATTTTTAAATAATATTATACAACTAGAAAGTACTGACTGCCAATATGGAAGAAGAGTATACAGATTAGGTCTTTCACAAATTCTAGCCAGCCAAAAGGGAAGATGGTGGGAAGATCTCCCAGGGAGACTACCAGGCTCACCCGTGGGCATTTCTGCACTATGTCCCAAACCTCCACATCAGATTCTGATATGTTCTACCAGGGGAGAACAGCCCGGTATTTAAGAAAGACAACATAACTGACAGATATGTTCATGGTTTCCTATTTCACAGGCATGTTAGAACAGAACTACGGCCAAGAGTCAGGATGATCAAGTGCTACAACATACTAGGCAGCTATTCATGTAAAAGCATGTTTTTATGTGTTTTCCAACTGTGAATTATAATCTGTTATAAACTACTAGATTATAAAATGAATTCAGTGGGTCTCAGTCATTTTAAAAATATAGAATAGAAAATAGTAAGAGTTCATTATACATAATAATAGTTCACCTTTTCCCTTTTTTTGATTAAATTTCCATCCCAGATTTATATAGGTAAATGTACTGTACTGATATAAAATCTACACCTTACTGTAAGTCATGGTCATAAAAATCTGAACACAAAAAAAAGGTGTAATCAATGGACATCAGAATTACAAGGATTCTACTAGATAAATGATCTGGTTTCCTCAATAAATAAATGATATAACAAAAAGTAGGGGTGCTAAGCATGTTGGTACACACCTGTAATCCCAGTGCTCTGAAGCTGAGGCAGAACTGCTGTGAGTTCTAGGCCAGCCTGAACTACACTGCAAAACCCTGTCTCAAAAATAAGTAAATTTTAAAAAGTAGCAAGAAGGGGATTTTTATGCACTGAGTGTTACATATGGACCAGAATACAATGTGGGGAAGACCTTGTTTGCATTTAGATTTCAAAAAAACACAATTGTAAAAAAGACATACTTGAGATAACCAATTAAATTTAAACACAATATGTAATATATTTCAAAATTTTAATTTGTCAGGTACGGTAATAGGATTGCATTTTTAAAAATTGTTATCTATATATAGTGATGTTTTTTATTTTTGTCTTTTTGAGACAAGGTATCGCTATGCAGTTCAGGCTGGCTTGGCCTTGGGCTCACTTTGTAGCCCAGGCTGGTCTTGAACTTGCAATGATACTTTGGCCTCATCCTCCTGAATACAAGGATTACAGGGGTGTGCCACCATGCCCTGGGTTCAATCTCCAGAGCAACAATAAAAGGCAATTCATTTACTTAGCAATTCTACCTCTGAGAATCAGAACTATTTCAAAATACAAAAAAGAAATGGATATGCTGATGGTAATTTAAAGTAAAATTCAATGTCTGCTAATAAAAGCCATTAAAATTAGTAGATATAAATATTTATAAAATGGAAAAAAAGCTTAGGTGGGGCATGGTAAGTTACAAAAGCAGAGAAAATTGCTAAGTCTATACTAAAAGTTTCAAAATCAATCCACTTAATTGTGTTTGGCAGCATACCTTAGATGCTGCCAAGAAAATGATCAATGGTATTCTTGTGTGCTAAAATTCCAAATTTAAATAAATCAATGACAATAAGTCACAAATGCCAGTTTTTTATAATAAATTCCTAGCTTAAAATCATACATGTAATACATGTATATACATGGCTGTTAAATATAGTACTTATGCATAAAAACAAAGTAAGATATCAGGATATACTATACTTCAAAGAGTCAAAAGTTTAGAAACTTTCCCAAATCAAATGAAAAAGACATCATTATTCATACTGAGGCTAATTACTAACATGCAATTCATTTTTGACAAACCTATTGCTCCAACAGAAACTTCATCAACTTTGTGCTCTCCAGCTGCTCCAGGTCTAAAGAATGCTACACCTCCTTTACAGTAATTAAGTAAGGACTGGGGGAAAGGATTCAGCAAAGGAAGGGACCCTTTCATTCGAATCTGAAAGAAAAGAATGTAGAATACATTATCATTAGTACAATTTCTAAAGAAAACTATAAAAGAGCAAGGCAGTTGAGATAACTGTACAGAATGGAAACCATAGCACAATTCCTCTCCTATGCTAGAAAAACAGCCCTGAAATCAACCATACTTTCAGAAAGTTAGCCCAGATTCAACTCAAGAAATTCACTGGATTGTATATCAAAAAAGATAAAGGTTCTAACTAGTTCTTACACTCTCGTCACTCAATTTTACCTGTATAAAAACAATTCAATGTTCTTCATCCATGGTTTTCTCCAAGTGATGACAACAAAGAAAATAATCTAAGTACCTAAATTTTTTCCAAAATAAATTATGCGCAATCTAAAAACAGACAAAAATTTATCTACATATATAACCTTTTTTTTTTGAGACAAGGATTTTGCAACTCCTAAAAAAATAAATAGATGGTGAGTACTGGACAGAGGGTATGACATAACTGAAATTACCTGATCAATCTCACCATCACTGAAAGTGAAATAAACAGACATTGCTGCCACATATGGGATGCAACAAAACACAGAGAATCTGTCTGAGAGAGATTGATTCTGAATATAATCAAATCTCTTTACCTTGATGAGTACAGATCAATTTCCAGTTTACAAGAAAATAAAAATAAGTTAATGTGGTATAGAACAAATTACCTGTCTAACAAATCATGAATTAAAATAAAAAAGTTGTTATAGATGAAAGAAAAGGGATCTATGAAACATAAACCTGGGAAGGAAGGATTAGCAGAAGACTTGCAATCTACTTTCCCCTCCACTAGTCAATTCCAGAAAGATGTGATCTAATCCCATTCCTTTGTAAGCATGTAAGACAGTGTTCTTGTCAAACACATTCATGGCACTGACTATCAAGACAGCACTAGGAAGTAAGGCCAGGAGGGAATGGCAGGGCTAGGGGGTGAGGGGCTTGGTCCTATAGCCATATAAAACCGACATTGGCCAAAAACCTGACTGAAGCTGGAAATGGACAAAGCTGAAAATGGATGTTTCTCTAAGCTACTTAGGGAAATGCAGGCCACTGTTATCCTGATTTGCCTTGCTAGACTCAGCCAGACCCAGCTCAACAAACAGATTTCTGATACAGAGATGGTGACACAATAAACAAGTATTACAGCTTGAGTTTGTTTGCTGGGGGACAGGGTCTTGTGCAGTTCAGATTGGCCTTGAACTCATTATGTAGCCCTGGCTGGCCTCAAACTTGCAACTCTTAAATACTAAGATTACAGGTGTGTGCCACTATACCCAGCAGGTGCTATTTTAAAAATAAACAGGTCAGGCCTGGGATTTAGCTCAGTGGCATAAGTGTCTGCCTGAAAAGTTGAGAGGTCATATGTGAAAGGGTTTTGGCTCAGGCTGGACACTATAGCCAGTAAAGCCAAGGAGCTCCTATCTCCCCCACCCTTAGGAATCTACTTCTGGTGCAAACAAAGACCAATGGGCTACCTGTGCATCCCTAATGCCCCCTAAGGTTCCAGCCCAAGCCAAGGCTACTTATGTGTCTTACTCCACGTATTTCACGGAGAGATAGCCGACCCCGGGGTGGAGATGCCATGCCCCGTGGGGTCGGGGGTGTCTCTCCCCACATTCTCAAAATAAAGGTCATTTATATTTCACACTTCTTTTCAGCCGCCGCCAGTCCCCTATAGTTCTATCATGATTCCCTGACCGGAAATGGCAGATTAGAGACTCCTGGGGCTGGTTCCCAGTTTGAGTCCCCTGCTGTTCAGGACCAGGACCGGACTGCATCCTGCATTAATTCCTCACTTCTACACTCAGGAGCTGTAAACTTGTCGTTGCCAGTTCGCAAACAACACCAACCAATTTACCACAGGTGAGCAACTCCCCAGAGAGTGTCACTGGGCCAGGCCCCAGGTGGCTTTTCTCCCCCTTTGCATGGGTTCGTGATGCTTTCACGTCCTTTGGACAGCCCAGGGCAGGGTCTTCCTGGGCAAACCTGCGTCCATGAATCTCTCCGGTCCTTTGGGTTCAGATAGCCTAAGGCAGAGTTTTCTGGACTGCCCACACTGAGAGGCCCTCAAGTCCTTTAGAGCTTTTTAAGTTCTCACAGCAGAGCTCTTACTCAACCCACGTAAAATCATAATATTGGTGGCAGCCAATTATTAAGAGTTTTGGAGCCATATAACCCGTCAGTCTGAGGTGCAAAGTGACGACTTTAAGCTTGACAGACCACGGCCCATTGCTTCATCTGATTGTAACTCCATGGGCTAGACCCCACACCAGATATTATCTCGGGGACCACTTCCTGTCTCCCCCCCCAAAAAAACCATACCTATCTATGGCTTATCACACTGCCAACAAGCTTACAAAACTATCTTTAAGCCTTTGTTTTGGGAATGTGTGTCCTTTCTTGCTCCTCCAGGATCCCTCCCCTTCTCCACACTTAAAGAGGTAACAGTGTCTTCCCTTGCAGCCTTTTGGAGCTTTCTCAGTGTCTCCTTTCCTCCCTGCTCCCTGCCGCCCCACTGCGTTCCAGCATCCCTTTGTTTCCCGTGTGTGCCAACCCATTCCCCACCGAGATAAAAAATGAGACCAAAACAGTGTTAAGAGATACGCACAAAACTGCTTTGGGCTTTAAACAGTTTTTTTGGCTTTCACGCCGCTGCCCCCAACACCTCGAGTGGTGTCTCAGCTCTCATGTGGCCAGATCCACACGCGCATTTGGCTTTAACGCCACACCCTAATCTGCACGCCCCGTGCAGTTCCAGCTTACCGCGGTGCCCAGCAGACAGGGTCCCAGCCTGTAAGATCCCAGCTTCACACTGCACCCCAACTCCGCCTCCCAATGCCACGCGACTGCTGCCCCTCCCCCAGGTGCCGTCCCAGTCCCTCCCTCCCCCGTGCGCCACCGTTGCCGCCACCTTATGTGTTTCTAGGGGCAGTCCAGCCCACCCCTGTGTGCGTCCTGGCACTCACCCCGCCCACTCTGTGTGCCACTCTGTGTGCCCCCGCCCCCAAGCTCGAGTATGCTCTCTCTACAGACGCGACCTGTCTGCCGCTGCAGACAGGCACAACGGATAAACTCATTGCTGATCTGACACTATATTCGCGGTTTCAGATATTAAGTTCAGATTGTTTCTGCTGCCTTTTTTGTGTGTGTGCTCCAGCCATGACAAACGTTTTCTTTTAGATCCAGATAATTATAAATTCCTTTTTGCTAAAAACCCACTAGCTCTCTTCCAAGACAAGGGTTTTGTTCAAACTTTTATTTTATTTTGTCTTGGTTCATAGTACTGCAAATAACAGGTTTAAAAAAAGTAAATGTGTTCAAAATTTGACAGTATTAGATCAGTTTTCATAGATTTATTCATAAGATTGGTAAACTTTTACTGCAAAATGTTTCCATTAAAATGAGATTATACTCCAAAAGAGAAAGGGCAGACTAAAAGCCTTTTTTGTTAATTCCATGTGGCACCCTAAAAAAAAGCGGTGTACCATCCAGATAAAGCCTGCTCTCTGATCTCAAATGCCACACAGGCCGCTCAAAGAGGGCAGGGGGACCAGCACTGCAGCACAAGCCAAACTTACACCTTATATATATGACATAAATAATGTGTCAGTTCCTAAAGTTCTGTAGACCTTGTCCTCCTTATGGAAAGTCATTACTAAGGTTATAAATACCCTGTTAAATATATTAAACTCCTGCATACTTACTTAATTCTACTGTAGTCCAAGTCCCAAACAAAAAGGCAAAACTTGACCTTCAAATCTATAGAGATCTTAATATGGTTTTTCATATTTTAACACTTGTAACACTTGGAGTTCTGACATAGGCAAACCTACACAAGGTGGAGCTGCCTAGCCCCCTGCCACAGACCACGCTCAAATGCAGCAGAAGACATTGGGCAAGAGACAATGCCCCATCCTGGCGTTCTTTGAGACCTTACTCCAGGGCTGCTGGACTGTCTTAGCCACCAGAGAGTGGGTAAGCCATCCTAAAATGCCAACACTGCCAGATTTGTTGCTGACAAAAATTGCTGCCGAAGACTGAAGGGGTTCAGGGCAACAACAGCCCCCTTTGTGGGTGTCCGTCTCAGAGTCCAAGTCACATTAAACTCTCAGGTAAAACGTTCTCTATATTTATGGACATAGAGGCCATATATACAGAGTTCTTCCTGAGTTTTCAGGCTGCTATATTAAGTCCTCAATCTCTATGACGGGGTATTGATGGTCAATCTATGCCATTTATAAACAGGGCCTATTTCATGCAGGTCCCAGTCCTAAATCTTAAAATGCCTTTTATACAGGCTGACTTAGACACACTGAGGCCTCAACAGCTTACACCTGTTATCACTAGTAAACCTCTCCTCAGTGATATAAGACCACCCCCTTCCTTTCTAATTCACCAATTTCTCAGGTAACCCTGGTCAAGGCTGATAGATACATTTTGGCTTCTCACTTTGTTTATACTTTTTCAGGATACATGAGAGCCTTTCCCACAACCAGGGAAACTGCTGATATGCTTGCTAAAGTTCTGTTACAGCAAATCATTCCAAGTACTAACCAGGCCTGACCCTGCTTAGCTTCCGAGATCAGATGAGATCAGGCGCATTCAGGATGGTATGGACAACCAGGTTACAGTGACCCATACGTACCTGATATTCTTGGCAACCTCAACAGTGATCAAAGTTGCTAGACTGCCATTTTGGTTTCACATCACTCAAGCCCTAGATCTAACCATCCTTTCACTACTCATCTCTGCCTTACCAAGATCCCACAGCCATGACTCATAGGATGTCATGTTTTGTTATCCACTTCGGTTTCTAATTTCTTAGGTTCCATTAATGATCATTTTTACAGCAGGACTCTTAAAGTATTTCCTACAGACTTCAACATCATGCATACCAGAGACAAGCCTTACCTACCTACCCTTTTAACTTTTATGCTTTCAGATGGGGAATAAGCACCTCTCATAACTTCACTCCTCCTAATCCCACATTTATTTTTCAGAATTCTGCCTTACTGTGCAAATATTTCACATGGTCCTAATACAATGACATGTCTAAATCAAAGGCACCTTTCCCTCTACCTCACCTGGGTCCTTAAATATTACAATGCCATGTCTCCTCATAACATCTTGTCTCTTTGTTTTTCCAGTCTAACATATGTGCATTCACCAGTGAAGTTGTTCTAGCTAAAACACCTGGCACCAGCTTCTACCTGGGCATCAACAGTCATCCCGTCAACTCCCCTAGACCCCAGTACAGTGCCCTCTGCCAGCAGGAAATAGTTAAAGAGAGAAATCTTCGCCACTTTCATAATAATAATCATAAGACGGGATATGAAAGGGTTTTGGCCCAGGCCGGACACTGTAGCCGGTAAAGCCAAGGAACTCCTATCTCCTCCACCCTTAGGAATATACCTCTGGCACCAAACAAAGACCAATGGGCTACCTGTGCATCCCTAATGCCCCCTTAGGTTCCAGCCCAAGCCGAGGCTACTTATGTGCCTCACTCCACGTGTTCCACGGAGAGATCGCCAACCCTGGGGTGGAGATGCCGCACCCCATGGGGTCAGGGGTGTCTCTCCCTGCATTCTCAAAAAAAAGGTCATTTATATTTCATACTTCTTATCTTTTCAGCTGCCGCCGGTCCCCAACAGTTCTATCAATAAGTTTGATTCCTGGTACCAAAAGAAAGAAAAAAAAAGAAAGAATAAACAGGTGCTGTTTTAAACCACTAGATTTGTGGCAATTAGCACAGAACAAAAGACTAATACTGTGCAAAATTTTCATTTTAGTATTTCTTATTGGGACAAAATCCAAACACCATAAAATCCATCTCTTGAAAATGTAAAATTCAATGGGCTGGGGATTTAGCTCTGTGGCATAAGCACCTGCCTGTCAAGCACAAGGTTGTGAGTTTTATCCCTGGTACCAAAAAAAAAAAAAAAAAAAAAAAAAAAAGCAGCAACCAGAAAAATGTAAAAATCACTGGGTTTGGCAGCATGTGCCTTTAATTCCAGCACTCTGGGAGGCTTAGGCACAAGTTTGAGCCTCATTTAGACAACTCAGCAACTTAGAGAGATCCTTTCTTAAAAAACTGAGAAAGGGCTGGGGATTTAGCTCAGTGGAATAAGTGCCTGCTTGGCAAGCATGAGGTTATGAGTTTGATCCCTGGTACCAAAAAAAAACAAACAAACAAAAAAAAAACAAAGAAAAACAAAACTGAGAAAGGAGGGGCTGGAGATTTAGCTCAGTAGCATAAGCGCCTGCCTTGCAAGCAGGCAGTCATGAGTTCGATCCCCAGTACCAATAAAAAGGAAAAAAAAGACAAAACAAAAAAAACTGAGAAAGGGTTAGGGATACAGCCTAGTGTGAAGGCTCTGGTTTCAAATCTGAATATTACAAAATAAAATAATGAATAAACGAACAATAGAGTGGTTTTGGTACACTCAGTCAATCACCACCACTGTATAATGCTGTAACATTTTTACTACTCTAACAGGAAAACCATGAATAGTCACTGTTCATTTCCCCCCTCTATAGTCATTGGCAACCACTAATCTACTTTTGGTCTTCATTGTGATGATAAAGATATAGAATAAATTTTTGTAGGTACTGCATGTAAATTTCACAAAGTGACTTTCTCTAAACAGTAGGCTAATTTTCAAAAATACCTGGTAAGACAAGACTTGCAGTTGGATAAGGAGATATGAGTGTTCTGTTCAGATGGAGTGCAAGAATGTAGTTACAGCTAGTAGGAAGACAATATGAAAGAGGACGACAGCTCCAGAACCAAACTGAACCACCTGCAGACAGTAGCAAAAGGGACAGCTAAACTACTGGAAACTCCTGACAGGAAACAGCCAAGAACTTTTCACTCCTTGAACCTAGTAAAGTTCCCATACAACACAGATTACATCTCAGAAAGAAGTAGGAGAAGAGTCTGGAACTGAGTTTAGTCTTCAGTGATTGTGAGGGGAGAAAGTAAGTGTAATTCCTGGGAATTAATTAAATAGATTACAGTGACTACAGTCAGACAGGAAGACTCAGCTCAAAGTCCTATCAGTAAAAACAACCGACACTCTCTAGGCTGCTTATGGTAAATTAGCATGAAATTCATGGGTTCAAAGGGAGGATCCTTTGGAAGTGTTACTATAGTATAAATATTGGCGTACGTCAGTTACTTAACATAGCACATGAATGACCCAGACATCTACATACCTTCTGCATGACTTTTCTTGCCCACCTCAGCTGCAAGATGTACCACTGTGCTACAGGAAAAGAACACCGAGCTGCCCGGAAAAGTAAGAGAATACGTTGAAGGATTCCAGACACCTTTTGACGATTCTCTTTTTCAGCTCTTAAAAGGAGATCATCTTCATCTTCCTGAGGACAATAAGGTATTCAATTTCAGTGACAACAAGGAAGTTTGAAATATTACAATGAAAATAAAGATAGGAAAATGATTATCAGTGCTTCTCCAACTAGAATGTTCCTGGAGACAGGAAATCTTGAGGCACACAGACTCCGAGATTTTGACTCAGGCTATCTCTGGTGTTTCAGAAATAATTTTCTCCCCTCACACAGTGCACAGAGCTCAGTGGACCACAGTCCCAAGTCGTCCCCAGCTCAGGGTAGGCTCACTATTCTGGACTCCTAGGAGACTGTCACAGGAGAGCTCATTTTCAGGAAAGACTCTTTCCTTTCCCCTGCCTGGAGTATCTTTCCCCCTCCTTTCAGTGTTTCCTCCTTGTAGAGCCCACCTCATCAATGGTATGACATGACTTTGCTCATACTTTTATTAGAGCATTTACCAATTTATTCTGTATCTGTTTCCCACAGGAATGAGAACTCAAAGAACATGTTATTGGTCTTTGTATTATCACACGGCACAGAATAAGGTCCAATGGGTAATAGAACACATTTAAGTGTTTGTTGAATAAATGCTGTTCAAACCAGTGAAAATTATTTTTGCAAAGAATGAAAGAATGTGTTATAAACAGTTGCTTTTCTAACATTCTTCTTCTGGTCCTCCTTATTAACAATTCTCCATCTTGGATATTGGCCATTTTCCTGCATAGCCCACATGACTCAGAAAGCTTCAAGCCCAGTTTCAAGCAAGGGTTTTAAATGCAATAGCCCTACAGGTGCTTCCTAAAGGACCTTCATGTGATCTAAGCCTGTTGCAGTACTCCTGTACGGGAGGCAGGGAGAGAAGTAATTCTGCTGTTTTTGTTTCTCTCCATCCCTCTCCCGGTGGACATGAAAGAGAGCTGCTGGCAGTGTCCTCTTCACACAAAGGTGCTGACACCTTAGAGAGAACACACTAGTGACAAACAAAAAGCCCAAGTTTTTGCTGCATAACTGAGTCAGAAGCCTGTCACTCCAATGGACTTTTCAACTACATGAGCCAGTAAGGCTTTCAATGTTTAAGCCACTGTGACCAAGGTTTCTATCATTTGCAACATGAGAGGTTCTAGTTGATAGAGTGACAATTAGAAGAGAATCTACCCTTGGGGATTACTATAATAAAAATAAGTACAAAAGTAACCACTCAAATTGAGACCACCGTAAGATATCCAAAAGTACCTTTCTAAACCAATACACTGAAGACTCACATGTGAGGAGAAAGGTGAATTACTTAGAAGTACCATAAACTATTCACTCCTTTTGTTTGTAATATATCTGTAATATCGATGAGTGACATATTTTAATTTAGTGAAACTGAAGTACAGAAAAACTAGATACAGATAGCTGGCACTAAAAGTAGTAAAGAAACAATTATAACTGCTTTAAAACAATACACATTTCAAAAATCTAAATATATATGTAGTAACAATTTGAATATTAAAATCAGCCAACTGTAAGGTTAACAGAATTTCAGGTTTGGGGTAGTTTATTTTGTCTGCAATACTAGAGATTTAAGCCAGGGACATGTTACCATTGAGCTCCATTCCTAGCCTTTTTAAGAATTTTATTTTATAGAGTTGCTAAATTGCCCAGACTGGCCTGAACTTGAAATTGTCCTCCCTCAGCCTAGATTAAAGAGTTTTTAATAATGGTAGAGGAAAAGCTCCTGAAGAGTACATAAGACAAAAATGGAAAATGGAAAAAAAATTAAAATAAAAGTCCTTCAAGACAGGGAAAGACAAGGGCAGAGGCAAACAAACAAACAAAAAAGGCAAAAGCAAACACGTGACTCAAAGTCAAGCAATGGATGGCTTTTACTTTTCTCATTGATTACATCAATTGTTACCCTAAAAAACCCTTATTTTAAAAAGCCAGTGTTGAGAAATTTCTCACAATTTTGATTTATTATTTCAGTAATCTTAACATTTATTGAATACTTATGTGTTCCAGTTCCTGAGCTAAAAGTTTTTACAGAAATCTCATTTAACACTCATAACAGTGCTATTATCACATGTCTTTTATAGATAAAAAAATTTAAATAAGGGCCAGGGAGATAACTCAGTGGCCCAGTGCCCGCCTGGCAAGCGTGAGGTCCTAAGTTTGATCCCTGGTAACACAAAACAAAACAAAACACCAAAACATTTAAATAACAGTTCAGTAAATTACCCAAGACTATACACAGTAACAGCCAAGCTGGGACCCAGAAATTTGTCTTCCAAGCTTGTGATAATTATTAGACAAAACTATCTTTATTTAAGACAATAATGCACTAAAGCTTACTTCACTAAGAACAGCTGGCTGGGGACAGTACAATGGAGGAGCTGGAAGATACAAGCGGATGGGCACTAAGCCCCACAGACTCTTACTGACGTCCTTAGCAGAGTCCACCAGAAGCTGAAGAGTCTCTGAGAGAATATCTGCGTCAGTCATAGCTGATGCCTTCAGGACTTCCTGCACTGAACTAAACAGCAGATCTATATCTTCTTCTTCAATAGGATCTATCAAACACAAAATTTACTGAAACAGTTAAAACTTAAATTAAACTTCTTATCCTATTTGGTAAATCTGAAAAAGTAAAACTGTCAAGAATAAACATGCAAGGCATGGTAGCACATGCTTATCATCCCAGTACTTAGAAGGCCGAGGCAGTACTTACGAGGTTCTAAACAGTATAGCTGGTCTTTCCATGGATCCAGCCTTCACACTAGGACTCTTGGGTATGGTGAGTTAACATTCTTAACTAAAAAACATTCCACTAAGGAATGATGTAGAGTACCTCCAAAAAATCAAGGTCAAAACAAAGGCCAAATTCTTTACTACACTGCTGTAGTGTACATAATATACTATGGATGTATATCTCGCTACACTCCAGCTATAAAGCTATGCACAAAGCTTTAGTTTAGTTTGTTACTTGGGCAAATCAATGGCTGAAGAACCTCTCTTCCTTAAAGAAACAAGGAACAATAGAGCACCAGAAGTGATAATAGTGCTTGTCCTTCACATGGCCACCTCTGGACAAATAAGACTTCAATAGGAAGCTTGTCTCTTCACACACATTTTAGGGTTTCCCCCAGATCTACATTTATTATGTTATGAACCCTATCTTTCTTTTTCTTATATTTTATCTCTGTTGCTTTATGTTTTTGCTTTAGCCTTCAATACATCTCCTGTCTTCTTCCCTCTTGTTCTTACTCTTGTTTTTTTTGTTTCTTACCTGTGCTCTCTCTTTCTCTCTAACATACTCAGTATGCACTATAGGAATATTATGAGAAAAAGTGCTTATTTTAAAGAAATAATATAATATTCACTACTATATTACTTATTATTGCTATAATACATTGTAGTATTATTACTTCATTACTATATTATTTTAAAGAAATATTGCAATTTGTTTTTCCATTTACCAGCTAACAGACATTTGGAATATTTCTGATTTTTGGCCATTATGAAAAATCTGCTATAAATATTTATGTACAGAATTTTCAATAGATCTATGTTTTATTTCTCTTGAGTAATTACCTAAGAGTGGAATCCCTTGAATTTGTATTTGCTTTTTTCAGACTTCTGGCAATTTCCCTTTACTCTCTGAAAGACTGGGATTTAAATAGGAGGTTTTTTTTTGCCTTTTATCTAGAAACACATTTTACCTATGTATTTACTAGAGGAGAGTGTACACATAATATAGAATAACATAGGACCAGACCGAGAGTTCAGATTAGGCTTTGTCTTGTTGAGCTAGGATCTTGCTGTGTTGTGTAGGCTATACTAAGACTCCTAGGCTCCAGTGATCCTCCACTTCAGGCTCCCAAGTAGCTGGGTCTCCACAACTGCACCTCCACACCTAGTTTCAGATTAAGCCTTTTCAGGCCTTTTTGTCAAATTCAGCTTTTATAGTTATCATTTTATTAGCTTAAATGAGCTGGAGAGAAAATTATTAAAGAAAAATTAACAGATTTCTACAGTCAGAGATAGGTTCTCTCAAGACAGAAAAATTGTTTTAGGAATGTAGATTTAGAAGTCTTATTCCTTAAAGGAATAAAGCACTAAGAAAAAGAAAGTATCCCTCTGTTGTCCTGGTTTTACTATTAAATATATGTCTTTAAAGAACTTCACACTTGGGGCTAGGGATTTAGCTAAGCGGCATAAGCACCTGCCTTGCAAGCAGGCGGTTGTGAGTTCGATCCCCAGTACCCATAAAAAGAAAAAAGAAAAAAAATTAAAAAAAGAACTTCACACTTTTTCTGTGAATAACTCCATTTGGGTAAGCAAATTTTTTAGCATTCCTAGGTAAATCTACATAGTACATGCAATTATTTTTAATTTTGTAATTTTAATTTTAATCTAGTCTAATAACTTTAAGCATCTATTTAGTTTTTAATGTTTCTAATTTAAAAATATAGGCTAAGGGTGTAGCTCAGTGGAAGTTTGCCTAGCATGTGAAAGACTTTAGATTCTATCCAAGCAATCAAACATTTACAAGCAAATTTATAAAATATATATATGTACATATTAGATGAGAGTTTAAATCACTTTCAAGTGCACTTGCAGGTTTGAGATCCTATTATTTAATGAGTGCAAAAGAAAATCATTCCAGTGCAGCAGAATTAAATTTAGTATAAGCCAGTCATGGTAGTGGACACATTTAGTTCTTGACACTCAGGAGAATGAAACAGGAGACAACATGAGTCCATGAGTTCAAGACCAGCCTGCACTACATAATGATAGCCCATTTAAAAAAAAAAAAAAAAACAAATTAGTATACAGTAACGAAAACCTGAAAATCAGTCACAGTTATTAACTCTTATGTTTTGAGCTGGCATCAGTTTTAGATGGTGCCATACTTAATTCTAAATACTATTTGTATATTTTTGATAAGTTTATTTCAAAACATTAATACATTTCTAGATATTTATATGCTTTTTATAATAAAGGTTCATATGAAGCTGCTATGTATGTCAGACCTTACATAGATAAAATACCTGTAAATTTTTTATATTTTGAGCCCATTTCATTTTTTGCTTCCAATGAGGCTGGCTGACCTAAAAAACACTGCAGTTTTTCCTGGAAAATCTGTATTGGAGTCATATTTAATGGCAGATTCAGACTCCTTTTCTTGGACCTGAAAAGAAATCAAATTAAGGGAAATAAATCTGATTTTTTTTTAAAAGGGAAGATTTTACACATTAAGAACAACACATGAAAATTTTAGACATTTTAGAATTCATCTGTCAAAAAAATTCATCTGTCTTTATTCACCCTACACTTAAAAAGCAAACACAGTATCAAGGCCCTCCCCCATTATGCCAGCCTAATATCCTCCATGTTTTTCATGGGACTGAACCTAGTGCTTTTCTACTAAGGTTATATGCAGGCCCTTTTTTGAGACAAGATCTCATGAAGTTGCTGAAGCTGAGCTTGAACCTGAAATCCTCCTGCCTCAGCCTTCCAGAGTGCTAGAATTTCAGGCACGTACCACACATATTTTTCTGTTTTTATTTCCCTTTGCTTTCCTACATACATACTGTCCAACCTGAACCAAAACTGGCTTTTTTTTTTTTTTTTTGGTGTACTAGGGATCGAACTCATGATCTCGCACTAGCTTGGGAGGTACTTGTACCACTGAGCTAAACCCCTGGGCCCCAAAACTGTTTTTGCCAAATGTTTTTGCTTACGTTTAGAATGTTCTCTCTCTCAATTGCTACTCAATTTGTCAAGATTCTGTCTACCCTTTACTGCCCATCTCAAATAACATCTACTAGATAATATGCCTTTAGAGTCTTTCCCTCACTTGATGCTACCATTCTCCCCAAAATAACACTGACATTTTTCTTAGCGTACTATATAAATTATATGATTTGTTTTATTTTCTCTATTAAAGTATAAATACCTTAAACATAGAAACTATGAGACATTTAAGTTTCATCCACTAAGATACCTTAAATAGAGCTTTGCAAAGAATAGCCACTTAATATACCCTGAATTATTGATATTTAAAAATGTATAAAAGACATGATAATGCCATGATATTCAGAAAAATATCAGAAATTTGTTTAATTAGATTATAGCTCAAATCCTATTTGGGACAAATTCTCTCACTGACTATGTGCCCTATGATAGCATTACTAAATAAATGTTGAGTTGCTTTTTTAACTTAACTAAACTTAGTCATGTGCTATTTAAAACAGTGATTACTAAACTGAGTGACTTAGTGTCTTACTTATTTGTGTTGAAACATTTAAGTTAAAAATGCAACTCCTTGGTTTCATCAACCACATTGTCTGGTAGCTTGTGGATCGCCACCACAGTGGACAGCAGGCATAAGCAGGTTATTGCAATCGCTAAAGAAAGTCCCTTGGATAATTCAGAACTAAAAATCCACATATGTAAATACCAAGAAGAGAGACAGAGGGACTGGGGATTTAGCTCAGCAGCATAAGCACCTGCCTTGCAAGCAGGCAGTCGTGAGTTCGATCTCTGGTACCGCTAAAAAGGAAAAAGACAAAAAAAAAAAAAAAAAAAAAGAGAGACAGAAATAGTTCAGATGACACTGTTATGCTATGTTTAAAACACATACCTCACGGAATTGCTGTCATGCTTACAGAACAACTGAAAGGCCACACCAATTGAAACAGATGTCTTCCAGTCCCCAAGTTTATGGGCCAACCACACAGCCTCTGGAACTAGGCCACCAATAAATAATAATTCAAGGGCATATTCAGCTGTCCATATATTAGAGAGATTCTGATCTCTTACAACACTGGTCACCTTAGAGTGTTGCAGAGGAATAAGGCGAAGGGATTGCTCTGTGAGTAAATTAAAAATGAGTATTATAGTCACATACATTTATCCAAACTCATGCCTCTTCACATGTCTTTAACACATTCAGCTTGTTCTTGCCCTGGCACCTTGGCACAAGCTCAGGTTAGCGGGCTCCACGTCCTCCCCTGTCTGTGGCAAACTCTTGTTACGAGTTCAATTTAAATTTAACAACCTCAGAGCATTGCTCCCCAAATTCCCAGTCTGAATGCACTGTATTTTTGTTTTGTTGAATTTAGGAATCAAATTCAGGGCCTCTGATATGCTAACTATGTGCTCTACCATTGTTTTACCTCCTGACTCTAAATTGCCAGCTTAGGCAACTTAGTGATATAGTAAGACCCTGTCTTGAAAATGAAAAAAGGAGTGGGGATATATTCAGTGTGAAGGCACTAGGTTTAATCCCCAGAACCAAAATAAAACAAAACATGATATGATATTTTATAAAAATTTGCCCAAAACTTGTGAAAATCTGTATTCAATAAAAACAACCTGCCTTTCTCAGATTCTAGTTGTTCATAAATAGTCCTTTAGCATCTCTAATGTGTCAAGTGCTATGCTAGAACAGTGTTATTTCATATAATAATGATCTTTATGTATTATGGTTTTATTTGTCATGTGCCCATAAAGGTGAGAAAACTATTCATTTATCATATTACCTGTTTTCACATGAAGTGGAGGAAGAACATTGACATTGTGAGGTGGCAAAACACAAAGCAGCTGATTGGTGAAATAGGCGGCCATGAAACGAGCCATGGACTGGACAACTCTGACTGCTGCCTCAGGATGGACATTTCTAGTCCCTGCAGATGCACCAGGAGACTTCTCAGCATCTAAGGAAGATGGCAAATGACTGAAGGAGACTCTGATCCAATTGTCAAAAACTAGTAATACTTAAGTCCATTAGACAAAAAGAAAATTGTAATTAAATTTTTTTCAGAGAGGAGCACCAATGGCCTATACAAGCTGTTATAACAGGTACCCATACATCATAAAGACAGTAAAACTTATTAGTTCATAATTATAAGCACAAACACTTAGGAGCTATTCAATTTTCATAGTTAAACTTGTTTTTTGTTGTTGTTTTTTGGGATAGGTCTCCCTATTTTTGGGGGTTTTTTAGGATAGGGTCTCAAGCTCACAGCAATCCTCCTACCTCAGCTTCTAAAGTACTAGGATTACAAGCATGGGTCACCATGCCCAGCTAATAGTTTTATTTTTAAAATCAATGAATATCTACAAAATAATCTAGATATGATAGACTTGCAAGTTTAGCATTTGCATTTCATTATTTATTTTCCTTTTTTCCTTTCCTTCGTTTCTTGGTTGTTTTTCAGGAGGTACTAGTGAAAAGACTATAGGGTATGATGTGAAAAAAGTGAGGAGGATGGGTAGTAAAATTAATTTACATGAGAATTTCTCAGGTCCAGCTTCCAGGTAGCTCAGTAGTAGAGAATGCGCTTAGCAATTACAAAGCCCTGAGTTCAATCTCCAGTACCAGAAGAAAAACTGCAGAGGTAATTCTGAATACGCTACAATGATGTTAATAATGGCAACTTTATATAACAAAAATTAATAATAACTATAAACGATTGCCCCTTCCTCAGCACCTGGGATCTTGGCTACTGGGAAGATTTCCACCATGCTAGGAATTGCTCACTGGACCTTCACTGTTTACAAAACCAATGTATTTTATGCTGAACATTTGTCTTACTTGTGGGAACATGGGTCTTTGTCATGTGCTCTGCACAAGGGAGCTGTGTGACAGCCACCGATTAAAAACCTGAGCAGAGTCCCTAATGAACATCCACAGCAGATGTCTCACACGAGCTGTCAAAACACCCTGCCGGGGAATCAAGACCTTTCTGTGTGACTCTATTCTGAGAGGACTCCTGAAGACTTCTGCCTGCCTCGCCCCATGTCCCTTTTCCTTTGCTGATTTTGCTTTAACTCCTTTCATCATTTAAACCACAGCTTTGGGTATGACTGCACGTTATAAATGCCAAACTTGAAGGACAGTCTCAGAGATTCTTCACCTAATAAGTAAATGCTCAGTATATTTTAAATAAGCATCACTGAAAATTAAAACAAATGAATTATGATATTTAACTTATCCTGAAAGCAAAATCTTATAAAGATATTGGTAAAAAATATTTAAAAAGTCATACACAAGTCTTCCACTCACACATAGCTAGCTAACCTTTTGAAGGGTAACCTAAGAATAGAAATTAAGTCTTAAAATGTTAGAATTTTTATTCACTAAAACCATTTCTAGGAATTTACCCTAAAAATCTTATAATGCTAACAAATATTTAAGTACACTGAAACAGTCTTTAGAAAATATATGGTTATAGCTTAAAATGGGAAATGGGACAAAGTTTCAATAGAAACTTTTGCAAGAGTAATTTTTTTTAAAGAGCAAAATATATTTATTGAGAGAAAGGAAGCTTCTGTTGGAAAGACAGACAGGTGGGTTGCCAGGCAAAAGTATTTTTAAAAGACCATTTATGAACACTGAAAAATAGTCATAATACTCAAGACAATTATAAACAGAAGGGTAAGGATTACAAAACTGAATAGCTCCAAAGAGAGACAGATATTATATCTATCTATCTATCTATCTATCTATCTATCTATATATATATATACACACACACACACATTGAAATGCCTTGGGCAAAAAAGTAATTTAAGTGATTTTATTATCAAAATTGTCTGAAATGAACCTGTATTACCCCATAATGAATGCTAAAATTTTAAAAGCTATTATGGTGCTGAGGTATAGCTCAGTGGGACAGCATTTTTCTAGTGTCATGAGGCCATGAGTTCATCACTAAAATATTAACAGTAGGAAGACTGGGATTCCATACATAAAATGCTGTGGACTTCACTTAAGTAGTTCTGATACATTAAAGAAAAGGTTACAGATGTGATATCTATATGTACCAATTCTAATGACAAATGTATCACAAACATATACTAATAAATAGAAAAGTATGTTATACTGGGCCCTTCAAATACATTCATATGTACTGTGTACATGTACTAGTCGAACATCTTACAATTATTATAAATACATTAAATGCTCATATATATGTATTTCTCTTGTTCTGGTTCATTTAACTGTATCTTTTGGAAAAAAGGCAACCCAGAGACTGTATCTTTTTAAACAGGTTTTGAGAAAGATTCAGAATATCTCAAAAACTGCTTTTGATAACTGTCCTAAATCACTTTAAGCATCATTTAAAGAAAATACAAACATATTAAGAAAAGATAATGGGGTATGAGGTATTATGTCTAAACAGTTATGTGACAAAATTATTCTACAAGTGTAGCAGGCAATTACTGCTAACATCTGTATATAGCAAGATTAAGAACAGACAAAACAAAATTAACAGATCCAACATGATTCTTGTTATTAAGAAGTTAACAGTTCGGGGCTGGGGATTTAGCTCAGCGGCATAAGCGCCTGCCTTGCAAGCAGGCAGTCGTGAGTTCGATCCCTGGTACCGATAAAAAATGAAAAAGACAAAAAAAAAAAAAAAAAAAAAAAAAAAAAAAAAAGAAGTTAACAGTTCAAAACTTAATTTAATACTATTTAGAGTATAGAGCAGGGTAATCAACTATTTTTTTTGGGGGGGGATGCCAAGGATCAAACTCATCACCTTGCATTTGCCAGGCAGGCAATGTGCCACTAAGCCATAATCCCCAGCCCACAGCAACTTAGTTTTGTACATAAAATATTTCTATAAACCCATGAATACAGTTAACAAGATTACACATACTGAGTTGTGAAAAGCATACCGAAATAATCTTCATTTTCTTTTACAGGCAATTGGGACCATCTCAGTATTTCTCTTACCAGTTGATCACATAATCCTTGAGCGTCATTTAAATTATAATTATAGAGATGGCAGTACAAGAGAGAAAGATAATAGCGTATCTGAAGAAAATAAGTTCTTCTTCCTCCTGAAACCAGAAAGAATTACATTCACTTTAAATTCTCATGGTTAATGTTAGAGAAAGGTGTGTAATTTATGAAATTCATTGAGCTATAAACTTACATAAACTTTTTTATGTTTTATATCTGTTTCACATCTTAATAAAATACTTTTTAAAAACAGGTCAGCAATATTTTGTTTTCATTTTATATTCTGAACAATTTTATTTTCTTTTTTTAGTCTTGAGGATGTCTAAGATTTTAACTAAAGAAACCTGTAAATTTTTATCATTTCAAGTGCTGAAGTCCACTAATGATTTCTATCTCAAATGCAGATCATATTAAACAGAAATGAACATGGCAAAAGGCCTCTGGGGAATCATTCATTTATCAAAAAGATGGCCAAACAACTTCCTGAAGGAAACAACAGTTCAACAAAAAAAGGCCCTAACAACTGCCACCTCTTATCCATTCTTATTGAGTAAAGAATTCCAATTTTGCTTTGGGTTTTATAATCCTAGATCATAATTTTTCACTAGATATAATCATAAGCCAAGTCATAATACTGCACAAACTTTCAGAAAGAAACATGTAAAGAGATGTAATTCAGCTAGAAAGTGCAGTATACTCTTTTTTTGCCCTAACCACCCTATTCCTGTCTGCTGCCTAGAACAGGCATATGATAGCTCGACCTCTAGCAGTCATTTTAGCCCATACAATGGCCTTAGTTTTGGAAGCAACGCACTAACGACAATACAGCAGAAAAACTAAAATAAGATGAGTTCTTGGTGATACCATGGAAACACCAAATCAGCCCTAATCTGGCCTCCATCCATAAGAAAAATAAAGAAGCAACTGCCACTTTTAGCCTCCATTACAAGTTATTCCTAATGGCTACAGCTATAAATAAAATTAAGCATGGTGGCAGATGCTTGTAATCCCAGCACTCAAGAGGCTGAGGCAGGAGGATTAATGAGTTCAAAGCCAGCCTGAGTTACAAAGTGTGTTCAAGGCCAGTCTGAACTGCACAGTGAAACTCTGTTCCTCCCTCCCCCACCAAGTAAGACAAAAAATAATAAATAAGATCTTTCTCTTTATTTGGAACTTTTCATCTCACTGAATGACAGTTGGATAATTTCCTTATCTGAGAACTACATTACATATTTTTAACAAATCTACAAAATCACAAACCATTTGATTAAATTCATTAAACACCCATCTGATATGACCTCTAATCCATGACCCTTGGACACTGTTTTGTTTCAGAGTCTTCATATATGACTAATTTTCTTCTGAGTAAAACCCACAATCTTACATCATGGTCCTGTAATTGACCCTCCACATTGTATTGAAGTGACCTTTCCAGATGGCCTGCACAGATGTTTCTTGACATACAATAAGGTTACATCCCAATTAACACATTCCTACTACTTTGAACTACCAGTGGTACATGCATGACTTCCATTGGGTGCCTTACCCTACTTGGTAATAGAAGTGATACAGTCATGCATATGCTACTGGTGGCTCAAGGTGCTTGGTAGTGAGACATATGAATTACAGACTGTCATCAACATGATACTCCACCTTAAGTGGACGATACTATAATTTGAAAATGTGATTAACCTACTAAACACTGTTGCTTTGCAATACAGTACATCATACAGTATCAATTATTTCTCTTTATGGTGTGTGGCTCACTAGGAGCTATGACGCACTGCCACTGCCCAGCATCATAAGAGAGTATTGTGTACATACACTACACACTGCCTGTCCAGGAATAGATTAATTTCTACTAAATACTTAGTTTTCACACTATCATAAGGCTCAGAAATCTTAAGTCAAACCATTAGTAAGTTGGGGACCTTCTATATTTAAATAGAACCCTTTCCTGGGTGGCACTCGACACAAGACCTTTCACTTTCTGTTCTCTACATCACACTATCTTCCCATCAATATTACATACCTATGTCATTTACTCTAGCTCTTCTACAGTATTCACAGTATATCAAAATGCCATGGTTTCTCAGGTTTTTTGTTTTGGGGATGCTACATCCTCTGTTAAGCCACTCACACTGCCTTAACTGATCAATTTCTCCTCTACCTTAAATGTCCATTTCTTTTTTTTTTTTTTTTTTTTTTCCTTTTTATCGGTACCGGGGATCGAACTCACGACTGCCTGCTTGCAAGGCAGGCACTTATGCCGCTGAGCTAAATCTCCAGACCCCCATTTCTCAGGCTTTCCCCAAACTGTGTTTGCACCTCAACCTCAGACTGCAGGAAGTGCTCTTCTGAGTGCCCAAGCATCTACCACATAATACAATGATGACTGTGGAAAACTAGAAGGTAAAGTTGTTTGTTTCAATTATTGTTAGCAGAACAGAGCTGGGCATACAATAGGTACCCAATAAATACTGATTTAAGTAGCTCAATAAAGAAAGCATACAAAGCCAAAGCAGCTGGAAAATAAATGTGCTACCTAGCCCATTATGACATGTAGTAGTTGGAGTTAGAGTTCATACTAGGTCATTAGCTGAGGACCTCATCTCAGCCACACCTGAGCCCTAGACTCCACATCCCTGCATTCTAATCAAAAACCCCACGTAAATCACACCTAACCCAATAATATATTCAACTAACAGGAAATTCTTAAATCACTTGAGGGCAAGAAGCCTTAGCTTCATGTTTCTCTAGGACTATGTAAGATGATGGTGAAATATTTGATCAAGTTTCCCTTTCAATATTACAGATCCTCCCAGTGACAAAAAAAAATTCACAATGAGAAATTTCATTTTTCTCCATTAATGATCAACCACAGGTTTCATCACTAACCAAAAACAAGGACAGAATGAGACTTACCTAGAGATTATCAAAAAAGATTCTTTATGCCACAAATTCAAAACTAAGGATAATTTTAAATTAAATATCTGTCAAGTTGCCTGCATAACAGCTATTATATTTGAGCATTGTTATAGATGATGTCTAGATGTCCCCCTGAAGCCCTTTGGAAGGTGACTAGATTACAGAGGAGTTACAGTTGTGGTTAGGAGGTGAGCCTGTTGAGAAGAGGTAGTAGTCACTGTGGCCGTGACCTGGAAGGTTTTATTCTCCCTTCTTGATTTCTTCACTCTCTCTCCTTTGAGGCTGCTCTGAGGAAGCAGCTTTTTCTCTGTTAATGCTTCTCTGCTGTGCTGTCTTGCTTTGGAGCCAGCAGACTACAGACTAACTATGACCTATGAACCTCTCCTCATTTAAATACAGGTATCCCCACAATGAGAAAGTGATTAAGACAAGCATTAAAATGTTGTGAGTGCTCTCAACTTTGGAATTATTTTTAAGCTCTGTAGAAGAAAAGCAGTTTTTAACACCCAATACCTTTCTCTTGCGTTTCTTCAAGTGCCTTCTTCCACAGCTGAACAGCCTTTTCATATGATCCTAACAGAAAACTCTCTTCACCTAGAAAGTTTTTAACCAACGGTCATAGTTAATTACATTACTTCATAAAAATTTACATATTTTAACATTCAGTAGACATCTCTCAGCAAGAAATTATTTAGAAAAAGAAATAATTTCAACTCATTAAAAAAGTCCAGGTAACTGATTCACTTATTCATGAAGCTAGAAATTGCTTATGAGATACTGACCATCAAAAGATCTAAGTTCTAAGGGCTGGTTCAAGTGATCTCCAGCAATCTGTAAGTCAGCCTGCATATGACATAACAGGGATTTAACAGTAGCTGCTTCATGTGTCATCTTTTCAGTTAACTGTCTATCATCCTCAGGAATTCTTCGACTTAATTGTGCTTGATACCATAAAGTTTTTCTGTATAGTATTCTCCAGAGGCCAATCAATCTGCACACAAAATCAGATACTCATCAAAACCAAAATTCAGACTAGCAATATAAATTTGGCTAACCCTTTTATCTTTATGCCTATATTCTTCACTAATGTAAAACATATATAGGTCACATTTAAATACAGCACAAATTCTAGTGATTAAAAGATACATAATGCATATGAAAAATCTTCAGAAATGTTTTAGACACTTAAAGTCTGGTTTTGTAGTTGTTCTGAGATGGGATTTTGCTATACTGCCAGACTGATCCTGAACTCATGATCCCCCTGCCTCAGCTTCTCAAGTAGTTAGGAACTACAGATGTATGCCACCAAACTCAGCTTGTGATCACTTTCTTATAGTACTTAACTAAAGCAAATTCTTTTAATAATATCATAATTATCAAGACTAAAAACATATGGATGTCGTAAAACATCTGTAATAAATCCTAAAATATTTTTAAATTGACAAATAAAAACTATATATTTATCAGGTATAACATAATTTTCTGAAACATGCACTTAAATATTTTAAAAAATAACAATGTTTTAATGCTGAATGCTAATGGATACAGGTTTCTTTGGGAGAGATGAAAATATCCTGGAATTAGTACTGACAGTTTCACTACATATACCACTGAATTACATACTTTAAAATGGAGAAATGTATAATACTGGAAATCTAATGATATTTTAATAAAACAAAGTTAGTTATACCTGTGACCTGGCTGTTGAACCAGATTTGTTTCTTGAGGATCAATCTTGAAAGATGAGTTCCAAGACCAGTTTTCCTCAGAATCATAGGCTTGAAACATTTGAAAAATAGGTAATACCAACAAGTCATGTTCTGCTGTTCTACCTCCACCAGCTGATGATGAAATAAGTTCTGATTGAAGACTGTACATGCCATTTAAATTATTAGCTACCATCCTGAGTAAATAAAAACAGGCCAAAAGTTTCTCTGAGAATAATTGGCCCTTTTGCTGCTGAGTCAACAAAAGCTTTATAGTATTTGAGGTCAGTCTTATCAAATGTCCCACATTTTGTTTATATCTCACATCCCAATACTGGATCGATAAACACTTACGGAAAAGTTGAAAGATACAAAGTATCCATGCATTATATTTTGGGCATTCCCTTAAAAAGTGGTCCGGTTTGAAGGAAGGACATTTTATAAATTGAAGAATATAAAAAAAATGAGTGATACAAACTACTGTATAATTTAACATTAAATTTTTTTCTGTGACATTTTTTGAAATTCCTATATTCCATGCTGCAAGCAGATTTTTCTGGATAGAACACAGTTCTGTAAAGGTTCTATCTGTTTTGTTGGTTTCATCCTTTGCATGCATTGTATCAAACATAGTTGCAAATTCCAATCTTCCTTCCTTGACACTGGTAAACAATGAATCATTTTTTCCTTTCCCAAAAGGAAATAAATTGTTTGGAAAGTGTTTTCCTTCATTAGTTTCTTCTGCTTCAAAATTCTAAATGTAAGAGAAAAACCATACTTAATACCATTTCAGCCTTAGAAGTAGAATGACTTTGGTGTTCTCAAGTTTCTCTTCTCTTTAATGAGAAGAATGAAATATTTATTACAATAAAATCAGTGTTAAATTAAAAGCAAATAAAGTACTGCTAGTAATACCTGAAAATCTGCTGTTTCTTCATTTAACTTCATTGTTTCTTCTGCCTGTAAAAATCTGGGGAAAGTAGAATCCACTGAACATCCATTTTCTCCATGTTTTAACAGGCTACACCTGAGGGAATCCAGTGATCTTAAGTTCAGCCCTTTATCTTTTGGCTAGATATAAAAAGACAAAAGATTTGCAAGAGCAAAATTTTATCTACAATTTTACTACAAGTAATTAAAAATTCCACAGTTAACTTTGAAAAGAATAAAAAGGCCACTGTTAGGGTTTACATCTAAATGTTCCTTTCAAGCCTTTTATGAGATGGGGATTTTAGAATGTGATTGAGTCACAGGGACATTATAGCTGATTTGCTCTTAGGAGGTGGGGTCTAGTCTGAAAAGTCTGAAGGTCAGTTTTGGCAAGACTGTCCTGAAAAGCAATCTCTCTTTTCTCCCTCTCTCTGTTTCCCCACCACAATGTGAGCACCTTTTTCTGTGTGACGCCCCTCTGCCATGTGGTCCTGCCTTTGAGTCAGCAGACTGGACTGAAACCTCTACAAGCTGTGAGTCAAAATAAATCTTTCTACCTTTAAGTTGTGGGTGTCAGGTATTGTGTCCCATTAAGTGACTAAAACAGCAACTTCTACCAAGTATACAAAAAAGCACTATACCTTAGATAGTATCACACTTTGGTAGGATTTCTCAAGCCTCTGGGTCGAATCGAGTAGAAGGGATCGCATGAGCACTGATGGAGACAGGTTATCATGAAATCGTAGGGTTGTGATCATGTATCCATCAGAAATAATGAGGTAGGGTAACCAAGAGTGTGCTTTTATAGAGAATTTCTGTCTCATGGGGTCACCATCAGAAGCTGATGAATCTACAGAATTACCTGAATCTTGAAATGTAAACTGCTGTGGTCTATCAAACAAACATTAAAATTCAAGAATCAGTAACAGAAAGATCTTAAAGGAAATATTATTCCAAAGAAAAAGGTACAGAATGAGAAAGCAAATGTAAGAAATGTATATAAAAATATTAAATATATATGTATACATACCTGACATGAAAAATTACAGTGATTTAAAAATGTTTGTATATTTTAAAATTTTTTCCTGAATTGTGGCAGATACTGTTTTTAACCTATATACAATCCATTTGAGAAAAGAATTAAGGTTCTTTATTTTTATTATTAAAAAGAGTTGAGATGGGCATGGTGTGCATGCTTGCACTCCCAACACTTGAGAGGCCTAGAAAAGAGGATCATTGTGAGTTTGAGATCAATCTGGGCTACAAAGTGAGCTCAAGGCCAGCCTGAACTGCATATAGAGACCCTGTCTCAAAAAGGCAAAACAAAAATAAAAACATTTAGTGTGTTATCTTCTAAATTTTAAAAATATTACTAACAACATTTTTAGGAATAGCATTCATGTCTTCTGTAATAAAGATAAATGATATGACAGTGCTGTTTACTATTTTGATTTAACAGTCTATCTTATATGTTTCTGCCTGTCCAATATTACTAATAAATTAATGGTTGTAGCCAGGCATAGTGGCACACAACTCTGATCCCAGCCCTTGAAACCCTAAGGCAGAAAGATCTCCATGGGTTCAAGGCCAGCCTGTACTACATAAGGAGACCCTGTTTCAGGAAACAAACAAAAAAAGTAATGGTTATAAAGATCTCTGTGGTATAAATATTCTGTGATTAACTGATTACCTACTGTTGGTCAGTTAAGTAATTTAAAAATTTGGTGTTTGAGAAAAAATGGTGTTTTATCGATGTTTGAAATATAAACTATGATCTATTTTAATGATTCGTCCCCCTTTATGTTTAAAAATCCTCAAATAGTGATTATTTACTAATCAGAATCAGGTATACTACTCTATTAGGTGTGCACATTTGTGTGGAAACTGACTCAGACTGACTGACTGACTAATTGATTTTTGGTACTAGGAATTGAACTAAAGACTTCGTACTTGCTAGGCAGGCACTTATGCTGCTGAGCCTTATCTCTGGCCCCTCAGATTTAATTTTAAATTGATAAAATTTTATTCACCATTATTCACCCTAAACGTCCTACTCAGTTTCTTTTTGCTTCTACCTTTAAATAAATATACTGATAGCTCATAAATATATTCCAATAAGGATATGTAAGTATTTGGTAAGAAGAAAAATTACCTTTTTTTAAAAAAATTTTATTTAAAAGGAAAAAGAGAAAAACACAAAACAAAACAAAGTGGTGTAAGGGTATAAGTAATACAGAACTACAAAAAAAAAAAAAAAAAAAAACAGTAAGAAATCACCAGTTAATAGATTACATATTATTATCTTAGAGATAATTGCTCAAATCACAGTATCAAAGCATACAAAGTGGACATTCAAACAGTGAGACTGCAAACAGTTGTGTTCAATGATCCAACCAAAAACATTAATATGGTCAGCTATTTAACACCCCTAAACACACATGCTGTTGTATTCTTTAGAGCTCTTTTTTTCCCTCAAATTACCTTTTTTTTTTTTGTCTTCTTCACACTAAATGTTAAGTGTTATCTCTGAAGTACAGGGGTACAAATCTTTTTATTTTCTACATTATTTAGCTTTGAAACATGATTTTTAAATTTTTAAAAAAGTGATCATTACTTTCGTTTAATTAGAAAAAATCAGTTTTGAAAGATCCTAGAATATTAATTTTAAAAGTGAATTGGAGAAAATGAAATGGATGACAAAAAGTATGGGAAAAATACTTTTAATACAGGAAATGACAGTTTTCCGTTTGCATTATTTCTCATTGAAAACTATGTACTATATCATTTTTTTGCTAAGCATAATCAAAAACACACTTATTTTTTTTCAGCAAATGGATTCATCTTTTCCATTTGCTTCTGCCTTAAAAGTATTTTGTGTATATATATTAGAACAGTAATGACAAACACATGCTCACATTTTTATATGAGAACTGTGCTTAGTGATTTAAAATTATAAATCATCTTCATTCCTTCAACTCTAAAAGATAATTACGGTCATATCATTTTACAGGAGAAGATAGAGGCTTAAAGAGTAATGTACAGAACTAATAAGTAGAAAAAAACCAATATTGGAATCTTGTCTTACTTCAAACCCAAACCTCTACTTCAACTCACAGATAAAAATTAAAATATGACTAAATTCTAAACTATTTTGTTACTAACAACATTTCCCCTTTGGAAAAAAATTGGACACAATAATGTGTGAAGTTAACTTTGACTTATTAATTTATCTAAGTGCTGTTTTTTCATAATAGTAAGTGTGATTTTATACTTTTATTTTCTTTTATACCAAAAAGATAAACTCTTAGAGCTACTGAATATTTAAATAACTTATACTTACATAGTCACAATGTCAAATTTTCACCCGGATTAAGCCACAAAAAGAAATAGAAGAAAACTATAAATAAGAAACATACAGACTTAAAGAAAGCCAAGAATGTGAAAGATGATGTTATCTTTAAAAACACATAATAGAAATGAGGCTAAAAGAGAAAAAGTTCAGGGTTGGGGATTTAGCTCAGCAGCATAAGCCCCTGCCTCGCAAGCAGGCGGTCGTGAGTTCGATCCTCAGTACCAATAAAAGTGACAAAGACAAAAAGAAAAAAAAAAAAAAGAGAGAGAGAGAAAAAGTTTTGGAAATGGAACTATTTAAATGTCTTACCTATATGTTATGAGTGGATGAAGAGGAATAAATTCTGCTGGTCCAAATTCTATAGAGCAACCAAATGTAGTTAATGTTAACAATTCACCTTGGCAGGTCAATAAAACCAGGGAGCCACGTTTTAGTACACAAGCCAGAAAAAGATTATCATGGGTCCAGCTGATGTCACCTACCCAATAGGACCTAGAAAGAGCAAAAAGCAACATATATAGAAAGGACATTGTCTTTGACAGTTTATAACAGGCTATACCAAGCAGGAGTGAGATATCTTTTAAAATGAGGGAAAAGAGTGGATAGTAGGCAAGTGTTATACACACTTATGAATTTGACTTCCTAGCTTCCTTGCCAGGATCTTCTCCAAGTTTGGTAGAATCTTGTTTAGTAGGCACTCTGCCTCTTCCCAAAACTGTCATTGTTACTTTCTTTTTTTTTTTTGAGACACACTCTCATGTGGTTCAACCAGACTTTAATTCACTATACAGCCCAGGCTGGCCTCAAACTGGCAGTGATCCTCCTGCCTCAGTCTCCCAAATGCTAGGATTACACCACCGCACATGGCTCTTGCTACTATTTTTTAACCCTTTGGTGTTATTAGTGTTTTATGAGAAAAGCATCTCCTCCACATGAAACAGCCCAATAAAGGAGACCAGTGATATTTTTGGAAAGGAAATACTCAGAAAGAAAAGAAAATTAGGTGAGCTGGATGCTTGAAAACTCTGGAAATTCATACAACAGAACAGGGATGTATATGGAGCTCCAAGAGGAAATCTGTATACAATTATCCAGCATATGTCCTCTTGGTAGCTCATGTACCATCCAAAAATCACTACCAATGTTGCTCCTCAACTACATGAAGAAACTAGCTATTTAAGAGGTCTTAAAAATTCCTGCTTCCCTGAATAAATATAGTCTTCCTAGTATAGGAAGTTTCATTTAAGCCTTTCTCGTTACGCAGAAAATACCTCTACCTACACATGATTCCACTCCTCCTACGAAGACCTAGAAAACAACAAAACATACATTGGCGTATCTGCATATTAATCCTTTCTTTAAGTATTAAGACTTTCCTTATATAAAATATCTTTAGAATCATTAAACACAAATGCTGAAGTTATATTATCTAAATGACACAATTATTACAGTCTTACATTTCTTATTGGAAAAGAAAATGCTATTAGAAATACATATGAGTTCATACCTGGTAAGTGTATCTGGAACTACAGGATTTTTATTACTACATCCCTTAAGGCTACCACAGTGAATAACAAAATTCACTGTGTTTATAAATAATACCTGAGTTGCCTACAAAGAAAAAAAAGAAAAAAAATTATCAAAACTATTTTATTATCTTTATCACTTAAAACTCCAGAGACCTGAGGTCTTTTATAAACAAACTGCTTAGGGAATCTTTTCCCAACTGGTAACACACTAATGACCCCCTGTAGCCTTTTTCTTTTCTTTACCTTAACCTTAGTTAGGGCTCCAGGCTCTAATCTTCCTTTTCCCTTATCTTAATCTTTTCACTTCTAAAGCCTGGCTCTTGAAAATTATGGCAGCTAATTTAAGTAACCTTACTAATCCACAATGGCAAGGTATTAGAAGTTAACAATTTAGGGTAAGAGCATACCTTGCCTAGTACACACAAAGCTCTCTGAGTTCAATCTCCAACACCATACCAATACACGCACACACACGCACAAGTACGTGTGCAAAAGACGCAAATTAAAGAATATAACATAGCATTCAGAAAAAAAAAAAAACTCTTCAAGGAAGGAAAACAAACCTCAAAACTGGAGTAAATCTCTCTTTTCTAGATTACTTTCCAAAATTGACTGTATTTACTAACCTTTGGGTCTTTTTGATTAAGAGTCACTGCCAAGGTAAGACCATCTCTTGAAAAGGAAGAAAGTAGAGCTCCTCTTGACTTTATTGATTCACATTTGGGAATCAGACTACACAGCTGATGATCCTGTTGTGCCCAGTCAACACGGTATGGCAAAGACCTATGAAAATGATGAAATAGTATTTATTTTGGTATATTTATTTTAGGGGTTTTGAAGGGGTATTTTTTCAGGATGAGGTCTCAGTATATTGCTCAGGCCAGCTTCTATCTCTTGAGCTCACATCCTAAGGGACCTGTTAGTGACCTTCCAGAAGTTCCATCAAGGCACCAAAGAGCAGCTGTCATTCAGTTTAAGCTTAGTATCGTTCTGTTAGTACAGCCATTTTCTAGGCCAATTCCAAATATATCTGTTTAATGTTTATATAAATATTTGCACAGGAATTAAATAAACAAAAATTATTTTACTAAATCTTACCTATGCATTATATACTTTTATTGCATTTTTTCTATTTTATTGGGCTTTTAAAAGTAAAAATTATTTTAATTTTTAAAAAACTAAGCATTTAAAAGGTTCAACAATAAATCCAAACACTTATGCCCCTTTTTAAATTTCAATTAAGTTATTCTTTAAAATAGTTTTTTAGTCTGATGATAGGTAAAATCATAGTCTGTTTTATCTTTTACATGTTCTCACTTCTAAAAAGAGAAACAAAACAATTTCTAGATTAAACATTTATCAATGAAAGATGGAGGGAAGCCCCAGAAACTGAAATTTACATTAACATTTTCAAATCTTAAGTATATATGGGGGAAAAGATAATATATCTTTCTTTTTTTTTTTTTTTTTTTTTTTTTTTGAGGCAGGGCCTCAAACTCATGGTGGTCCTCCTGCCTCAGCCTCCTGAGTGCTGGGATTACATGCATGTGCCATCATGCTCAGCTAAAATAATATTTTTTTAATATTGCAAATGGGACAGAAAATAAGGCAAAAGAAAGATTTACCTTACCTTGTAGCTCTAAATACACTTTCATGCCATCGAATTGCTAGAAATGTTAGCTTCAGACATTCCCCAGAATAAAAAGTAAATGAACACAAGCAGCAGTCTCCAAATAACTGTAGACAAATCAAATGTACTTTTATATAAATATAAAATTAATCTGAAAATAACTCAAGATGTAAGAAATATATTCTTCCTCATCGTAAGTAAAATAAAATAAATGGAAAATATTGGACCCCTGCTTGCATTTTTATTCTTACATTCAGCTTAAGTCTAAGAAATTTTTTTCTGAGTCACAAGTTGGGGGTGGTGGCTTTGCTGCTGTAGACAGAACCCAAAGCCTCATGTATGCTCTGTCACTAAAATGCACACTGTCACTAAGCTACACCCCTAATTCCTCAGGTTGCAGTTTACGCTCTTAAAAAATGCTACAAAGGGCACCAAAACAAAATTAGACCATTAGTTCTGTTTCTTCTGTGGCACAATAGGGTAACTGCTGATTAAAACAATTTATCATATATTTCAAAACGACTAGAAAAAAACAGCACAAAATTTCCAATCCACAAACATTACTGATGTTTTAAAAGATAGAAATAGTTATTATTCTTATTTGGATATTATATTTTGTATCTGTTTATCAAATTACTATTATTTGCTCCATAAAGATATACAAATACCTTATCTCAAAAAAAAAATTAAAAATATTTGTGGTTATAACTGAAAAGATTTGTATATAGGTGATTTTTCTTTTTTATATTTATTTTTTCTATTTTTATATTACAGCAGCTGAGAGGACAGTAATAATACATCAAAATGTAATTTCTAACAATGGATTAAGTAAAAGACTTTGGTCCATATATAGACAACCAAGCAGCTATTTTAATGTTTTATTTTTAGTTAATAAATAAGTGATATCGGATTTCATACAGCTCGAAAAATAAATAAATAAATAAGTGATAAATGACTTATTTAGTATCACTAATTCTGGCTAAATTTAAAAAAACATACTTTAAATTAGAAAAAAGAAAGAAAGTTCTACTTTTCTTTTTGGTACTGGGGATGGAACTCATGACCTCGCGCTTGCCAGGCAGGTGCTTACACAGCTGAGCTAAATCCCCAGCCCGGAAGTTCTACTTTTAAACCACATTTCTTTTTTTCTTTTTGTGGCACTGTAGATCATCATGGGCAACTACTGTACTACTAGCTATACTCAAATCACTTTTAATAAAAGTCTTTAAACTGTGACCCAAAAAACATAAAAACATCTTTTCCATACAGTATTTTCACAACTACTATGACAATCAACAATGATTAGAGACACAGAAATTTGCTGTTATGCTCTTTAACAGGTTCCCAAGCAGGATCTGCTTTTAAAAGAGACTGAGATCTCAACTCCTGCCACATTCTGATTTAGGTTTTTGTAGCGAACCAGCCTGTCCTACAGGTCCCAGATGTCTGCCAGGGTGCCACTCATGGGGAACTAGACCCCCAGCCCTGCTCCCTCCAAATCCCCTTTTGCCAGTGCCACTTGTAGGTACCTAGTCTTGCTGGCTTGAATGAGGATGAAAGACAAACAGTCACAGAAGTTAGCACAAGGGCAGGCAGGGGGTTCCATGTGTCTCATCCTGCTTTTTTTCATTCACTCAGACATGGGCACAAATAATTAAAGTAACACAAGATTCATCTACCTTCCAATATCCATTATTACATGCTCAGGTAAACAATTTAAGTTCAGCAGTACTGACTTTTCTCTAGAACCTGCAACTTGCAGTCGCCTCTGCATGTTGCTCTGCCCTCACAGAGAAGGCCAATTAGGCCTCATTCACCACTGGTCTCCCACAGGTTTTACCTCATTTTTTATAAAAACAGCATTCACTACAGCTTCTTTATCTTCAGTGGAAGGCAAAAGAACTGCTTCGTCAGGTATTATCTGGGACCACTGACCCACCAAAGAGGAGCTTTTAGAAGGTAAGATATTCTTTAATTCCAGATATTCCCAGAGATATATGCATCCTGAAGCTGATATAAGCAGAACTCTTTTCCCATTTCCAGATACATACAAGTGTAGTCTTAAACAGCTTGCTGATTAAAAACAAACAAAAAAACCAAATTAAACC